CCCCCCCCCCCCCCCCCCCCCCCCCCCCCCCCCCCCCCCCCCCCCCCCCCCCCCCCCCCCCCCCCCCCCCCCCCCCCCCCCCCCCCCCCCCCCCCCCCCAACTCTTTAACAGATTAGCCCATTTTCAAGGATCGCAGATCAATATAACATTTTGTTGATTTCTGCAATTTGGCCAGAAATATTTTTCTTTACTCTCCTGCTATTCTTCATTTTCACATTCCATCTTACTTAATTTAGTATTATTATTATTATTCAGACCATTAATTAGCTCGGCAAATAAATTGTAGGCCAGGACGCGCTACTTTTAGCAGCGTATTCAGACTCGTTGATTGCTGATAGCAGTTTAATTTTTCTCAATGACATTTTAACAGCTACTTCTATTTCGAAGGAAAACAAGTTATCGAGACTAATCATTGGTTTTCGTCATCGGAAATGTTTATACGTGTAAACTGACATCTGCGTGAAATTCATCAAAAGGACTAACTTTTAAATCGATCGATTGTGAAAGATTTGTTTCATCAAATGAACTTGTTGTCTTCTGGAGACCACTTTCCTATGTAAATAAAAATCGTAAATGAAATGAATAAAATGAAAAAGTAACAGGCACATTTTTCCTTCCCAATGATGATGGTGGCCGATTGGTTAATATTGATATTGGCTCATCATGCTCGTTGGATCGTTCTGGAGAATCTAAAGTTTTTTTTTCTTCACAACTATTTCGTGATACATGATCTAGATAAATAGTATGCGTTAATAAAGATTATTCGTTTTTATTGGAAATACCTTTATCAATACCAATTGATGTTGACTTTGTAGTAGGATGATGTTCGTTGGAATGATTATGGAAAGAATCTGTGAAAATGAAGTATATGCGATGTTGCAAAAAAGTTCTTTCCCTCTTATTCTTACAAAAACTTACCATCAACAATTGGTTCTACTTTTGATAATGTTTGAGAAGAATGTTTAGTTTCACTATCGGATGCATTTGATCGATGTTTCAAATTCTATCACAGAAATTCTTATTGCCTTCATTTACAAACCAATATGACAAACCGTTAATGCATGAATTTCTTCAACACAATTATCTATTTTAAATCAATAGAGTTAATTTAGAAAGAAAACAAAACAAGGAAATTAGAAAGCTAACCAGGGAAAAATCCAATATGTCCGTTGAGTTCACCCTGAAACAGAAAAGTCAGTTTACATATGATTGAGTGAAACTGTCAGAGAGAGAGAGAGAGAGAGAGAGAGCATTCCTGCGTGAAGAATTAATCATACAAAAAGTTAAACATAAAACATTTTTGAGATTAATAAAAGATCTTATCAAATTCTATTTTGCATGATAAACTAAATCAATTCGGAGAAGAGCATAACTACCTATTCAATCTACCGTTGCTGAGAAAGCTCTACAAAGGCACGGGTTACTTTTAAGTTGAGATTATATGTATGAGATAGATTTTAATAGCCTGGGAATACTGATGTACTCTATTTATAAATTAATCTTGAAGTCAATAGAATGTTAGTTGTCAGGAACGCTGATTTTGTCTGGCTACATAAAGAATTTTGAAAAAGAAGATTCTACTATATCTGCATGTTCTTATGGCACGAGTCAATGTAGAACTTCTCAAGGTATCTATCGCTTGCAAGGTTATACATGATATGCATAGCTTCCAATCAAGAGGAATTTCTCATTTGAAAAACTTAAATCTACCTTCCACCATCCGTCTTCGCCAACATTCTTATCACGTATAATAACAATATCATTAGTTTTCAATGTTAATTCATCACTAGATACAGCTTTATAGTCATATAAAACACGAGCTTTTGTCGAGAGGATTTTCTTCGGCGAATCACGTTTAACAGGTGTAGTGCGACCATCAATAGACTTCTGTTTGATAGAACTATTTTTATCTTCATTAATACGCGTAACATAATTGGATGGAAATAAGCCCGATTTACCATTGAGTGTGCCTTCGTACCAACCTTTTTCAACCTTAAAATAATCATACACAAATGGATAGTTTAATAGAAAAAAGGCTAGAACACACCAGTCGAGTAACATTAATAATATCATTTATTTTAATAGATAATTCATCATCATGATTGGGTAAATATACATAATTGACTCGCACTTGAAATAATGTAGTATGTCGAGTTGCTACAATGAAAGACTAATAATAATTTTTAAAGATTTTAAAAAGTTGAACTGACTTGTAGACGCACTTGTCAATAATCGTTTACGTAGGGTGCCACTTTTATTTTCCGTTTGTATTGCTGTAAGCGTTCTTTTTTTGGTTTCTTCTTTGTTTAATGGCTTTTTAAAATAAAATTATTCATAAGACAAAAATACTTTCAATTCTATTTACCGTAACATAGTTTTCTGGAAAATGCCTAACAAATAAAATTAACTATCGTGAAAACCAGTGCAATTTAAAAATTCAAACTTACCCAGCCTTGCCTTGCAATTCTCCTTTTAACCATCCATCTTCAGATGGTAAAACATCAGTTATAATATCTCCTTTTCGTATTGTTAATTCATCTGATGATTTGGCTGCATAATTAAAATTAACAATATAAGTTCCCACTAAACAAAAAGAAAAGCATATGTTCAATATTTTTCACAGTTTGAAAGCATAGAAACTCTCACTGGTTTTTTTAGTTCATTTGAAATGCAATCTAAAGAATAGAAGAAAAAAAAACAATCTAATCAACTATATCGGATATCGGATTTTCTATGTACATACATCTCAAACAGCAGAAGATGTCAAATATCACGCAAGTAGCTGTATAAATACTATTCTATTACCAGCACGAACATACGACAGTGATAAGAGACATAAGAGAATAGAAGGAGAAAAAAAACGCCGATGAAGTGTTACTTCTTTCTTTCTTTTTTTCTTGAACGAAAGATTTTTTTTAGTTTTGTTTTTAGATGGAACTTGATAGAATGGTCGGAGACTAGAACAATCCAAATATAATCTTTCATAGAGATCGCTAGATGTCGATGATTGAACGATTTCTTTGGTTTTTCGAGAAATACTCAAGGGAGAAAAAGCGTATTTCTGTATTTCTAAATATTGTTAAATATTTCTGAGCATTTCTGAGCATTTCTACGTATTTCGATGTATTTTTGGAGCTCTGAAATACCATAAAATACGTATGAATACTCAGAAATACAGAAATACGCTTTTCCCCCTTGGAAATACTCCATGTATTATGTTCAGTATTTTTACAGGTTTAACCTTGCTATGGAAATATATTCATATCGAAGTATGATATTCGTCTCTACAAATAAAATTTCCATTTAGAATGATGATAATTTTCGTCTTACAATTATTCTTATTTACCTTCGATAAGCGATACATAAAGATATTGACTACGCAGAAGAAAAGTAAAAAGAAGAGAAAAAATGCATGGGTATCTTTATTACATATCTACAGAAGAATTTAATCGTATATGTGAAGTGTAGTAAATAAATGAGAACAAACTAGGCGAATCATTCTCATTCTAAATCAAGAAGATGTCAAATATCCGAGCCCCGTTGAGTGCTTTTTTAAAAGTAGGTCAACAATTTTGACTGAAAAAGAAACTCGAGCTGATCTTGTTAAACTCAGAATTTTGTGTTCTTTAAAAATCACTTGATCTTGTAAGTCGTTCGAGACTGTACGTCTAAATGAATTGCACTCCCATTCGCTATGTTGGATAAAAAAATGACGTTATCACTGAAAATCATTCCTAGGTCGTCGATGCTGATTGAACGAAAAATTCAAAATGTAATATATTATTATTCTTCATCTTTGTATCTTTTAGTGCAACTATTTTACTTCGAACTTTCAAAATCTCAACAGCACTATATGTTGATTTTAACCTAAGTATGATAAAAACATATGAGCACTGTTGTTCTCGAAATTTTACGACTGAAAGTGCAATTTTATAAGTTCAATACGATCTGTATTGTAGGACCTATAATATTTCGGACATCATTATAACATCAATCATCTTATTCGAAATACTTACTGATAAAGAATAGCCGGCTGGTAATAATTGAAGTGTTTCGTTTTGAAAAAAAAAGTTGATATAGACTCAATAAAACATTCTACTTGTCGTATAATTCTTATTGTTGTGATTCAGAATCCTTGCTCTCTGTTAATTTAATGTAATGATGCCTAAATTTATAATAAACAAAAGTTTCAGTAGCACATCGACTCAAAATATGATGAAGAGAAGAGAGAAGAAAACAATATGGATTATTTATTCTTTTGAACGACAGAAAAATAAAAATCGATATTTTAAAAATATAATATTCACATTCACATATAGCTTAGTACTATAATCAAAACATGTGCATGTAGTTTATTTGCGTGAGATCATGCTGTATAAAACCAAAGCTATTTTCTTGAGATAAATATCTCTGATAGAAAGAAATTTAAGGCGCTCATCTTACAACTGATGTCCATTATCGTCACTAAAACCTAATAGAGATACGTATTTACAGTGTAATGCTTCATGTAACAAAATATTTGTTTAGCCGAACAAACGTATCTATTTCAAAAACAAAATTTATTACAACAATAAAATTCGTATACTGACGTGAGTGTTAACCAAAGATCGATGAACATCTATCTTGATCTACTGGTATTGAACGCCCTCTTTCTTTTGCAGAGGCAGAATGTTGCTTGTAAACGAATGGTGAAATTTTATAAAAAAAAAAAAGAATTTTCTAAATCTAAAGTAGTTTTGTAAAAGCTCTTCTACTCAAGATGAATAGTCCATCATATTCATCATGGGAAAATGTTCAATCAGTTGGCTGTTCAATATCATTAACGCCGCCGATAGTAATGTTAACAGTCAACGATTATCTTGATGGTTTACATTGTCTACATGAAGCACAAAAAGTAAATGCAACAACAGAAGAAATTATATCTAAATTACGCCTCTATCTAGAAGATAAAGTCGGTGGTCAACAGATTCTCAACACGATTTTAACACTTATAAAAAGAGAAAAAGTGATTGATTTTTCTAATAATAAAGAATTTAACTATTGTACTAGTTTATTACCACTTTTTATGGTATTTATTTGTCTAGAAACTTCATTTATTGAACAAAAGTAGTTTAATAAATGTATTACAGTGATTCATATATTTATATATACATATATAATGCTGTTTTCGTCTATTGTAAATTTAATAGTTTATACCGATGGAATTATTTTTTCCTTGTTATTATTAGATAGAACAATAAAGTTAAATTTTCCTTTCATCATCTTTTTTTATTGATGAATTTAAATGAAGAAACCCTTTAGATAATGTCTGATTCATCAACGTCGATTCCGATATCTATCAAATATGGTAGTACAACTTATCATATGCACCTTGATAATCAAGCCGATCTTCCGAAATCAGAACAATTTAATATGATAGCTAATCATATTCATATACCATCGGATCGTTTAAAACTTATTTATAGAGGCAAACGTTTTACAAAAGATAATTGGCATGATTTACCTCTTATATCGAATATGAATTTTTTAAGTATTGGAGAGCAGAATGAAGATGAAACAGATATTGATACAAAAGATATTGAATGTATTATGCATCAAATGAAGATTGATCGAAATACAGCGATTAAAGCTTTAAAACTTTATCCCAATGTGATCGATGCGATTTTATATTTAGGAAATAAATAAATAATGCTGCGGAATGTGTTTTTTTTTCTTTAGATGAGTTTAATTGATATAAGAGAAAATCTATCGTTGTTTGATGATGCATTTTCTATACATCGACAAATACCTGAATTTCAAATAGATTCAACAACAGCAAAACAACTCATCGAGAGAATTAATAATGCAAAACATCCATTGATTCTTGTTGCATATATTGATGATCGGCCTGTTGGCTATTTAATGGGCCATGAACGTTATTCATCTTTTTATATATGGCTTGTCGGTGTTCATCCTAAACATCGTCGACAAGGAATACTCGTTCAACTAATGAATCGATTAGAGCAATGGGCTATGAAAGAAAACTATAGTTCACTGCTGGTCAAAACACGTAATTCATTTAAATCAATGCTTCTCTTTTTGATTTCGCATGAGTTTAAATTAATCGATATGGATAAACGACAATCTGTGGGCACTCATCGTCTTATTCTGGAGAAAAAATTAATTATTCCACAACAGTCATCTTCTATTTGATAATTAAATCTTTTTCGGTGATAGAATGTCAGATGTATACGGGTTATTTCGCTCTATTATTCTGATACAATATACGTTCAGTACAAAATTTGTAGCAATCAACAGCTTCTTTTTACAAAAGATAATCGATCATCAGGGAAATTGTGTTTTTTTTTCTGTTTTCTATATTGCTAGTCGCTCATTGTTTTATCTTAACACGATAAATACATATCTATTGAACCTGATGCAGGTCTCACATCACTGGATTAACATTTGTTTTAAACTCGAAAATATGCTGCTACATGTTGTCCTTGCAACGATCTATCCTAGCGTCGTAGTAGTTGGGTTGGCATTGTGAGTGAGATGTTGGTTTAAGCCCATGGTACATGAGTGGGTGTACTTGTTCATATTTACAATTACACACACAGTTATCCAAACCATATAAGCAGTAGAATATAAAACTCAAAAACATTCCGTAAAAACGAACTTCGCGCTTTAAAAATATTTCTTTCATAGCTTCAGTAGAGCTCCACTATTATTCGGTTGTGATCGAGGCGAAGGAATTCTTAATCAGCACTCGATTTTGTCTCAAAGTGTATCTCACACATGACTTTTGTTGGTTAATGTATTCAAATATTAAATGTGCGCAGGAAAAAATATATATCTCGTATATTTTGAAAACGTATATCAATATTGAAATAGCTCAAATCATTTTTTTTTACAGAACATGCATGTAGTTTTGTCACATAATATTCCTTACAGTGTTCGAATTACGGTGATGAATTATATTCAATGTGATCCATGACCCTGACTACTGCCACCAACACGACCATCGCCATTTAGATCCATATGAGTGACTTTTTCAAGTTGATTCATTAAACCACCGCCAGCACCTCCGGACTGATGAGTATTTGATCCATGACCCTGACCACCACCAACATGACCATCTCCATTGAGATCCATATGAGTAGCTGTTTCTATTTTATTCATAATGCCTCCACCTCCACCTCCACCTCCACCTCCATTTCGATTTCCATTGCCTGAGCCAATAACGCCATCACCATTTAAATCAATGCCTATTTTCTTTTCCGCTTGTTTTTTTAAAAAATCTATGAAGAAAGTTACCGTTGAAAGTATTTAAAATTTTATTGTGTATAAAAAAGCGTCTTTATTTTACAAATATAATTCGTTGAATAACTTTTTATTGGAGATCAAAATTTTGTTGTTTGTTTGTTTTTATAAAATATCTATTCCCGTACTTTGTCATAGTAACTTAAGCAGTAGAAAATTATACGGTGTGACGTAAACTCTTTTCTTTTACGAAATCTCACGGCTGGTTAAGAATGGCTCTCTCCGATAGCAAGCTGATTTTATGTGATACTTGTTTAGCTAGTGTTTAGAATGGATCCTAGGATGTTAAAAATTGAGTTTTACTCGTTTCTCTACATTATCCAATCAAAACGTATTCAATAATATGAAATGCAAACTTACTCATTTTTTTCTTGAATCGTCAAAATAATAATAAAAAAGAGTTTGTCGCATGATGTTTTTATAGGGTTCTCTTTCTCAGCGTTGACAATATTTCTCTCTTGAATTCAATCGGTGTTCTTGTGCTGCAATTTTTTTTCTTAGTCAGTAAAACATCATAGGATAAATATAATTGGAAGAGCTCGTTTCGATTAAAAGCAAACTCTACTCTCTGTTTACAACATCGTTCGAATACATTGTTCGGTTGCTTTCGACGAGTTGAATTTCTTTTAGACGAAGTTGTCTGAGCCAAACAAATTGTGCTCGTAGAAGAATGTAAATATTAGATTCAATATTAAAAATAGTTTCCTTCTTCTTGAAGAAAAATAATTCATCGAACTGAAAAAATAGCTAATCATAGAGAAGAATACACATAGGTAGAGTAATTTTTGCCAAATTGAATTTCTTCGAAATTTCTATTTCATACGTTCTAAACCGGTTGATCATTGAACAGCAACAACAAAAATCCCTATAATTGGCCTAATTTCTTTATTGAATAACAAAATTTACAAAACGGCAAAAATATCCCGTTTTTACTGATTGAATTTTAATTAGAAGTATTGTGATTGTGATTGTTGACTCATTGAATAATCATAACTATTGTATCTTAATGATGGAATTGGTGGGTTTTTTGTATAATGTTTCTGTTGTTGCCGTTGTGAATAATCACTACTACTCGAACTTGTGTGTTTTCGAAATAGTTTAATCGATGTTTCTACTTTTTTATAATTTGCAGCTTGTAATTGTCCTTCAAGTTTGAGTATGTGATTATAATGCGCTTTACCATCAAGTAACGATGAAATTTGCGTAGTAAAAATAGATAATTTATCTATTGATCGTTGAGATAAACGGCGTTGAAAAATACTACGATTATGAATTATTTCATGAAGTATGTTAAACAAACGGTCAATCGGATCGATTGCGCCAATCGTAGAAACAAATCGTCGACCATTATCACCGATTAATTCCGTATTTTCACAATATTGACGAATACGAATACATAGTTTATCCAAAATACGTGAAACACAATAATTCGATGAAGCTAAATAGATTTACTATTATTTCCATTGTACAAGCGAATTTCTCATTTACTAACCTAATGAAACAATCATTTGATGAAGAACATAAACAACATGATCTTGAATATGATCGATAGTATCAATTAAACAATCAAGAAATTTATCAATTATTGGTAAAAGATCAAGAACAATATGATATGGTTTATCATAATCAGTTTTAAGATTATTCGCAATGATTTGTACCGTGTAAAGACACGCATCTATTGGTATTGTTTGATGTTCGATATTTTTCATCCATTTAGTTAAAGTATTAAGTAGAAATTCGACATTATCTATTTTTATTTTATTATTTTGATCTTTTAATTGACAGATCTTTTCAGCAAATTCGCCATATTCATATTCGTTTGTTGTATTTTTATTTAGATTTTCACTTTCCATTGTAGTAGAAAAGTCCATAAACGAAATACTTGATGTTAATGTCGAATGAGAAGGAAGCAAACCAGATAAGAGATCTTGTTGACGAAGAATAAGATGTTCATCGATTATAGATGAAAGTTGTTTTGAAGTATTAGCTCGTGGAAACAATCGTTTAGATAAAATACGTGTAAAAACATCTGGTTTGAAACCATCTGGAGTATTACGAATAATAGCTATGGCTAACGATAGTTTTTTAAAGAGATCTATATTAACTATTTGTAAATCCATCGTTTGAAATATGACACAATTTAATAAAAATAAAATATAACGCTATTTTTTTGAAAAATAGCCAATCATGATGAAGATTTTCATGATCGAAAGAGGACACTGAAGTGTTCAAGAAAATTGAATAGATTATATTATAAAGAAGTTTTCTCGATAATTTGTTTGTACGAGAGATCTATTTTTTCGAACGAACTTTTTATAGGCATTTGAAAAGAAATTGCCTTTCGAAGTCTTGCTTCCAATATAACTCTCTAGGGTTTATTCAGTGAATCAGGTCGTCTATAATATATTTCTGTAGTATTCAGTAAAATTATGATGAAGCAGTAAGTTCCAATTCAGATAGAATCTTACATTTACATTATGATCGTGCAAAAATTGTACTAAGAGATTTCACAAGCAGAATTTCATTAGAGCTATTGATTTAGGTTCAGTCTTTTTGTAAAATCATGTATATTGAAGATAAAATTTAGTTCCAAGAAAATGATGATAAAATCTTGAATCCTATAGCAAAAATCACAATTTGATTAATGAAACTTCTGAATTGTAGTTTATATTCATGATTATGTTTTTGTTTTATTGAGCTAATTCAATTAGCATCTTGAATGAGTAAACAGAAAAATTAGCTTTTGCATTTTTTCACGTTGTAGTCAAACCATATGGATGCAATACAATTTAATCTGCTCTACGAATTAAAAGTCAAACAATATTCATCATTTATTCTCATCCATAACCTAGACAGAATTCAGTAATCATTCCTATGCACAACATCCCATAGATGAAACAATTTAGTCAAGATGAAATTTCTCATTTATATATTTGTCTGTTGTTTTCAATACTAATACAAAAATTCAGTTGTTCTAATTGAAATTACAAGCAGACAAATTGGAAAGAATATAGTCCGGACAGGAATCGAGAGTGACACCAAAAATAGAGCTAGAACCTAATGAAAAAGAATTACGCTAAAGACAATAACTAAACATGCATTATTCTTATCAAGAAACAAACATGTAGAATGGGCATCCATGATTTTAGAAAGCGAATAAAAGCCTAAAAGAGAAGAATTCATTTTTAAAACATAATCAGAACAGAATTAAAACTTACATAAAGGCCATCATAAGACAAAATAGACCCATAGCTTCGGAGAGAGCGAAACCAAGAATAGCGTATGAAAATAATTGTTGTTTCAAACTTGGATTGCGTGCATAGGCTACGACTAATGAACCAAATACAGTTCCGATGCCTAGAAAAAAAAGAAACTTATTATATTTGAAAGAAAACAAAAGGGATTTTTAGATCTCTTACCTGCACCAGCGCCAGCAACACCAACTGTGGCTGCACCAGCACCAATATATTTAGCAGCCGAATCAATATCACGACGAATAGTCGATGTAGCGATCGTACGATTTGTTGGCATCATTAATCCATTGACCGATGTTAATTTTGGTAATTGTTGTTGAAATACTATTTGTCGTTTTGCGAATAGTTGACCAAGACGGCATAAAGCCGATGGCGCTGATAATGTTAAACGAGTTAATGATGCCATTGATCTAAATAGATGAGAATTTTGAGTACAATATAAATGAAGTTTAGTATTAGGAAAAAAACAACAACGAACATAACCACATCGAATAGGTTTTGCGTTCTATCGTACATTACGAAAGAAACAAACAGATGTTTTGTAACAGATGTCGCTGTTTAACAAAACTTCGGAATAAATCATTTTCTTTTAAATTAGAATCTATTAGTTCTTTTTTTTTTCTTGTTTTTATGAATCGATATTTTTTGAAAGAATCAATTTGTTAGTCTGGTCAATTGAATAAATTACGGATAGTTTTGGATTCTACCAGAGAACTTTTGACGTTTTTGGAATTATTTTGATTGTATCAAGGAAAAACTTGTGATTTTCTTTTTAATGTCGATAGGTATTGTTAATCAAATGATAGACTAGCACTTTGAATACTTATATTTTTACTATAAATTTCTTGAATTTAATTTCCTACATGGTACAGGTTTTCAGATTTACTCAAGAAGTTATGTTTCTTTATAAAAAAAAACAATCACATTATTGATTAGAACATAAATATAACAAAACTATGTCGGATGATAAATAAGTTCAAGTTTTGAAAGAATTTCCATAAACAGTAATTCTCATTAATCTAATCAACCTAAAAGGATAATACAAATGAGCAGATGTTTGGAATTTGTCAAGTAAAGATGAAGTTATTTTTACCCAACAGACTAAAGGCAAAATGCAACAGAGAAATATTTAAGATAATGAAGAATTTCCAGTTCCAACAGAGTATTTAATCACTTTATTTTGGTGCAGTCTGTGTTCAGTAATGACAAGTTTACAAAACTAATTTATCAAGTTTAGTCCCTGAGTATCTGACAATGGCGGTGCCTTCATTACAGTTAATATAAATTTTCAAGTGAGAATGAACGTCTAGAAGGGCAAATAAACATGATGATAGAAAAGTCTGTCTGCTTTTAGAATAGATTAGTATTGCTCTATGTAAATTCATGTTAATGATGATCATAAATTTTGACAATTAACGAAAAGAATCTTTTCCAAGGGTTTATTAACTTGGTTTTGTTATAATTTATTGTCACGAAGTAATATAAATCATTATCTTCTTAATTCGAGATCAGGTATTTTATAAACAAAATGACTTTCGTCATTGTCTGTTTGACAGCCATGTTAAAGCGGAAAATCGTTTTCTTCTTTAATGCTTTTCTAATCAAACATTCCAGGATTATTCCTTTTAGTAAATGACTTCTTTTTGCGTCGTTGACAAAGAAAGGGAAGCACTGACGCGGTATATTTGAATAAACCTTTTTTTAATACTTAATAAAGACAAAATAAATAATAGCTCCAAGAATCAATAACTTTTGTGCGAGGCATAGGACCCGTGAGCATTTTGTTTAGGCATAAAAATTAACAATTTAAAACAAGGGTACTACGTTTTGACATATTTTGTTAAATAAAAGAGAAATTAAATCTGCAGAATGAGAACCCGCCAGTGAATTTTGTGTTTCTGAATGAGAAATTTTTAAGCCTTGTTTGTTGCTTACTTCCTGACATAATCGTGACATAGGCCGGAAAATATTTTTATTGCCTTTCGACAACAGCCTCTGCATTTTCTGAATGCTTTATAAGATTTGAATGTATGCGGTTCGACAGCGACTTTTGAGAGAATTATAATCTTAATTTATCGCTCCGTTTTTATAATAAGATATGAACAAAAAAAAAGGCTCCATTGTAGTTGTAAATGATCAAGTTGATTATAATATTTCTATCGACGTGTTGATCCGAGAAAGGTTAGCGACTTTTTTATGTGTCAACCTTATGTATCGTAAAATTAACATTGATTATTAAAGCAAATTTGATTTTTTAGTTTTAGTTTTCTTGAATAGTAGTAAATAATTAAGAGAGATACTTCATTGATAAGTTAAAGCATTAGTTGTTGGTTTCTTTCTAATTGGAAAAATGATTAAATGACCGTTTTACAGTCATGCTTTTTCATGTCATGTAGATTGAACAGCAATCCTCTCATAATTAATTTAATATCATGCAGTGCGTTATCATCGTTATTATCTTTTTAGAAAATCTTTTCATGATTTCGGATTATTCAATAGTTTTAGATTTCTTGTCGAGTTTAAGAAAGTACATATTCGTCGACTTGAACTGTAATCCATCAATATTTAATGAGAATGTTTGTCTTCTCTACAGAATCAATACGATTTTTCTTAGTTTGAAAAGTATTTTTTTGTTGAATCGAGGCTAACTAAATGAGAAAAAGAAAAAAAAAGAATATGCTCGTTCTATATTAATAAAAATCAATGAAGTTCATAGAAACACAGAGTAGTCTTAATCTTCCTTAGGAGGCATGCTTTTTTTATCAATAGTCAATTCAGCGATTACTTATTCGCCGAAAAAAAATACTTCAACCAAGTCGATAGGTTTACAATAAATAAACAAAAAAAAGCTATTGACAGCAATAACGTCGTATCTTGTGTATATACTCTATATTTTTGCGTGGTAAACTTTCTTGCATAATTATTATTATGCACATTCTTCAGTAAATTAATAATCAAATATACTGGTAAGAATAATTTATATAATGGAAGTACTAGTAAAAGTTCTTGTATATATTCTTTCTTCAATAGAAACAAATAGTCCTCTTTTAGTCATTGTAGCAAAGTATTATAGTCGATCTATTGAAACATTTTGTGATGGGAATCAGCCATTGACATCCCACGCAGTAGTATTCATTTAATATTCAATAATATATATAGAGAGATGGCGAGAGAAACATGAATACTAATTCATGATTCAGTATTTATTGAATAATAAATTGAATTGGATATATATATATATATATATTAATAGAAATCCATTTTGTTAATAAACACAAAAGACAAGTATTTATTAATCAAATATGATATTATTTTAATTCATGGGAATTTTTGGTTTATTTTATGTGTCTTCTAACTGATTAGCAACGGCGGTACATTAGGAACGTTTAAAATTTCTCCATATAGAAAATATTCTATTGCGAACAAATGATTTCATGAGTTCAATTGCTCAAATGGAATAGTTGGTGCGCAAAAAAAGTTCATCATATTATATATTAAGATGTAACTTTATCAACAATTTAATTATTAAATGAAAGACAAAAACAATTAAGTTTTCTAATTTTATTTCCTATTGCCGAGCTTTGAATAGAAGGAGTTGAACTGATTATTGTGGAGGTTTTTTTCCTAATATTAGACAGAAAAGTATTCTTGTTTGTTGCCTTCAGAAATGTTTTACTCTACTGCTTTTTTTAATGATATCGGTGCAAGAGCTATCGACCTAGATGTAAAATATTGAATAATGATTCTATATCGATACTTTTTAGATTTGATTTCTAGACTGAATAATTACTGATTCATGATAGGATGAATAATTCACAGAGAAATATTTCTAGTATTTTTACATAGAAGTGAATATGCATAGCGGATGAATTAGTAAATCGTTTTCTTGTGTGCACACCAAAAATAGAGAATATGTGAGTAGAGTTGATCTCTGCCTTCGTTTTGTTTTAGACTTGATGTTATTCGAATACTATGTATAGAATACAAATAAATCTAACGAACTAAATTACTGGCCGTCAAACTTTTTCAAAGATGAGATTTTAAAGTAAGATTCAGAAGTATTGAATATCAAATGAGATAAATCTTCTTCTAGATTCAGGATTATTTTTCAAGAGTTAATAAGAACTCGCATTGTTTTTCTCAGAAAATTAAGAGCAATTTATCGTAACTAGAGAGTATCCAAAATATGGTCCTTTATCATCGATAGTAAACATAATCATTTTTGTATCTGTAGATATTTTTGTATTATAGAAGTATCTTGTCTCTTTACAATTGTTTCTGAATAATAAGTTTCTTTCCGATCTATATGTTTCACCATGCGAATACAGATCATGATTCATGCGTCTGTACGAATTATTTTCAGACCTCTAATAAGAAACGGTCATACGGGTAGGTCATGCAGTTTTTGACAAGAAAATTTTGTCTACCATTCATTTTCAATGCATTTAAGGTTAAATAATATCAAATGACAGTAGTGACAAATACTGACTAAAATCATCTATCGCCGTTCAGCTCACTCATGCGAAGGATGAAGTCTCCTGATTTTGAGTTATTTTTTAAAATTCTGATTTATGTTAATTGAAGTTGATGAAAATATACGACGACGACGACGACGACGACGATGTGTAACGAAGATATAAATTGAGTGAATGTTTTTAATCATAAGATGACTCTAGAAAAGATGTCAGCCACCTATATTTTTAAGAGGGAAAAATAAAACTTGACTCATGCCCAGAATACATAATGAGAAAACCAGACAATGACAAGAGATATTTTTATCAATGCAATAGGCAAAAATAGATAGTTTTCTTCTCTTTTTTTGCACTGTTTTCTCTCTATTTTTTCTTATTCATTCATTTTACAGCTATTGTTGTCTTTCGATGTTCTTTGTCGTTCTATTAATACTTGTGTGCATCTAGAGAACCCGGTTTTTGTTAAATAGGCGATATTTCATCGTCAATGGCATCTCCTTTTCTTTCTTTCACCCATTTTCCCCCAAGTAATCGGTTCTATATTAAAAAAAAGTAGTGGACTGATGTAGTTGGCATCATTTTCTTCTTTTTCTTCCTCATTACTACTCATCGCTTTGTATTATCATAAATAGTTCTGTTGTGTAACTGTCTCATCATTCCTCTTTTAATATACGATATTACCTACTCACTACTTTGCGTTTAATGAGAAAAAAGGAAGTTTTTTTTTTATTTTCAAGTGAGTTAATTAGAGACCTGTCGGATAGAAAAATTCCAATGCACATATCCTTCTGTAGTTGTTGTTGTTGATAAGAATTTGTCAACTTCAATTGCGTGAAACTTCTGTTGGCAACTCATGATTATGATGATACTCTTAAGGTCTTTATTGATCCTTTTTTTAGACAATATTTTGTTTTTGAAACTTGCATTCTCGTCTTGTTAGTTTGTCACTAAATGTCGTAGATGTTTTCTTTAACAAAATTAGCTGTTCTTTCTACAGATGAATCCATATATTTACTATAAAGCATGAAAACACTATCAGATGCACTTAATCATAAAGAGCATTCAATGAGTTTGATGCGAGTGATTTAACAAAAGACATTTTTTTTCAAAAAGTCATTCCTCTTTTGAATCTTATTTTTGCTTTTAGATAAATTGTACGCAGGATTTATCTATAGTAACATATAAAGTTCGTCAACGAATTATTTCATTGGATTTTATTAAATTTTGTATTCGCAAGTTTTTCCTATTCAATGGAAGACCGATTAGGATCTGCATCGAACTCGTTGTCACTGAATCGTGTTGATGCATGTAATACGTTTTATTCTAAAATAAACAGTGAAGATATTTTGATTGTATCTCCATCGAATGCTGTGAATACCGCAGCTGCTAGTCCTACAACGTCTAGTACTCTTTGTATGCTTATAAATGGTCGTCCTATTCAACAACGTTATAAATTATTAAACGACGGTCTTATGCAAGTCTGCCGTGTTCCTCATGCAAGAAACATCATTGAAAAGATCCGTTTTTCTCGTTTTCTTCGTCGTTGGGAAGATCATCATCTTACTCTTGAACACAATGAAATCTTATCTGATACGGTTTGTATTTATTAACTTTGAAATATTCATTAAAAATACAAACATCTATGAATATTTTTAGAATGAAGGTTACATGGATCATCCCATACTCTACACATCAATAGAAGATATGTGTCCATGGTCGAAGACAAAAATGATTGATTCAAAATATCGTTTTTGTATTCGAATTGTTACAACTGAGTATATTTATTTTTTTCAAGTAAATCATTTCTCATTTATATTTATAAACAAAATTATTAATAAAAACGTATATTTTTTATTTGAATTAGGTCAATACACTTTATCTAAGAGATCAGTGGTTTTATTCGATGCAATGGAAAGTGTGTATCTTGAAAATTGTTCCGTACTTCTAGAAATGGAGTTTTTCTTTTTCTAGCGAAATAAATTAAAATTTGAACGAATTTTAAGAACGGCACATCGTCCTGAAATATTGCTAAAAGAAATGATAGTAAGAAACTTTCCGATGGCTTATCGTGAAATAGTATTTTCTTCGTACTGTAGCATATGATCGATTTTGCAATGGCAATACCAATTGAAGATGTTGAAATTTATCAATTTCCACTGGAAATTATTTCTGAAATTCTTCAACAAGTAAAATTTAAAATATAATTTTTTTAAATTTCTGGTCGTTTTCTTTCTGATTATTTTCAGCAACAATTTTATTTACCTCGATTTGTTCATGAAAATGTGATTGTTTCATTGGCACCGTTACTAGAGAAACATTATCCATCACCAGAAATATGTGATTTTTTTAGTCGAGTAAGAAAACAAAAAGAATATGTTTGCTTCTATAATATGTTTTGTAATTTAATTTAGCATTGTCGTGATAGCCCACGCTCACAAATTGTTATTGAAATGTTTACACCGGTGGTACAAATAATTTTAAAACACAATACTGTAAGTTTTATTAGATATATATATTGGGAAAAAGAATTCTTTTTGTAGGATTTCGGCAGATATCCTCGAATGCGAGTATTTGTTCAAGAGTATTTAGTGGCGATAAATTCACAAAATGATGGTTTACGTATTGTACAAGAGTTTATTAAGAAGTAAATTGAAGAAAAATTTTACTTTTTTCGAGGAAAACAAAAATGATGGAAATCTATTTCTTCTAGAATGCATGGTCCAACAATGGTCTGCCCGTTTCCACGTGTTTTAACTAATTTTGTATCTGTTTGTCTCGCCGCTATTTATAACTTTTTTGAAGATCGAAAAAAGTATTAGTTTTGCTTGAAAATTAATTGAATAATATTTTTTTTCTCCTCCAATTAGATGTAGTTTCTGTTTGGACGATAAAGAAAGTTGTCGAGCATATGAAGAAGCAACCGAAAGTCAACTAGTTTGCTACACAACCATGTTACAAACAATGTAAGTTACTATAATAAAACAGTTTATTTTTTCGATTTCCTTAAATTTCTATTCAAACAAGATGAAACAGATTATAACTGTTCGAAAGCTAAAATATAAATTACGATTCGATTTCGTATAGTACTAAGTATATTCGTGGTAATATTGAATAGAAAAGTAGATATGCCTTATTTTGAACTTTTAAGCTGCTTGTATCTGCATTTTATCCCTCTTTTGTTTTGCCAAGCGTTAATTTATTATATTACATCGTACTTTTTATGTCAGACTGACTTTTTTCTTAATCATTTCATAAGAATTGCGCGACTTACGTTTCGCCTCACCTCTTCTGAACACCGGTAAATGTTATTGGGCGTTCGGAAATGAATTTTATTCGTCAAAATTTATGACGGGAGTTCGTAAACACCTATGTACCGAGAGATCGTAATAGACAACAGGAAGATCGTCATGTGTTTGCCGGATGTTCGGAATAGAGTATCTTTCGCTGTATTTAATGTAACGCATGACGATCGTAATGAACACAGTCGGGTGTTCGGAAGGTAATTAAAAGGGTATTTTAACATGGAGTTCGTAAAAAATCTATCAAGAGATTGTAATTGATATAAATACTTTCTGTTCTTATAAGCAATAATATAATAAATTGCATCATCATCAACTGTTAAGAGGAGTACTTTTTGTTCACAATCATCATCTGATGAACGTTCTCAATCTCCACCATTAGAGAAACATAAAATTAAAAATAATAGATTAACTAAAAAACAACAGTTGTCGAAAGTAACAACTGACCAAGCTGCTCCTAAATCTTATTTACGTTCAACTCCAATATTGAATCATCTTAGAGTTAGATCCATCGATCATACTACTGCTGCTTCGCCTTCATCTTGCACATCATCATCTCAATCTGATCTCATTGCTTCAATATCGAAAAATAAACAAATTGCCAGATTCAAAACACGTGTACAGCCACCAAAGAATAAATAGAATGATGATGTAATTACATTAACACTAGAATTATTATAGTAAACAGAAGTGTAATCGTAGTTGCTTGAATCCGCCGAAACGTTGACTATACGTGATTTAGAGGCTGCGACTATAGCGTATCATTTCATATTTTCTCACAGGGAAACAAAACCTGAACATACTTGCGAAAATCGTGTCGTCTTTTTTTTCATGCCAGGAGATCGTAAACAAATTATTTTACCGGCGTTCGTAAGCAGAGATGAGACGAAGTGTCATTTTCCCTAAGAGTTAATCATGAAAGAATCATGACTTACTTCATATTTCAAACCATTGTTGAATATTCATCTAACTGTATATTAAATTAGAACAGCCCAAAGATGGCACGAGTGGATACTTGACGAAAGTTTTTTTCCAACTTAAATAATAATTGCTTGAGGCTTATAATGAGCAAAACAAATATATTGTTTTTTCTATCATAGCAGAGAATTAAGGATAGATCTTTTTTCACACGGACTTGTAATCCATTTATTACTTCTATGAAGGAAGAAGGAAGAAAGAAGAAAAAACGATTACACTAACAATTCCATTATTCTGCTTGGTCACGCAGCACATCAAATAGTCGCTGCTCGAGATGTAAAAACAAAAGAGACTTTTAAGTGTTTTCTTCGTTTAATTACTTTTTTATTTTCGTCCACATATCGGGCTCAATTAATGATAATCAACTGAAAATATGCATGATACTCATGATTTCATTATTTAGGTCCACATTCGATGATTGGAGACCACAACTTGGTTTACTTCTTCAATCGATTCCATTTCCAAATGAAGCATTAACAAATGACCAATTTATTGAGTAAGTTCTGTTTTTAATTAAACGAAGAAGATACCTCTGATGATTATTTTTCTTGTTTTCTTTTGATTAGAATATTCAAAAATGTTGTTAAAAATATTGTTGACGATCCTCGCTGTGAAGTTCATCAAACAGTATTAGGAATTCGAGAAGGAAAAAACGGATGGTTTGAAATCTCTTGCTTGGGCAGTATTGCATGTGATGATGATGGTGAAATGTATTCTCATATTGTATGCCCTTTTAATTACACTAGAATAGCACACGGAAAAGAATTTGTTTTTCTATATTTCAGCTCAGCAAATTAATTTCTTGTTGTTGTCGAAAAAAACGATTCCTATTAAGTATTAATAAATTATTGCCAGCATTGATGTTACTTGCATTACGTGAAAATCAAAGTTCATTAGAAGTAAAAATGAATTGTTTTTGTTTCTTGTAGGAAAAAATGAATTTTATTTTCTTCTTGCAGACTTTATGTGCTATGCTTGATCTGGATGCTGTAGAAAATCGTGATAATAAATTGCAATTAATATCAGCATTACAATCAACTCCAACCGGTTCGAAATTGTATGCAAAAGTATGCGACAGACAAATAGCATTAAGAGAATTGCAACAAAAAGGTGGACCGAGAAAGTTAACATTACCGTCACGTTCTACTGATGGTGATTTAGCGAAATTATTATCTAGTGGTTCGTTTGGGAATCTTGAATGTCTAAGTTTGGCATTTACACATGTAACAAACGCTTGTGCGGAACAATTAATTAAATTGCCAGCACTTCGTTATTTGAATCTATGGTCGACGCAGGTTGATAATTAAAAATTTCCAATAGTTTTTATATGAAACAACTTTTTGTTTTGTATTTTTAAGTTTGGTGATGCCGGTTTGGAATTAATTTCTGAGCATTTAAATCGTTTACAAGTACTAAATCTATGTGAAACACAAGTCACCGATAAAGGTTTAAATTATTTAGTTTGTAAGTTTTTTTTTTATATCGCGATTTATTTTCATTGTTGATTTCCTTTTTGTTTAGGCATGAAAATGCTAAGAAAGCTTAATTTGAATTCTACACATTTATCTCCAATAACGTTCGAAGCTTTGAAAGTATAATATTTAATCTTATTTTAATCTACAGAATGAACAAAATTGTTTAATTTTTCTTTAGGAAAAACTGCCTGCGCTACAAGAATGCGATATACGATATACCGATGCTTGGTGAATTCGATGAATGGAAGATACCCAACCAAAGATCTGCATGCCAGTCAGATTGATATATATATATAGATATCGTATTTTTTTTCTTTTGTTTCTGTCCACATTTTTGCTTTTCGAATTTATGTACAAAATGTAATTTTCAATTTAAGTTGACCGCGTATTTTATGTTTTCGTATTAATTGTGCAGTATTTTGTTGCTAAGAGAGGCCTTCAAAAGAATCGACCTGTTAGTTTCTCAATGAATGAATGAATTTCTGTCTTTTTAATTTACAAGATTGTGAAATATCTATCAATGTGCATTCGAATTTTGTAGTCAGTAACGTACATTAATCCATATGATTGCACTGTATATTTATTTATTTGTTGGCTTTTTTTTTAAATATAAGTTGTTTATTGTTCAATCGTTTTTCTTTTGATACATGAATAGTTACTAATAAAACAAAAAAAAACAATTTATTTATTTGCACGATTTACAAAAATTCTATTGAAGAAATGCTTGTGAATAAAGCAAAATGTCATCTGACACGTTTATCTAATATTATTTTCTAGAAATGTGGAATATTTGTTTGAAACGCTTATCATTTATGATATTTTCTCGACGAACATTAGCAACAAATAAGAACTCAATTATGGAGAATGTCATAGAGCGTCTATCGATGAATTATAAAAAAGAATTAGATCAATTGAAAATAAATGAAAATGATAGTCCAATTGAAAGAATTCAATATCTTAAAACAATTTTACAAACAATGAAATTTCGGGAAAAAATTCTTCAAGATATCGATGAAACACAAAAACTTTCAAATGGTAAAACAATAGGATTAAAATCATAGAAAGATATCAACTATGACAATAGTGGAGTCTGAAAACAATCGATTCATGAATCACATATTTTGATTATGGAAATTTCATATCCGATCAGATGAAAATAGCGATGGTCTGATAATTGCCCTCATGGGGAAATTTCTACTAAAAGGAAAAAAGTTGAATTAAATGCCTAATGCCCTTTTGTTTTCATAAGTATTGTTATAGGATTTTCAGTGTTCGGGATATTTTACGGTTTTCGAAGTTATGACAAGACACTAATGGAAAATGTTGAAATTATTATTCGAATTCGTTTGATTCAAAATAACAATGAAATTGTGATTCACAAAATATTCTATCAAAGAAAAATCGATATTCATTCATGTGTTACATTTTCTTTGTATAGAAGTTCTTAACATTATTCTGTATGAATAATTTTACATTTTGAAAATCTTCATTCGATTAGTTATTTAATGTGTAGCCAGTATTTCTTTCTCTTTTTCTTTTATTCTTTTTGTCAGTATTTACTTAGTCGATGTAAGAAAACAAATTTCTTTTTTTTTATAAGAATGAAGTAAAAACAACATAAAAAATTTGGGCGTAAAATTAATTTGAATAGTTTTTCTATAGAAAATCATGATGATGATATTTCACAAATGGCCACCGATGAACTTGTTCGTTTACGAACAAATTTAAATTCAATCGATAATGAAGTGAATAATAATTCTTTTGTTTTTCATTTCTTATTTTGGTTATTATTCTTAGATTCTCGATCATGTTTTACCAGAAGCTCTCGCTGATAAAGATGATGCTGAAATTGAAGTTGCTGCTGGTGTCGGTGGCCAAGAGGCTATGTTATTTGCTAAAGAACTATTTCAAATGTATTCAAATTATGCGAATTTTCGAAAATGGTCTTTTGAAATAGTTGAATACGATAAAACTGATATTGGTATAGCGAAGAGAAAAAAATAATATTTATTGAAATAAATCGATGCCATTTTTTTTCTTCCCTAAAAGGTGGCCTTCGTCAAGGAAAAGCATTTATCAATGGTTTAAATGTATTTAAAAGTTTGAAATATGAATGCGGAGTACATCGGGTACAACGAGTTCCACAAACTGAAAAAAGTGGAAGAATTCATACAAGTACAGTGATGGTCGCTGTTTTACCACAACCGAAAGATGTTCGATGAATAGCTTATGTTTTCAATAATATTTGTTTTTTCTCGTTTTGATAGATTAAAATCGAACTGCCTGCTAAAGATTTATTAGCTGAACCTATTCGAGCACGAGGTCCAGGTGGTCAACATGTGAACAAAAGTGAATCTGGTTGCCGTTTGACACATTTACCAACTGGTAGGAAATGATGATTTTGTTTCTCGATAAATAAAAATCTTATTTTATCACTGCAGGAATTGTTCTTGAACGGCAAGATGATCGTTTTTTTAATCTAAATAAAAATATCGCCATTAAAGCAATGAAAAACAAGTAATTTAGTTGATTATTGTATACTATTATAATGCATATGATTTGTTAAGACTCTATCAAATGCAATATGATGAACAACAAGAACGATTGTTTCGAACACGTAAACAACAGATTGGCAGCGGAAATCGAAATGAAAAAATTCGCACATATAATATTCCACAAAATCGTATCACAGATGAACGTCTCGATGAAAATGCTCATCATGTTGGTGAATTTCTCGATGGAACTCATCGTTTACATTCGATGATTGAACAACTTAAACAACAGGACAGATTACAACGTTTAATTGAACTAACTAATAAATCGGAAAATTAATTTTTTATGAAAAACAATCAATTTATTTAGATTTGTTTTTCTAGATGGAACAAGAAGTATTAATTTTAGCGACTAAACATGTACATCAAGCTATTTCTAATGCATTGAATGATTTAACACAGATATCTTCTTCACTATTGACAAATTATTCATCAAACCGAAATTTAAACTCAAATATTTCATTACGATGTCGATCATCAAGCAACAATAGAAATAATCGAAAAGTATCATTACATAATGCAATTCCACGTTGTTCTCTACCGGCAACAGAAAATGATCTCGTTCATTATCAAACGCATTTGTTGTCCTATCAACAAACAAATTCAGCTCGTTGTCGACCATCAAGAACTACGAACAGTACTAGATCGAGTAACGTGTTTGACGTACAATATTCATTTAGTCTTAATAAACCGTGCGTAAACAAAAACAATAAACAACAATATAAATTAGCTGACATACAAAATTTTGCAAATAAAGTTATTAAAGATTCCATTCAAACTGCTTTGCTTCAGGTTTGCTAAAATACTAAATTTTTTTGTGATTTGAAAAACCCTTTTCTAATTTACTGTCTCGAAAAAAAGATGGATCATGAAAATTTAACTGACGAAGATGAAACATCTGATTTACTTTTACACCATGCTCCATCTTATACACCTACGGAATGTTGTCAAACAATACATTCATATGTTGATCGATTTATTCATTTGACTATTGACCAAACAATAGAAAAAGTTGCATCACACGACACTGAACTTTTCTCAAATCACCTAGCAAACGAGATCCTCATCGATGTGTTATCAACGATTGAAAATGATGAAAAACATTGTCGAACAACAAAGAGCGATTCCATTCAATCAGAAATTAATGAACACCAACAAACTGGTTTATTCGATCGAAATCGATATGATTTATCAGCAACAACTAGTAGTACTTCTAATGAAGAATCTGTTGAGTCTCTTATGAACCATATCAGTCAACAAATTTATCTTGATTCATTCCAAGAATTAAGACAGTAACAAAAATAGTTGATAGTTTTATTTTTGTAATATTTTCTTTTCTTTTCTGTTTTAGAATATTTACAAAAACCAACAACTATGGTTAATATATTGTGATAGAAATAGGCGAATGATATATAATGTTCTATTTTTGTTTATGGAAAATTGTTCATTTTGATTCTATGTCAGATCAATAATAAATATATTTCATATTATTTCTTAATGAAAATTGAATACTGAATAGAGAAATGAGTGATGTCATAATATCCTTACACCCGGTAACGACTTATTAGCACAAATACGCTACACTATCCACATTAGGTGCATCCACTTTTGGGTATCCGAATTTGGGTGTTCACGATTGGTGTATCCACTTTTTGGGTATCCACATTTATGTATATATACATAAATGTCCATACCCAAATGTGGATACCCAAAAGTGGATACGCTTAATGTGGTTACATCAGATTGTAGATGCACTAAGAATGGATACTGCATAAATTATTGCTGCATAGGGTATTGTGACGTAAAACTCTCGATACCCAGTGTAAAGGTATTATGACATCTATGCTTCATTTATAAGTTGTTTGTAGCGATAAAACACTAGAACTACAATCGTTTTGATGAAGAAATGAAAATGATTCATTTCGAATATATAGGATGCATTACTTCTCAAAGACTGCACTTGCCGTGCTGATAGAGCGAACAAAAATTGTATATACTAGGTGATCACAATTAAAATCTACATTGAAAAATAAAGAATTAAGCATACCTTCAACATCTATTTTTTCTGATATTTGTGCACATGTTGAAATTCGTGGTGATGATGAAGTTGATGATGATAAATGTGTTCGATCAATTTTTGAAGATCTTATATTTGTCATAGATGAATTAATGATATTGATTGGATCTTGAATTGAATCATCTGAAAGAATGAAAAACTATGGCATGTATCAGTTTGAAACATGAAGCGAAATATTACCATCATTTTGATCATCGGCTTGATCTTGTGATAAACGAGTTACTCGAGCATATTCACTATTACAATCTTCAAAGGAACCTGAAAGACAATAAACGAGAAAAAAATAAATAAACAAATATGAAAGTAGACCATGAAAGACTATTTTGACTTGTAATAGTTTATTACGAATAAGAACAAATGTAACATCATCATTTATATTTTTAAGACTTGATCAGGCAACTATTTGGTACGAATTAGTTTCTTCAACTAAAAGTAAGTAATAAGTTGAAGGTGGTGTGTGTTGTGTTGAAGTAAAAACTCGACGTGGAAACGTTTGTCGACGTGATGTCATTAATATACGAAGATGCTGAATGCGCAAATGACGAAAAACATTATCAAACTACTATGCTAATAGAAGTTTATTGAAAAGAATGTATTAGTCGTGTTCGTATGATGATGATAGCGGCGTTACAACAAGAGAATCATTAAACGTAAATACAACACACATATTTGATATGTTGTCAACAGTGACAACATCAGTAAGAGTAGAAGTATGATGAAGTACGTAGAAATACACATTGAGTGCTTTAAGCAAGATGTCATGATAATTAGATGAGAGAAAATAATCTGTGAACAAATATTTCAATCGATGATTATGAATTAAAGCAAAACTTTTATTGTTACACTTGAAAAATAAATCGATTTTATCAAATAAATTATCGTCGTGACCTTTTGAATATTGAGCGAAGTAGCTGACTGATGATCCTCGTCTTCGATATAATAAGGAATGATAGACCATGTGTTTAAGCCGACAACGACGATATATACTGATACATTGGTCAATTTTATCACAACTGCATAGAGCATTATGACACTCGTGTAGTGCACCGCTAATCGAACTTTCATGAACATCAAATAGTCCATCGACTTCGATGGTTCTACTTGATGAATGAGAGTTTGGTTGATTGTGAATTGGGAATTGGGAAATCTACCTGAAATTGTAACCCAAATACCACCTAGAGTAGAGTTAAGTGACATCAATAGAACATTACATACATTATAATTTTTTGTAATTAACTCTCCAAAGTGATGTTCCATGTTGATTCTTAGCAAAATGTCCTAATAATGATTCTTGTCCAAAAGTACCAAAGTTAGATAAACTACCATGTAAACGATATTGATTTGCATAGTGCACATGCAAGTGCTAAACGAAATTCTGAATACTTGTACAAAATGATTGATGATCTCTGTAGTAATTGATCATGAATTCTTTAGCTATAATTTCTGTTTCATCGCCAAGTGTACGCAGTCCATGGAACAGCTTTATTAAAAAGATTCAATTAGATTTCGAATATCGAATAATCCAAAATTTCTTTATTTTGATATATTAATTATTCTTTTGTTGCTTAGTTCGAATGATAAAATTGCCTAATAAAGTTTACTTTCTTTCATATTAATATAATAATAGTAGGAAAAGCGTCGCAAACATTTAGAGATTAAGAGAGATGTGATCTCTAGTAAATATCTACTCTAGCATTGAAAGAAAGCACGAGGACTATTAAATATACTGTAACATTATTTTAATTGCATTCTCAAACAGAAAAAAAAGAATAGCATTGCTTTCGAAATTATTCAGTTGTATGCATAAAAGTCAACTAAAATAATAAACACTATGTCTAAATCGAAAATAATTCTGTCACATTTTTTCAACGTTGATGATAGCAATCTTATTTTATGCATAGGATATATTTAGTTGTTAAATTTATTTTTAGACGTGCTGAAATACAAATAGGTTTGATCATTTTAAAAGAGAAGCATAAAGATGGAAAATTTTTCATGCCACTGATCGACATACACGAAATCGATTTTTTGTTATGCAATAAAAAATTCTTTGCATCTCTTTCTGGATAGATTAGATGAACTTCTGAATCATTCTTTTCTCGTGCTGAATGAGAGCTAACTTGAGTTTTAAAAATATATGACATCTCAATGAGAACACGCTTCATAATTTAGATAACTTTTAGTTACAGTGCGTTGTGCTAGATCTATCGGATAAATGAGTTTCAAAACAAAGAGAACGACATACGTCTTTTTTATTAAAAAGATGATCAGCTGTGAAACAACCCGAAATTAAATTTCATAAGCTGCTGAAGACATTCTTATAATGGAAAAAAAATAAGTGTAATCAGTTTCAACTACTAAGATTTGTCTATTTTGAGACTTAAATTGTAAATATTATATCTTATAATAAAACCATTCTTTCTCTTCATGCACAGCGAATAAAAACACTACTTCTGCAATGAAAAATATATTTTTATAACATACTCGCATTGCTGTAACATAAAGTGCTAAATGTGCAGCCAATTTGACTGGTAGAAATGATCGAATAAGTGGTAATAGATCATATAGCAACATATTTCTTAGTTCTGATGCTCTATAAGAAAAGCCGCATGCTAATTAGAATTTTAATGAATAAAAGTTACAAACTTGCAATAAGAGAAATCTTTAACGCAACACATCTTTCTATTAACGTGATGAGGAAAAGCTTGATGGCGAAAAAGGTCATCTAGCTCATCTCTTTGTTTTGGTTTTAAAATTTCTTGATAAATATATTGAATAATAGTACGTGTATGACGCAACAGTGACACGTGCATGTAGTCAATAACTATACAACGTGGCAAAGGAATATCAAATACAACAGAAAACGGAGATCTGCCAAGATAACCATAAATATTTTTTTTGTTTTTTCTGCTTCTTTTGAATAAAATTCATATTCAGTTTCTGAACGAAGGATAATTTCGTTCTCGAAGTAGTATTGTCTTTTATTATCAACGTGAATACCATGTGTATAACACAACCAACAGCAAATATAACCTTGATGACTAATATGCTTCGTTGGTAGTTTAATTGCAGGACAATCTCCAGCTAATCCATATACAATTATTTTGTAATTTATACCAGATCGAGTTGAAATACCTAGAGTTGACAAATTAATTGTTTTTTTATTAGAATAAGATTCGTTAATCCTGTTCTTTTAGTAGGAAAAGACTATAAGATGATATTGACAAAAATAAAATTTAAAGCGGTGAACTGGAAAAACTTAGAAACTTAACAGTATCTGTGATCTAGCAAAAATTAATATAAGAATATATCAATCGTTTTTTGCTATTTATTTTGTCTGCGATGATTTGATACAATAAAGCTATTTTCATTGTAGGTGTCATCTCATTATTAAAAAATACATTAATTTTTATTTTCTCGTAAATCTTATTCTTGAAGGTAAGCTTTAAATACTTTTCTTCTTGACATCGTTTAGTTGTTGAAAAGATTCTTCTAACCATAAGTCCACAAGCGGCTCACAATGACCAATCCAGACAGAAAGAACAATCACATTGAAACGCCGATAACGAAGATGAACAGGAAGTTCGATTAAACTACAGCTAAGCAACCATAAATTAAGTTTACTGGATTTGCATAAACTGATGCCATCTAAGTGTAACAGTAATGAAATAGATGATGATGAGCCACGGCGACTTTGAAGTTCTTTATAGACTTGATTAAATATAATATCATTATTATTGTTCTGGCGTGATAAATAATTAAGATTACATTGTTTTAGATTATCTTCAATTTTTGATGAAAGACGATCCAATATTCATGCAAATACTAATGGTTGATTAACATCAAATATACTAGCTATAGATTTCTCTTCCTTTGGAAAGCATTTGTTGCACAATTTGCCATTATGTGACAACTACGATGTTAAATATTCTATAAATCTTGTTTAGAGCTTCCAAAATATTTTTATCGCCTTCATTGAAATTAAGCTAACATTTTATAGAATCATATAAAGCTTTCGATGTTGTCGGTGAATTGTGAGGTTGCGAAAGAACACTACTAATAAGCTTGAGAATACGCAAACAATGAATGTTACTAATATTAGCATCTTTGAATATTTCGACTATTTGTCTACAAAACGTCCATGTTTTGGTGGTGGTAGTATAGAAATGAAGGAAATTATCATTTTGATCGTTATTTGGTGAAAATAATTCATCTGATATCAATGGTTCATCTTGATCATCCATCGAAGTTCACAATCTGAATTAAAGTCAAACTGTGATTTACTTGAAATTTCTTCCACGGAATCAAGGTCAAAATCATTATCAACATCTAGTGTTTCATTATCATCTGTTGAAGAGTGATGACTAATCTCTGTGGGATTGTTTGATGTTGTTTCATCTTCATTGGCACGTGCTGTTGGATACTTTTCGATTGTTTTCCTACAGCGACGAATATTTTCTTGTTCCTGTACATGTTGTGATCGCTGTTGAGCATATTCCAAAGCAATACGTATATGTTGATACATATATTAAATAAAAATAGTTAGAAGTAATCTAAAGAAAAAGATTTATCGAAGTCTTTTCAAAATCAAATATATTGGATGGCAACGTTGTGATATCCTTATAGTCGACTTTCTCTGTAAAAAAAAAAGTAATTACAAAGTTGGTGTTAGAATATAAAAATATTATTAAATCATTTTAATAATAAATCCGAAAATTTCATATCAATAAGAATTTGTGCTACATCTCGAAACCCAATTAACTGGAGAGAAACAAATACTAAAAAAGCCAATTCTTTTCACTCAAGTGGTAGCAAATAGAAAAACTTAGAGTACGACCACGTTGCTAGTTGTTAAAGTGTATGTTTGTTGTTGCTTTTCAATGATTTACTCAAGAAAAGTAAGACGAAAATTCTAACTATGTGATTGTGAGGTATATGCATATAAGATGTTCAATATTCTTATTTCTCGATGTTCAATTTCCATAATTTCCGAATTTATTGAATGACAATCATTTCATACATACATATAATAATAGTATACATAATCAATAAAGTAAATAGAATTAGAATAACAATACATGAAATATGTCATTGAGACAACTAATTTGTGTTTAATGAATATGAAGATGTTTACAAGATGGAGAAAGACTGAAAAAAAATCAAGAATGATTATTTACAAGATAGAAATACCTCACTGAAATAAGAAAAATTTAAAGTTCACTTATAACTATAAGTTGTCAAATTTTAATTGCTAGCAGATTTATTGAGATATTAGAGTTATTCATTTATATCTGCATTGAATAGCAGTCACGTTCGTCTTTACTTTGTATTTTCTATTGCATATTTTCATTCGTGTAAACAATTGTCCATATTCTTTTTTTTCTTTATAGAACGATTTCCATTCTTTCTACTGATTTAACCCTAACATTTGTACTGGTGATCCCGTGTCGTATAATATCAAGCACTCTGCAAGTGTGTATTTGCAGAAATATTTTATGAAATGATTTAAGATATTGTTTGTAGAATAACTTTTGTCTAGAACATTTTTTTAGACTGATTATAAAAAATAAACGATACGAAATACTTTTAAAAGAAATTATAAGAAAAACAGAAAATGTAAAGAACGTTGAGATATGAATACGTCTAGATGGTATATCGCTTTAAAGCAAGAGATATATTCAAAGACCCGTTTTATTATCCCTATATCCATACATTACTTTATTTTCATTTATAGTAATAACTATTTTTGTTTCGTCAAGAAAACATTCATGAGTAAACTCTCAAGCACAATATTCAAAACAACATTGGAAAAGAAAAGCCCGAAATCTTTGAAAGCATCAATACAAATATGTATTGAATGACTTGATTCTATACGATTGAAAACCACATCGCATAAATTACGCTAACTGAAGCGATGAAATAAATAAACAAACAGCTTGTACTACGATGTGGTATATTAATTATGACACTGTAAACATGTGCAGCTACGCAGAAAATCAATGATACAAATACGATCGTACATGATCGTATATAGTCATCGTTATTCATCGTATTATTTTGGATATACAGTCGTGTACGATCGTGGATAGTTAACCTGGGTCGTCATATACGAAAAAACGAGTTTATGATACGTTGCACTTTCATAAACCATTTCTTTTGTTAAATACCCTACCAAAAACATTTTTTCCGTTTATTATTCTTCGGATTTTTCTTACAGTGTACTCCAGTTGTTAGGTGTTGATGTATGAATTCGAGTGAGTTCGAATAAAGTATATTATTAACTGATTTCGATTCAATTTGAAATAAGTTTTGTACAAACTGCGTCAATGCTTTTCTAAACTTTGTCGAAATCACAAAAACTATTGCATGCCGCATTTAATCTTCACAATACACCTCAACTTCTTTGGCAGAATACTCATGCATTTCTTTCTATTATAGCATGCATGCGAAAGGGTGTGGATGCATATATGATTCGCTCTCCTGCACAGTTTAAACTTGTTTTTTTTTCTTTCTTTTCCAATCTTTCCATAAGTATTTATTCTTTCTCTTTCACTTGCAGGGCTTTTCATTTTTATTTGCTCAGCACAACCTTCAACATTTTGTTTTCTTCCAAATGTGAGCACTGCTTTTTTTCCACCCAGCGTCAAAAGCATTGTATGAATATTCGTTCCTTGCCATTTACATTGAGTCTTATTTTCAACTTTTGTACAAAATCAACGTGAGTTTTTTTTCCATGAAATTTATGATGCAGTTATTTTTTTCTTCCTGTTGATTTGCAACCATTACGTTATATTTTTATTTTGAAATTAATCTACCTTCCTTTTTGTTTCTTATCCACGTTTATGTTCTGCTTTCGCATCGAAAACCGCACTTTTTACCACTCAACATGCCTTCAGTAGAGGGATCCACGAAAAATAAATTTTATGTCGTTTTACTTTTAGATCCCTCCAGTAATCCTTTTAGTACGCATTCAACCAATGACACACCAAAAACATTTCAATCATTTAAAACCCTCCTCTTAAATATCCTGAGTACCTAAAAATATAACATTCAATATTTCGTCACGTACAGTATCAATCTATATTCTTATGCTTGACATCTCAATATCAATGGATACGAACCACACAAGGGACTAAAGGGACGAAAAGGATTCAAGGAATTCAAGGGATTATGTAGATTGAAATATCCTAACATATTTTGCTGTGCATCTTAGCATAAAACTAAAACTATAAAATTACTTTTTTCGCGGACTTAAGTATCTCTTTGGCATACTTATTACTTTTCATTTGCCAACAGTTCACTTTTTTAACAGTAAAGTTCTATTTGGTACACAATGTGTATGCATAAATATTGCTGTGTGATTGACATGAGCTACAGCCAATGAATATTGAAACCCTACACTGAAAAAAAGGTTTCGATTTCGCTGCAAAATAAGTTCCGAATGGAAGCATTCTTTTTTCAGGGTTACATGCACGTGAACCTAAATTGACAGTCTATTTCTTGATCACTTTTTTCTGCCCGTGCTCGGTTATGAAATAGAAGAAAGCGAATTCGAAGTGGTACAAAGACTTATCGTTGAAATTACTGTTGTAGAGAATGACAAGTTCAGAAGGTAACGTGACTACAATCCGTCGGAAACTGGCATTAATCATTGGCAATCAAAATTATGAAATAAGGCCTTTGAAGAATCCTGAGAAGGATGCTAACGATCTGAGTAAAGTCTTACGTAGAATTGGATTCCAAGTTGAATTGGGTATCAATTGTACGTACGATGCAATGAATAATTTAATTAGCAGGTTTACTAACCGAATCACAGATGAAGATTTAGTATTGTTTTATTTTGCTGGACATGGTTTTCAACAAAATGAACGGAACTTTATACTGCCCATAGACACAACTGAACGTTTTGACAACGAGACAATAATTGGAACCAATACACTCAACGTTCAAGATATTTTGGAAAAAATGAAATCCAATACTTCGTATGCAACTATATTTATTCTTGATTGTTGTCGTCAATATCGGTTTCGAAACCGAAATATTTCACAAGATTCTACAAAACAGTTTAAAGGATTGTTCAAAATGACAGCACCTGCTGGTTCACTTATTCAGTTTGCCTGTGCTCCTGGTAAATTAGCTGCAGATGACAGCGATCAAGCTAAGAATGGATTATTTACGAAACATCTATTGAAACATATTGCCAGACCTAGTATAGATGTAGATATACTACTTCGAGAAGTTGCTAATGGTGTGTTTGAAGAAAGCAAAGGAGAGCAAACGCCGTATCGCGACAGTTGTCTAATGACTATTGGGAATATTTATCTAAACACTGAAGAAGATGGTAAGAATGTTTTAGTAGCGTTCTCCTTAGTTTGTGAATCGCTTCCAGCCTGTAACGACAGTAATAATTGTGAACTCTTATTCACGATAGCTTCTATAGGTCTATTTTATAATCAACGTATAATTGAGGTTGGTTAGTTGCAATTTTTCTATTTGAGATGTAAATCTTGACCAGCACTATCTTGAGGGTGTGGGTGTCAGAAGAAGACATCATAATATCACACACACATATCTATACACTATCAGTGTTTTCATCATTATAAAGTCAATATCAGATTATTATCATGAATGCGAGATATATGTCAATGGCATATAGTTGGTATTCAATCGCGCTAATTTTTATCAACGCTATCTTGTTTGTTCTCATTTGCTGTTGTTGACTAGAAACACGACATGCATAAGTGACGAAATAATTCTTAATTCTTCTTCAATACAGATTAGCAATTTGTATTAATCAGAGAGAAGTGAGCACACAGAAAAATAAAAAGGCGAATGAAGCACGAAGAGAACCACAATAATACTGTAATAAAGAAGAAAGAGGAAAGTGAAAAAATGATGCCCAATATGTAGATTAAATTGTTTCCAGATCACATGTACATCCATACCATCGAGATTTATTTTCTTGGTTTTTTTTCATTGAGAATTTCAAAAGTGACTTCATTATCGTTAGTTCTAGATAAACTTATAATGAGTTGTTCTATGTTCTCTTGCAGAATGGAACAAAATCTACTTCGATGAAATATGCAACAACGATTTTGGCATCTCAACTTTCTTGAGTCCTGAAAAAAGCATTTTTCAAACGAAAATCTCACGAGAAAAAGTGAAATTCAATCCGAACCAATTGCTAACTACATTCAAATGCTTTGCGGTCCCAGCATCCGTTGATCTAAATGGATCGTTAGATAAAAATTTCTGTACAATCATCGATAAACCATGTAACAAATCAGTTCTTACCGATCTGATTAATACGAATCAAACATTATTACCATATATTCTCGATAGCCTCAAACGTTATCATGCACTAACAGATATCCATTCGACGCTGTTAGGATGCAACGAACTTACTAAAGAATTCGTTAGTATTCCAAGAATCATCACAAAACGCACGTTGCTCATCGTTGCTATTGAATGTTTATCGCTCGAAAGTCAACGATATTTCGGCACATATATACGTAAAAATGACTTACCAATACCTTTAAGTTACTATATTAGTGATACATGTGATTCTGCTTCGTATAAAATCAATTTCAACTGTCTTATCGAAGTACTTTGTCTGAGTACAGATCGACTGTGTATTCAATTTGGCAGTGAGAGTTGTGTCGGCTTAGGGAAAACAAGTATCATACCATTTATATTCAACGATAAAAGACGAGCCTTATTATTCAATAAACGTGAAGATTCCCACTATCGTTCCTCATGCATCGATGTTGTTTTTGGTACGACAAACAATTCGTCATACGTTATTTTTGATGTTCATGGTAGTCTCAATAGTGAAAAGAATATTTTACTTGTCCGAGCAATTCAGCTATATGCAACGATTCAAGTTCTCTACATTTCACCGAATGATTTAAACGAAACAAATGAATTTTTTGAGTACATGATCAATCAAGGATCACCTTTATCAACTATTGTCTGCATATTTGATGATAACTTCGACGATGAGAGATCTATGAGTATGGAGAGCGAAAACGAATTGACCAATCGCTTTCAAACGTATGCCAATCAACATAATTTTGGTGAGAATATTCTATGTACAGTAGTGCCCATATTGAAAACGAGTAACGACTTAAGTGAATATGACATTAATACTCGTGCCGAACGACTCATTCCGACTTTCGCTCGACTTTTTTGTGAATTCGAGGAGTCAATGAGAATTCGACCACAGTTTCGATCTATATTCGCGATACAACATGCTTATCTCAGGAAAAAAACTCATCCAGCTGTGATAAAATTCGAAGTTGAGAATAAATTTAGACAGCTTTTTAACAATCTGTCAGATGAAACGGAAAATCTAAAAATAATTACACCGATCAGTTACTATCGTTCGCAAATTGATTCAATTCAAAAACGACTTGTCGAAATGGTCGATTCAACAAATGAAATCAGTCAGTTGGCAGCAAGATTAAAAGAAATTACACTGAACCGCCGAAAATATAAAGAAGTGAATCCGTATGCTGAATTCATGATCGGACTTCTTCAATATGCACCTTATGTTTGTCTCGAAATTATTGATTTTCATCTTGGAAAGTGGCGTTTACGTTATGCGTCTGAACTGAATTCAGAGAAAGAAAAGCTCAAGAAAGATGCCGAAGACATTAAAAATAAACTTTCATCCGAAAAGAAACAGAATCCGAATGAAATAACAGCAATCATCAAACAGCTTGATGAGCAATCAAAAATATTACAAAGAAAAATTAACGATAAAAATGCGCAAATCGCCAATGTTGATTTAACAGTCGGTTTAATGATTGACGAATTATTCGCATTGTACGACTATTTGCATGACGAACAGCCGATCTTATTCGACAAGTACGAAATGGATTTCAGGCAAGTAGCAGATACGCTTGCTCGGCTTGTATATAGAGGCTTAGGTATTCACATACTTCGTAGTCGACCACTTTTATGTCAGAGTGGTTTGATGGAAATTTGCCTCAAACAATTGCGTGTAACTGAAGACGGTCAACTGGCCACGTTGACTGTTATTGGAGAGCAATCGTCAGCTAAATCTTCTCTTTTAAATACTACATTCGGCTATAATTTTCGTGTAAGTGCTGGACGATGTACTATTGGCATGTATTTAGGTGTAGTCTATTACAAAAACATGACAATTATCATACTTGACACCGAAGGTTTGCTTTCACTTGAAGAGTCCGGTTCAATTTTTGATAATCAAATGATTACAATGGCTGTTCTGTCGTCTCATATTGTGCTAATCAATCACAAAGGTGAATTAAGTGCTAGTCTTGAAGGACTCATTGGTATGAGTCTTTTTGCTAAATTACACCTCCAAACTTCTCCACTCAAACCCAAATTAATGTTCGTTCTTCGTGACCAGATGGATAGAGGACAAGAGGTTTTTGTCGAACAATTGGCAAAGCTACGAAACAATTTGCGCAAGTCATCCAGTTTTCTTCGTGTATCGATCGATAATGAACTTGAAATACGCGAGGAACATCTTGCACTTTTGCCATGTGCTTTTTCCGAAGATACTAATGTTGATTTGAATCTCACTCAACGCTGGCGTAATCAAACATTTCCATCCGAAATCATGAAACTTCGCTCTCAAATTTTTCAAGCTCTAGATGAACACAACATAACACCAAATTTTAGCTTTAAAAATTTCGATTATTTTTCCAAGAAAATATGTGTCAATTGGAGTTCAATTGATCAACTTGGTCAAGGTCTACTTGAATGTAAAACATTGTACGAGTTGAGCGTTACCAATGAACTTAAAGAAATAGCGAAGACTATTGTGACAAAAAAATCAGAACAACTGCAGATCAATGGAGGAACCATGCTTAAAGAGTTGCTAGAGAGTCGAGAGAATCAAACTCAAATCAATCCTGATATCTACATGAGAGACTTGATCAAAAAAGGTATTCAGCAACTCGATAATCTTACAAGTGACTTGGTTCACGAAGCTAACAATGAATTTGAATCTTCCACTCCGCAAAGTTATTTTGCTGAATTGCGACCTAAAGTAAAGAAGAATATTGAACCATCGATTCGATGTAATCAACAAGTTCTGCAAGCACAGTTCGAAGAAGACATATACACTGTAGCACGTGTAAGTGCCACTATTCAAGTTCAAAAACAACTCCTAGCAAGTGCGAAAACTTTCTTCGATCGTAAGTCTCGTACAACTGATGATGTCGAAGAGCTTAACCAAGCGTTAGAATTGAAACACAAAGAGTTAAAATGTGAATTCGAAAAAAGTCTGAATTTGTTGCGTAAATCTCATGAGGAGATTATTAAAACGATTCACGATAATTACAACCAAATAGTACGTTCACGTCGAGCTAATACGAAGACGGACGATATCTATAATCGATGCCCGCCGTTCGATTATCACCGTTATCTTGAAAGATGTACACAACTGGATAACATATTTGGCTTGAATTTAAAATTTTTTTCCACAAAACAGAAAGATTCTTCATTCTTACATAGATTACGCGAGCGTTTTATATCAGCAGAAAATAAAATTCTAGATGAATTACAATGGTTTCGAGATCATCGTGATTACGATCGAAATCGAGAAATATTTCAACAGATTAGTGAAGAACTTATACCAAATCTCCATAAAAATATTGTTAAAATGCTTGCAAATATCAGATTAGCCTATTCTGATCCTCAAACCATAGCAAATTTAATCGACTATGTAGATAATGCAGTGAACGGAACACAATCATGTATTCAAAAATACTATAAACAAATTAATTTACAACATATAGTTGCTGATTTAATTTTTATTGCACTTCGATGTCTTATCGACGAAGCCATAATGATTGCAGGACAGAAGGATCTTGAAATGTTAAAAGCCCTGGATGGATTAGAAGTATGGATGAACAACATCAAAGAGCAGTTCATTTTAATCAGTGATTCAGACCAGCAAGCTCGAAAATTTGCCGCTGATTTTCTCGACCAGCTCTTTGAAGAAATCATGGATATATTTAAGGACACTATCCATACTGAGATTTCTCTGAAAATCACTGCGAATCCTCATATTGATCCAGAAAGAATCGCTCGTAATGCATATGACAATAGTATTGGTTCAAATCCGCCTAATGGTGATAATATAATGAAGTATGTACTCGATATCAATCGGTACTATATGGAATTAGCATTAGATAATGTGAAACTCAGTGCTGACAATATTGTTGCGTCGCAAATTCTCAAGTTACAAAATTTGATAAGTAATTGCATCGACACGTCCATTGATGTAGTAAACAAGCATGAATGTCTCAATGTTCAACAAGTGTACCAATCGATTATTCAAGCTTTACAGAGCGTAATTCCAGGTTTGAAAGCTGAAAATCTTGTTGGGATTTCAGCAGAGATTCTAGAACCAGAACAGTTTCGATACCGATTTCTAGGAATTCGCGATCAACGTGAGGATCTGATCCGGAAAGTCGAGAATCACCAAAAAGAATTCGATGAAAAAGCCAGACATGCTTGCCGAGTGTTAATATCACAGCGACTAGGTTGTCAAGCTTGTTGCCCTGGTTGTGGAACGAAGTGTGATAATACTGAACTGATTCATAATAAGCATAGGAGTGCACATCACTTGGCCATGGCCTTCAAAGGTTGGCGATATATAAACACAAAATATCCACTTTTGAACTTATGTTATCAAAACTGGGATAATACAGCTGCAATAATAATTGGCGATGACAGATTTTCACCTAGGCGTACATATTATGAAGAACGAGCGCCTGAATGGCTCGATGATCTTAATGATAAAGCCAGAACGGGTGACATGCACGGTGAAAATATACCTCCATTTGAACAACGACGAGCGTGGATGACTGTTCATCATGCTCTGGTGAAACATTATGCAACTATAGATCATCCATCATACGACAGGAGCTACTATCCATCTTCGATAGACAGTTTACCTGCTGATTATGAGCCTAAGTGGATCTATCGTAGTTAGACATTTGATTCTCGTAATCATTTTTTCACATTCATATTACTATTTGCGTTCGCTGAACTCTGAAAGCGAGAGTCTACGTTTGTGAATCTAGTTGGATGTACGGATATAGATCTTTTGAAGAAAAACAAGAACTAAGTTCATCTAGATATAGCTGCAGGTAGCAGTTCGGAAAAAGATTAGAATGATTGGATCATAAGAGACTGTCTCTGCAGCAGATATTTGTTTTCGATATATTTTTCTTGCGTTTCAAAGTATGTAATTTGACAAATTCTCAAATATCTTCGTATGCAGAAACTGTATGCCATAGAGATAGATGTGTCAACATGGCAGCCTTCCTATGTAAAAAAGAATAGATTACTTTTAGCAGTCAAGCACAGTAATACGAGCCAATAATTGGATTGGTAAAACAGTTGACATTCTCTGGTTTGCATAATATGGGTTTATACCCTGAAAAATGTCCGATCAGGATTATGAATTTTTATATTAAAAAGAAAAGAGCTATATATCGAATCGTCTAGAGTCACAAGCTATATATATAGAAAATGTGCCTATTGAAATCTGATATTTATGATATTGCATTCTCGTATCTTTACTACATTCAAGAATATTCTCAGACTTAAAAAATTATAAAAGCTGATGAATTCGATCAAAATCGCTTATCATTTCTTTGCATTGATGGGGTCTTGTGAAACAAAAGCAAGTAAGAATGAGTACAATTTTAAAAATTATGTAGGATGCTCCCTTAAAGGATGAAAAGAAATTTTCAAATAATTGAAGTATCAAGTGTAGTGAAATAATAAAATCTCTCTACAAAAAATTCTACACATAAATAATTCCTATAGATGACACTGATATCGTTTTTCTTTACCAACAGTTATAACAAGTATTGATCGAAATTTAAAAAAGAATATGAATAACAAAATCATGAAAAAAAATAGAATATACAATATTAGTTGAAAATGAAAAAAACAAGATTTCATTAATTCTATTGATCCACGAATCATAATAGTGACTCATTATTATCGCTGTGCTGTGCTGTGCTTGTATGTTTTTTTCCCTTTTTCTGTCAATTGAACTATTTATTTCAAAATAATCGATTCCCTAGTTATGGCTCTTACCTGGTTAATAGCTGTAGGTATTGCTGCTGCAATCATCCCCTTAGGCATTCATCAAATTCCTGAAGGGCACTATGGAATATATTACAGGTTAAAAATAATCAATATTTACTAGTCAAAACACTTCTTTATGCTCATTATAGAGGAGGTGCTCTTCTGACATCGATGACTGCGCCCGGTTATCATGTTATGGCACCTTTTATTACGTCAGTAAAAGTTGTTCAAACAACTTTACAAACTGATGAAGGTAAACATTCATTTGAATTTCATTAGCAATAGTTTTTATAAAAATCTTTATTGGTATAGTTAAAAACATTCCATGTGGAACCAGTGGTGGTACTATGATTTATTTTGATAAAATTGAAGTTGTTAATATTTTAAATCGTGAAGCTGTTCTTGATATTGTACGAAATTATACAGTTAATTATGATCGAACATTAATATTTGATAAAATTCATCATGAAGTTAATCAATTCTGTTCAGTACATTCACTTCAAGAAGTCTATATCGATTTATTTTCCAGTATTGATGATCATCTTAAACGAACAATACAAAATGATTTAAATATTTTAGCACCAGGACTTTATATTAGTTCAGTTCGAGGTAAATCATATTTTTACGATAAAAAAGAACAATCAAGACTTGAAAATTCATCTGTATTTAAAGTAACAAAACCAAAAATTCCCGAAGCAATTCGTCGAAATTATGAAACTATGGAACAAGAAAAAACACAGTAAGGTCTTGTTTGTTTTTATTGGAATGCGAAAATTAAATTAAAAATAAATAGATATATGATCACAACTGCTCATCAACAAGTTGTTGAAAAAGAAGCAGAAACTGATCGTCGTCGTGCAGTGATTGAAGCTGAAAAATTAGCTCAAGTTGCTAAAATTCAATATGGACAAAAAATTTCAGGCAAAGAAGCTGAAAAACGTATTGCTGAAATCGAAGCTGAAATGCATTTAGCTAGAGAACGTTCGTTAGCTGATGCAAATAAATACAAAAGTGCTACAGAAGCTGAATCAAATAAAGTAAAACTGACACCGGAATACCTGCAATGGTCTATGTATCAAGCATTAGCAAAAAATACAAAAGTTTACTTTGGTAATTCAATTCCAAATATATTTACAACAGACGTAAAATTAGATGATCAATCGAAGAAAAACTAAACGATAATTATACAAAAAAAGAAAAACATTTCTTGGTGTTCAATCGTGATATAATTCTTTTTTCTTTTGTGTATTCAATGAACTTTGTTATTCTTGTTGACTAAAATGAACAACCATGTAAAAACAAAAACAAAAAAAGTTTAATTTTTATTCAGGACCTAATTCAGTTTATTGAGAGATTTGTTAGGTAGATTTCAATTGTTTTCTTTTTAAATAAAATCTCATGTCATACTAATATTATTCCCTAAAGAAATTAAATCTATCGACAAAATTTCCATGTTGTTTATTTGTGACTGTATTAGAAGTTCTTATGCGAAGAATTTGGAAAAAAAATAAATGTAATGAGAAAATCGATCTTTTTAAATCAGACGATCTTTAACAAACTTCTGTTTCATATAGTAGTAGTACAATTATTTGTTTCGGTATTGCATAGCAGCCTCTGTCTGTTATCATATCGAATTACTTTTTGCTGCTCTCTACGGAATTTTTTTCGTAAATTGATTATTTTAATGATGAAAGAAAAGAAAAAAACAGTTCGCAAGGATCATGTAATCAAACGTATGAGAATATACAAATGTGCTCATTTGAAATTTGAAGTTTAAATAATAAGAAAACATGGAACGAAGACGTTTACAACAGCAAAGAATGAAACAACAACACCGTTTTTGTGTTAGTCAACAAGATTTAACAGATGCTATGGCTCGTATGAAGCCACCACGACGTGCGACCTATAATAATATAATGAATATTTCTGCATCGTCAGTATTGTCATGTTCAGCAGATACATTGACTACTCCATCAGTTTCAAAATTAGTGAAAGAATTCGAAGCACGATCAACACCCTATGAAAGTACACACGATGATATATCGGCTGGTAAAGAAAATTTTCCTACCGAATTAGAATCTAACGGTTTGCAGCAAGTATCAACTCCAACAATAAAAATCAAGGCTAATAATATCGACGGCAATGCCAATATTTCTCGTTTGAATAACGACGCCGATCAAACAGTCAAAGAAAAAACACAACAAGATCAATCGATCGGAGATAAAGGACAAGAAACAATAAAGCAAGATCAAACTGTAGTTAACGATCGTCACAAACGAGAGCAACAGTCATCGTCGTCTTCATCCTATTACAGTGTCGAAGGTAATAACGCCATGCAAATGGTAACACGAAATACAGATAATGATTCAACTGTTTCAAAACGGCATGATAAAATTTTCGGAGAAATACTTTCAAAAGAAGCACAACTTAATAATGCTCTTGCAGATTTAATTTCATTATCGAATGATGCTGATATATCGTCATCGGTATCTTCATCAGCAAAATCATTAACTAATGCTTTTCAACATCCGCGAACATCGAGCACTAATGATAATAGCAATAGTATATCAGCAAGTATTGCTTTATTAAACAATTTACTCGAAACATTCGATCTGGACAATGAAGATTATAAAACCAAAACGACAAAGAAAAATCCTAATGATCAAATTAGTGATAAAAAAAATAACGACATGATTCAACCGATTAATATGCTTTGGTAGTAAAACATAGGAAAAAAAACAAACAAACACAAAAATAACTTTTCTTAATGACTCACTCATTAACTTGTTCTGTTTCTTTTTTAGTGTTATGAAACCAGATAATGTATGCGCTAATTGCGGCCAATCATGTGCTACTAATGAACAGATTGTTAATGCAGCGGGAAAAATTTGGCATACGCAATGTTTTGTGTTAGTTTTCTACGATCTGTTTTAGTTCTATCGGAAATTTGAGAACAAATGAATTGACTATGAATTTGTACTTTAAGTTTTTCTTAAGCAAATTTTTTTTTTAGGTGCGCTCAATGTTTTCAACCATTTGAAAATGGAATCTTTTTTGAAGTAAACTAATAGATATTCTATTGAGTTTCTTACTTTTGCAAAGAATTTTATTTTTCATATTTATAAGTATGAAGGTCGAAAATATTGTGAACGAGATTTTCAAATGTTATTTGCACCATGCTGTGCGGAATGTAGTAAGTCTTATCGTATAGCTAGATCTTTTCTTTTGTTGCAATTATGATTGTTTATTTTTTTGTTGTTATTTAGACCAAGTTATAATTGGTCGTATTATTCGAGCACTGAAAAAATGCTTTCATCCAGATTGTTTTCGTTGTCAATTATGTCATATTCCATTACTTGAAATAGGTTTTTCAAGAAATAATGGAAGGTTTATACTTTTGATTTTGATTGAGTAATATTATATAAGAAACTCGAAGTTTTTAGAGCTCTATGTCGAGAATGTCATACAAAAGAAAAAGAAAAAGATTCAAATGCATCACAACGAATTTGTTCAACATGCCAGTAAGTTACCTTTTAAAATTAACACGTGTGTAGTCAGTATTATTCAGTTCCACTATAGTAGAAACTATGCAAACTGATTATTCCCTAATAGAAAGACTTTTTAAAGTAGAAATGCTAACCGTTGCCGATCAATACGTCAGCTGACGTCGGTCTGGGCAAATAAATGATGATGTAGTGTAGTGATTAAATTACTGAAAAACTTCAAATAAAACAATTAGCAAAGCCTTGATGATTTGTAGTAGCTGTACTCTATGACAAATGAAGAATATTAAAAATTTTCATGTTTCTAAGGATACAACTTTTGTTTTCTCTAGTCAAATGATGGATAGTAAATATATCAAATACAAAAGTGAATATTATCATCCTTTTCATTTTCAATGTTCATCGTGCCGGTTAGTTTGATCCATTCATTTTTTCTAAGTGTGAAAATATGTTTTCTTTTTTTTATATAGAGTTGAATTAAATGAGAATGCTCGAGAAGTATGTGGCTTATTATATTGTCTTTCGTGCCATAATAAACTTGATTTACCTGTGTGTGCTGCTTGTCGACGTTTAATTGATGCTCGAGTTATTAGTGCTCTGGGAAAACAGTGGCATGTCGAGGTTTGAATGATTCTTTTACTCGATAAATTTCTTTTATTATCTTTTTAGCATTTTTGCTGTACACGTTGTGCTCAACCGTTTTATGGTAGTAAACATTATGAAAATAATGGTTTAGCATACTGTGAAACGGATTATCATATTCTATTTGGTTCAACATGTTTTATTTGTAATAGAATTATATCAGGAGGAGGTAAATTAAAAATCCTTATTTGCTTTGATATAACATAGTCAAATGTTTTATCCTAATTAGCTCGCGACTTTCAAATTAATATTTAATTCATAAGCTAATTTCAGTAAAACTTACTCGCTCACAAAGGAAAAAGACTTTTTGACAGTTATTCATCGATTATATGTTCAAATAAATGCTCGGTTTTTTGTTTTTTCTAGTTTATACGGCATGTAACAAAAAATATTGTGTTGATCATTTTGCTTGTTCTAAATGTGAAACGAAAATGAATGAAAAAAGTAAATTTTTCGATGTTGATGGAACACCTGTTTGTAAATCATGTTATGGCAAATTACCATCAGATACTCGAAAATCTCTTCAACACGATCACAAAAAGAAATCATTGCCATCTATTCTAAAACAAAGTACTGTTTAAAGAAAATTGTCAGATATTTTTTGTTTCTTGTACAGTTATATTAACTTTACTATTAACAATATTTTCTATATTTCTTTTCCTTTTTTCCTTTCTATTATTCATTGATCTATAAACAAGAAAAGATCATTATCACATAATAAATTTCTTTGACTGATATGTAATACGAGAAATAACAATATAAATCGATTTTCGACAATCAATAATGACTTATTTGACGAGTAGCTGCCTGATTCGACGTCGAGTATAAACAATAAAAACGAAAGGAGCTAACCATAACCATATAGCTAGCGATAGTTTTAGTTTTACTTATATATGCGTACATATATATATATACGTATATTTTTAAAAATCAAAAACTGTTGCGAAGAAAGCCACATATTCTCTAGAAAAGCATCTACCTTAACATAAATTTTGTAATTGATATGCATGTACAACGTAAACTTAATGAATCCACCTCGATATTTGCTGATATTAGTGAAAGTTTAGAACTTTCAATCAAGTAAAAAGATGGCATTGTGGTAGATAGTTGCATAGATTAACTATCTTAATCGATAATGGTATAATGCAGAAAGCAAAGCAATTAATGAACAGTTATCAAAACTAACAGAAGAACTAATTCAAACTAAGAAAGGTGAAGCATGAATTTTCTCAATAACAATAAGCATGATAAAAAAAACTTTGATTCGTGCATCCGTCATATTAAATTAAAAGTTATATCATCAGTGTTTTCCTCTATTGAAGTTGTCTCCTACTACAGGGATTGGGCGCGAAGGTGAGTTTGAGTGTAGGTGTACCACATTAAAATTTTTTAAAATTCTTTCCAAAACGTTTAAAGTTAATTGAATATTTTTTTAGAAACCATTTTGAATTTTGTGGAAGATTTCATAGTTTTTCTTTAAAAACTTCTAAAACTATTTCCAGCAATGTCCAGAAATTTTTTGGAATTATGTGGGAAATTTTTAAAATTTTTTAATGATTTTTCTAAAAATGAGCATGACTTTTTTAAGCTTATTTTGGAAAATTTTCATAAATTTTTTTAGAAATATTTTGAAATTTTAGAAATTATTTGGAACCTTGTGCGACTTTTTTTTGGTTTTTCATAGATTTTATTAATTCCTTTCAAATTTTCTTTTAAAATTCAACGAACTCTTTTAAAAATTATATGGGAGATTTTAAGAAACATTTCGGAGATTCTCTCGTAATTGTATAAAATTTTTTGAAAATTTCGAGTTTCGTTGAAAAGATATTTTGGAATATTTTCCACTTTTCGTAAATATTTTCTAAATTCTCGAGCGACATACTGTTAATTGAGAGTTCGAGTGTGAAAGGTATAGGTATACAATCACTAGATTTCAATCAGCCAGACAGTCCACAGCGCGATTACAAAATCCACACTGACACTCCTCATTCTTTAGTAGACAACATTTGAACAAAAATATTTATCGAGGCTTTAACTATGATAAAGTAGAAGGTCGAAGTTATATCTTCGGCATAACATATTTTGTTTATATAGTTTTGAGGCCGAGATTCCATAGTGGCGTTGATAAAAGATATCGTGTCTTTTCTATAAACCGAAAAAACATTTTTGATCTTTATTTTATTTAATTTTGTAGCATTTATATGCCATTTATGTGTAAAGCAGTTAAAAATAAATCAATCATAAAATTTTACTTCTATTCCTGACAAAAAACGTTTTTACGCAATACTTTTCATTATTTAACACTTTTTTTATTTAGCTCATAGGACAAAGGTCGAGTAAGAGCCTCATTGCAATCTACAATGTGCTATGCTTTTTTTAGTGTATCAGACAATTTTTCTAGAGGAAACCAACGTCCTATATATATATATATATTATATAGTTGAGAGCGGTCCTATATACATTTATGTATAAATCCCTATATTTTTTCTAAACGCTGCTGCGAAGCCAACTTACTCGTCAAATTCAGCAGCCTAAATAATGCATAAATATTACTTGTGTTTTTCTTTCTTTGCCGAATACACGTGTTCTGGCAATTTTTTACTCATCGCTTCACATTTTATCGCTGCCGTAAAGCATTGATGACAAATATTGTTATTGATTTGATTTCTGTTTTTATGAAATTTCTACAATTCCATTGATGAAAGTAGATTCATATTATTCTATTTATTGATGATATAAGTATACGAATATTAATCATTACAAGAAACCAGCCATTCATATAATGACGAATAATAATCAGATTTCTCGTTTTATGGACACAAAAACAAAAAATAATTCCGATCAATTTGGAAGATTTCTGTGTAGTATGGCTGGATACTAATCTGTTTACAACAAATGACCGTAAAGAAATGTCAAATAATCTACATCAAACAATAAATTATTTGAAATTATTCGACAACACCGATGAATGTATTAATTACATATCATCATTAGAGAATGAAAAAGTATTTTTGATTACATCAGCTTCATTTGCGCAAACCATTATGCCATTAATTGAATGAATTCAACAAGTTTTATCTATTTATATTTATTGCACACTAGAACGTCATCATAGACCATGGTTTGATACTACACAGGAAGAAAGTTACAAGGCTTGTATACCGATATGAGGGTGTGGGTGTGCACTGAAAAACAAAAATATGCCACACGAAACCCAAAACGGTTCCGATTTTTGAAACGAAATCGAAACCTTTTTAGGTTTCGTACAAATTAGGTTCCGTGAAAGACCATAAGTTTATTCATGAAAAAAAAAGGTTTTGTACATGGGTTCGGTAAAATATGCTGAGCGATGTTGGTGACTGGTTTCAAAAACGAATACGACATTGCAAATGCAGTTTTTCACATATAGAATATACGAGACTCCTTGCGTACCCACTGCCTTCACTGTTCGCTGAAAAGCGACGATATCAGCCGTACCTTCGCACGGGCCTAACAACATTCCGATTATCGTCTACGAAGGTACCCAATGCCAATTACCTACGTAGTCAGATTCGGCCATCGTTACCGGAATGCAATCACTTTCGCCTTCATTCCAGAAAAGCAGAAATAGTATGTTTTCTATCGATTCGAGCACAAATCAAGGTAACGAAACTAGTATTGTAGCCACCAGGAATCGAAACCGAAAATGAAATAATTAAATAACTTTCATTAAAACTAATCATTAACAGAATTCCACAGGATCGAAAGCAGAAAAAGCAAGTTCATTAATTTACATCATAAGTTACTAACGTAGAATTCTTCATAAAACTAAAAAGAAAAAACGCATTCATTCATTACCATGATACCTTACGAACTTAAAATTGCTCATAAACCTAAAGTAGAAAAAAATGAATGCATTATTTCTACTAATAACTTGCAAACCTTAAAATAAAAAAATAATCACTTATGATTATAATGTACGAATACTGGAATTCAAAGTCAACTGTTTACTATGGGAGCGATCCAGATATCTTGTGTATTTATTGTACTGGTCCTATCTAGTCTTGTAGTAAAATCTGATATACCAAAATTGATATTTGTCTACGCTAAGATGATGTTATAAATCATGAGAGAAAAAGATAATTGTTGAAGATGAAACAATGATATAAATTGATAATTTCTGTTTTAGTACAATATCCCATGCAAAAATTGAGGTTCAAGAGATGTCAAAGGAATGCAATTCTAATTTAAAATGTTGCTAAAAATTAAGTGATTTTTGGAAAAAGAATAGTATCAATATTAAAATAGAACAAATAGATATTTGATACAACGCATCAAGTACAAAATTAATATATTCTTACACGAACATAACAAAGAAAATGACTGCTTAGAGCTTCAAACCAGTGTTAATATAATTGTTAAAAAGCTATCTATAAAATTACATATACGTCTACGATACTACCAATTGTGTGTGTGAAACGTAAATAGTTTCGCGATTATTACAACGCCAAGGCTATTTTAGTTCAGAAATAAGAATAGTTTTTCTGACATGCAACTAGAGAACACACTTTTGTAAACAAAAAGCAAGGCAAAAGAGTATAAAGCGAGTCATCAATGCGCGGAGTTCATTCTGAACGACGAAGTACACGAACCCAAATACCATTTTTTGCATTAAGATTGTCCATTTTTCCCAATCACGGCGGAACCTACAAAAAATATCAGTAATTCAACAAATATACTAATAAAGTGGTCATTTACTTCCGTTTTTTCGCATTTTTCAAATTCTACAACGCGAAGTGCTTTAGCAATGGCAATTTTTGCCTCTAACAAAGCAAATCGCATTCCAATACAATTGCTAAAAAGAATAGTTCATAATTAACATTCCTGAAATCACTATAGCTATTTTTCGACTAACCGAGGTCCATCATCAAAAGGCAGAAATGTCATAGGATGTCGTTTCGCTTTCTCAGCTGGTGAAAATCTACAATATAACACCACTAATTTATCACAAATTTCAATACGCAAATCTTGCCGCTCAGCTATAAAATTTTCTGGTTCAGGCCAATATTCAGGATCATGATGAATTGGATAAATAGGCACAGTCACAAATGAACCTTTTGGCATATGATAATCACCAAGTTGATAATCTTGCGACGCGACACGATCTAATCTATTGTAGAGATTTATTTATCTACGAAAACAAAACAACAAAAGAAGCTAACTTTATAAACGGCGGATACATTCGAAGTGTCTCATTAATAACCATATCTAAATATTGAAGTTGATTCACTTTTTCATAGGAAATTTCATCCTGAAACGCAAATGTATTCAGCATCACGATTAATCAAAACAATGCTTCCTTACATCTCCGAGTTCTTGTTGAATTTCTTCATAAACTTTTTCTTGTACAATTGGCTCTGTTGCCATGACATAAAAAAAGAATGATAATAATACACTTGTCGTTTCAAAACCGGCAGCCAAAAACACAAGCCCTTGAGCAAATATTTCTTTGTCATTCAAACCTAAAAATCGAAAAGTAAATGAAAGTGTAAAAATAGTTGATTTGTACTTTTTTTAAGTGTTCCCCATTGTTGTTGTGGGTCCTTTGCTTTTGTTTGTTCAGTCATGGCTTCCTCGACTTTCACCGCTTCTTCGTGATCAATCATCATTTGAATAAAATCATTTCGTCTTTCCAAATGTTGTCGACGTTGACTTATTACATGATTTACAATATTCGATACATAGTTAATGGTGTCACTTGGGAAAATTGAATAGCCTTTTTTAGCCAGATATCTAGCCAATCGAGGTGATATTACTATTGTAATAAGTAAGGAGAATAATGCTCTTTTACAATGGAAAAAGTACACTTACCAAGCATATAAAGAAATATATTGGTGAAATCAATGGTAAAGAATTTTTTCAAATGCTTAATCAAAGTGGCATTTTCGTTTTTCAGCGAGTTTGTTTCAATGCCAAACAGACAGGAAGAAATTGTGTCAAGTGTATATTTTTCAGTGAGTCTAACATTAGATTACAGGAAAAGTATATGTTAAGTAAAAAGAAAGAAGTAGACATACGTATTGATATTGAATATTTCTTTTTTATCAGCATATTCCAAAAGTCGATCACGATACGTATCACTCGTTTCATTCATAAGAGTATACATCTACAAAGAGAAACAATAACCAATAATAATCAATACTGTATGAGTGAGAAATTTACTGCTTTCAGTTTTGCTGACGAGAATGTCGGTGATACAATCGATCGAGCATTTTTCCATTGTTCGTCTTTTAATACCGGAAGTCCATGTTCAAAAGGACCTGTTATACCTTCAATAGTCTATAAAGTGTGGTAATTATATGCAACAATGAAAAAGATTTGTTTTTGTAAGTTACTCGTCGATTGATAAACACATGAGAATCTCGAATAAGCACGTTTCGAAGTAGATCTGGATCTGCCAAAAAAATAATTGGGGCTGTTCCTCCATAAATTCTGAAAGGCCTAGGTAATTATTTTACAAGTTTATTAAGCTTATGACTCGCCCGACAACTTTTCCATATTTTCGGATCAAGTCAACATCGTTGATTCTTGCACCCTAAAGAAAATCAACTTCAATATTTGAATAGAAAGTTCAATTAAAGCATAGTGTTCGTAACCTTTTGAATGACATGAAAAAATTCTCCAAGAGGAATGCGAGCTGGACCAGGTATACCAAGACGATGAAATATATTATTTTTACGAACCCAGTAGCTATGATTTATGAAATTGAAATTTTAAGGAAAACAATAATTGAGTGAGAAACTAATACTTACAGATAATAAATGAAAGTAATAACGAGTGTAATTAGTAAAGCCGTAGTTATCGAATCAGTGATGAAAAAATATGCTATTCTCAGTTTTACAATCTAGAATAATGCAAATGATGACCATATCGTTCAAAACTTCAGTAAGCCAAGCAACCGGATTTGAGTGGAGTAAGTTTGTTTCCCATTACCAATGGTTTTAATATGTAGAAAACAAAAGGAGAATATGCTTAGGAAGAATGTACTCGGTCAGATATTTTGAATTAATTTATGAGTAGAGGTGTAGGGGTGGACCGTTAATATTAATTGGAGTTAATTAAATGATTTTACTTAACACGTAATATTAATAAAAAAACGTTTCCATTAGCCACTTAATTACTAATATTAAGTGGTAACGAAACACTTAATTGTTTTTTTTTATTTTGGCGAATTTATAGAATTAATGCCCGACGGCCTATTAATACCCCAGTTATGGAAAAACATACGTACAATGTGACTGAAATAGGGGAGAGAGACAATGATAGCAGAGACCTGAGAGGGAGAAGAGAGAACATAATTTACAAAAAGTAACAGTGAACAACTGACTATGTAGTAAAATCCCAGAGCAAGCATGACCAATAGGAGGAGAAGAAAAGAAAAGGAGTTTGGAGAAAACAATAAAATAAAAAACGAAGAGAAGCATGAGAATACACACGTAGCATAATGAGTATGAAAAACGGAACGAATCAGAAGGTAACATAACAAAGACAAAGGCGACCCAGAAGAGAGAAGAGGGACGCGAGCGTGTCAATGTATTACAATGCAATGAGAAAGATGAATAAGAAGAGAGCGGGGGAAAAACAAAACAGAAGGAAACCATTAGAACACGAACAAAAACGAAGAGGAAACCGAGAAAAATAGGGGCCGATCTTACTCGCAATTACATAAACGACTCTGGAAATGTTGGCCGAGTTGCCAGGTCCCGTTCATCAATCAGAGGACATGGGCTCGACCCGCACTTTTCGATCCACTTTAAGCATTTCACGATGCTGCTGTCATTATCGACAAAGCGATTTGACCTACGGAGGTGCTTAATGACTATCTCTTTGTTTAACCATAACTTTCGATACACGTTGTGCGATGTTTGTTCGAATAGAATAAAGCCATCTGTAGTGCCTGTACGGGCTTTGATGTATCCTACAACAATAATTCAACACGAAATTATCTAGGGCCAGTTCGTTATATATCGCCGCGAAGGCAATGTCGTTCCGCCAGTGGATACCGAAGGTCCTTTTTAAACATACGAAGTAAAAGTGACCCAGTTCGTCTCTTTGGCAATCCGTAAGTAACGGAACGATGCCAAACAACCATATGAATAGCGGCATCACATATGTACTAAACAGAACTCGTCTGAGTTTAAGGGAGGACGCATCATACAATCTGCAAGGCAGGACAATAGCTACCCTTTGTCTTAACCTGACATCGCAGCGGCTCTCTCAAAAAATATAGGAATTCCTATATAGGATAGGTCTAAAATATATAGGATCGCCCTCAACTATATAGGAAAAATATAGGATGACAAATTTATTCCAGAAAAAGATTTAGACACCGAAAAATCACTGTAACAGCATTGAAGATGATAATNGTTAACATAGGGTATACATTTAAAAGTTAAGATATAAATTAAGGAATGAACTTGTTAACAAAGAGATAGTTGCCTGAATTGTAATGGAAGCGTGAATGGTAGTATTAGTGCAAACGCAGAGGCATTGCAGTCGAATGGAGAGGCTATTTGAGGTACGAAACCATTTTGAATACTAACTGGGAACGGTTACATACGAAACCATATTTATACGAAACCGAAATAAGGTTTAGATTTCGTTGCAAATCTCGGAACCTTTTTTAAGTTTCGTATGGAACTTTTTTTTTCCAGTGCAGGGCAGAGCGGAAGAATATTTGTCCATTTTATAATACAAGTTGCCAATATTGGTCAAGGAACGAGCTAAATCAGGATGATTCGGTGGGAGAACTTTGCGTCGAATAGTCACCACTTTGTCAAAATATTTAAGTGCTGTTTCTTGATCATTCACGTACTTATGCATTCTACCAATGTTTTCATACAATTGAGCTAGGTATGGATGATTTAATGGAAGTGATTTCTTATAGATTTCAAGAGCTCTTTTGTAGAACACAGATGCTTGTAAAAAGTCATTCATCTTACAATACACCAAACCGATATTATTATAAGTTTGACCTAGATCAGGATGACTTTTCGTTAACGATTGCTGGTGAATTCGGAGAGCTTTCTCAAAGTATAATAATGCTTCCCCGTATTTACCAATATTTATATTCGCTAGAGCAAGATTGTTAAAAGACTGAACCATATCTGGATGATTCGGAGGAAGAGATTTTTCACAAATATCAATCGCTTGTTTGTAGAAGGATATTGATTTCAGATAATCACTCAGATTGTAATACACCATACCAATACTATTATATGATTTAGCCATGGTAGGATGATTTTTCGGAAGACTGATCTCAAAAATGTTAAGAGCTTTCTCATAGAACGATAATGCTTTCGAATACTCGCCTAAATCTATATAAATATTGCCAATATTATTGTATGACGTAGCCAAACTAGGAGAATCTGTAGGTAAAGCGTTTTCTGCAATATCAAGTGCTTTCTCGCAATAGAAGAGAGCTTTAGAATAGTCAACAATCTTCCGGTACACAGTACCTATACTACTAAGAGCAACAGCTAAATCGATATGATGTAGTGTTTTCTTTGCTTGAAAGATTTCAACTGATTTAGTGTAAAACGAGATCGCTTGAACATACTGCCCCAGTTTATCTTTAATTAGCCCAAGTTGGAAATAAATCTTCGCTTCTTCATTACTATCAGATATGTGATCAAGGAATATTGCGTAGATTTCTTCTGCTGTGCTATATTCGCCCAGTTGTATCACAAAGTAACCCAATCTGTGCCATGCTGTCGATCCTTGAATTTCTTCACGAAGTCTTTCAGCAAGATTATTAAGCTGCTGATCAGTTTCATTTGTCCATGATAGTTTTATGCACCAGAGGCCCTCATTTGTTTGGTTAATATCTATGATATATAACACAGAATTAACTGAGAACAGAATCTCATCTTCCTCCTCAAATTCACTGAGGGATCTAATAGATGCAAACGGCATTGTTGCGGTGATGGATTCATCTCTATTTCGAAGAGAGTTCTAACAGTATCTGAAAATTCTATGTCGCCAGAAGCAAATGATACGGCAACATCTCTATTTGTAGTAGTCGACAAAAATTGATTGAAAGAAATATATCCGTTCACACTTTTGTGAAGTCTATTGAAATCTGCTTTTGAGATTATCTGCCCTCGATATATAGTAATTTGGTGACTTCCATACATATCTCTTTGTTTCAAAAATAGATGTTCGATACGTCGATGCATATCCCGAATGAAAAATCCCATTTTAATAAGTAAATCAACCTGATTGGTGCGGAGAGCTTTATTAACGGCGAGGTACAGAAATTTCGAACGAGTATACCAGTTTATAGATGACTCAGGGCAGTAGTGTTTCTCGAACTCATCGAGCATTGCCAGCTGGCGACTGGTTCCATCTAGTTGAGTACGATAATATTCGACAAAGTCCTTAAAATCGTGTTCACGGTATTCGATTTCGAGTAATATTTCGACCAGAAGTTTTGAATAAATAAAAGATGGCCCCAGTAGGCTTGAGTATCGGTTGCTATTTTGTAGCGCTGAAGGCAAGCTAATTGACGTAAAATCGCAAGCATATTTCTGCGAATAGCTTTTCAGAGCTTTACAAAGAGCGTCGGCTTCTTTGAATACACCCTTTACTTTGCTTAGTTTTCTTGTCCATTGTTTATGGCAACTGAAGTCTTCACAAAAAACGTACACTGCAACTAATTGTGGCATAGCATGAATCAGCGGTACTACATTTTGCCCAAGCGAACCAGATACAATCATAAATATGTTTTTATCATTAATATTTGAGATGAAATTGATACATTGATCGACATCAGTGATTATTCGAATATTACTGATAATGAGTTGTATTTGAGCTATAAAATGACGAGAGTCCTCATCTGTCACATTCGTGCTTGAATCTAGTCAAACAAGCATAAAGTTTTGATTAGCCAGCCGTGATCGCCTGGATAACAACGTATTAGACTGCATTTCTGGATCGATAGATGATGTCTTGGTGAGTAAACTTTTGTTTTTTGAATCCGATAGAGTTTTGACATTTTTTTCGTCAACAAAATGTTTTATACTTGTTACTGCCTGGCCCATAGTTTAATCCGGATGATTAGTGGAATATCGATTCGACGTCAGTTAGTACTTTTCTAAAAGAATGGTGCTAATCAGAGTATAGAGCAATTTTAACAGGAAGAAGGGTGCAGGTGTTTAAAGGATGAAGTGTTCTACAAACCCACACCCTTTCTCCGAAATAGGAGTGGGCCGAGTTGACTTGTAATGCGTCACTCTCCTTTCTTTCTCAAAATGTAAAACACGCACATTTTCAAGAATAAAAATACATTTTTTCATTATATTTATCTAGCTGATGGATGGAGTAAAGCTTAACGCATCCACCATTGCGCTTTCATGTAGGCTTCATAGGTACATGTAGGGATGCATTGGTGACGACCGTATTTTTCTTTTTCGCCATTAAATAAGTATATATATATATAGCTGGTGAGCAAATGATGTTTGAAATATTCTTAAATTGATCATCATTGTAGAAATCGTTCTCTTTAAAAAATAATTATATGTTCTGATCAACCTTAAAATTCTCTAGTATTGTATATATTTATCCCTTGTCTTTGGTTTGATTATTTGAATCGTCAGTCATTAAAGTCACGATACCTTCAATAAACTAAACAACAATAAATGTTTATTTTCACTATGCCAAAAAACGAAAGACAGTAGATAACTATACAGAATATTAGAGAATTGCCAGCTCTGTCATAATAAGTAATTCATTTTTTTGAAAGAACAATTTCTGTAGTGATGATAAATGTCAGAAAATAATTAAGGAGATACCGCCAGAATCCAATTCAAGGGAGTCTGATGATGAGGGTACCTTCATTGCAACTGATTTTTCAACGGTAGATAATAATATATGAGCATCAATATTTTAATTAGAGTTCCTTTTAGAAAGATTTTCTAAGCTTTAAATGGGCGGTCCTGGTGTCATTGATGGCGTAGAACATCCAGAAACGGATAATTATCTTCCATGCCGATTCGTTATTGATGGAGTAACATATTCATCTTCTGAGAATTATTTTCAATGCGCGAAAACGACCAACGAACAAGATCGGGAAAAGATTTTGAATTCAGGACCAGGTGATTCATGCCAATTAGCTGGACAAACGGTTAAACGACGATCAGATTGGAAATCGATTAAATTGGATGAAATGTATAAAGGAAATTTGGCAAAATTTCAACAAAATGAAGATTTAAGAAAAGCTTTATTAGAATCTGGCACAGGACCTATTCATTTTACAGAATCAGAACCTTTTTGGAATCATTGGAATGATATGATCATGCAAAGAATTCGAGCCGAACTACGTCAAAATGGCGACGAAGACGCTCATCGTGCAGCAGAAATTTATGAAGCAATGAAAAAATATGCTCACGAGAATAAATAACTTCATCCTTTTTTTTACCTACGATTTATCAATTTTTTATTTAAGAAAAATAATAAAACTACTTAGTATCTACCCAGGTCAAAAAATCTGACACAAGATCTTATGAAGCACATAGAAGATCTTGGAATACGAGCGAAATCTTACAAGAATCTGACAAAAAATCGTAGTTCCTGAGATTTTAGATCAATTCTCACAATCAGATTCTTGAAAGATCTTACACATTAATACGATCTTTCAAGAATCTGATTGTGCGAATTGATCTAAGATCTCAGGAACTATAATTTTTTTGTCAGATTCTTGTAAGACTTTGCACATATTCCAAGACCTTGTATGTAGTTATTTCATAAGATCTTGTGTCAGATTCTTCGATCTGGGAGTGATATTTCCATAGGTAACAGAACCTTTCAAGAATCTTCTGATACGTCTTAGTGTAAGAAATCAGAGACGACGATTTTGCTTACGATTTTTCGTCTGATCTGATAAGATCAGATATGATCAAACGTACGATTCTTGTAAGATCTCCCCGTCTGGTTTCTCGCCCTGGGTAGATCTTGAGGATATAGGTGTACGTGTGAATTTTTCTTACTACGCCCATATCCACACCCACACTCCTCAAGATTTTGCCGAAGTCTTATCTATTACCATTGGATATAAGGTGGATGCAGGTGTGTCAAGTAGACTATGCTATGTTTCAACCTTGCTCAAGGGTCTCATTAGTTTTTTTTAACTCCGTAACTATCCAAATGATTCGAAGATCACAGATAACGTATATAACTTATGTATTTATGAGAAATTCTAAGAGAAATTGTCATCGAAGTAAGTGCAGTTAAAAAGATGTGCCATACGAAACCCAAAATGGTTTCGATTTCGTTAAAAAAATCAAAACTTTTTGAGGTTTTCTAGAAATTAAGTTCCTTAAACAACATTAATTTTATTCATGATAAAAAGGGGTTCGCACGTGAGGTTTTGTACAATACGCTAGAGAGTATTGGAAAAACGTTTCGCGAAATAGTGTACTGCAGTACAAAAGCAATTTTGCATTATTATCCATTGCTTGACCGATATGCGTACCTCTGTTTTTGTATCTCTCTCAACAACAAGAATGTTAGACATCGCAATATGTTTAACCCACCTATGCAAGGGTCTACTCACACAATTCCAGCTCCCCTCTACTAGGCTTTGTCATAAGCAGCCAGAAATGCAAAGTTTCTTCTCAGAAACAGCTTTCATTTACTCATGAATGATCGTATGTCAATCGGAAAATAACGTTTAAGACTATAAAACGCTTTCAAAAAATATTTTTGAACGAGAAAAACCTAAGCATGGCTTTGGACAGTTTTTGCATAAAGTGATTGAAAGGCGATTTTCTTTTTTGGAAACAGTTTTCTTTGGTTTCCAAATCGTTGGATGTCCCTCAGGAAATTATCTTAGACATCGAAAAAACTTTTCTTAAAAGCCTTTTTAGACACAATATGCCTGAGAGACCATTGAGAGTATTTTTTCGAGAAATATTTTGTTGTAAAAATACTTTGAACGTCATCGCATGTAAAAAAATGATAGAGAAAAATCAGATTTTAGCCTGATTTCTTGATTTTTTAATAGATTTTAATCGAAGATATTAGCATTATGGTTTATACGAGTGAGTGTGAATGTATTTCGTATATAGGAGTGCCTGAAAATTGGATTAAAATCGTGTCAGTTTAATGGATTATTAATGAGAGAAAATCGATTATAATCAATTCTTCATTTGAATTTAATCAGAACTTGCCACTTTCAATCGATTTTTTTCTCGAAAATCGATTTTGATCTAATATCCAGGCTTGTTTTTTTTACATGGGATACCATTCGATACAATTTAATGCACTGACTCCGAATACTCCATTAGTCTTTCTTCAAAGTGCAACAGGCATGCAGAAAACTGGATTTTTGGCATGAAACCTTCGTGTTTTGGACATTCCGTAAAGTAGTTGAGGAAATGTTTCATAAGTTTGCGCTATTACCATTGGTGGAATACATAAGTAGGAGCATCTGGTAAAAATTTGAGTTCGATTGAGCTTTATCCCATTTTAGCGTTTAGAATATACAGAACGCTATGGTTCTGGGTCCGATTTACTGATCAAAGTAAGCTGAAAATTCATTAAAAACTTATTCTATGTTCATGATTAGATGTAACTTGACGAGGTAATTCTTAAAATCACCTTGGCTTTGCTTGAGAGTGCAAAATCGATGCCTAAAGCCAGATTTTCTATTAGAGTCGTTCGGTTTTTCGTCATTCTGTAAAATAGCCTAGAAAATGTTTCATGACTTTGTGCTAAATGCATAAGTAGGACACATAAGCAGAGACATCCAGTAAAAGTATGCACCCGATCGAACGCTATCTTTTTATAGCGTTTACAGTATACGAAACGATATGTTTTCAGACTCGAGATCCTTTGCTTCTTGGTCTATCTTAAATTCAATTTGGATCATTTTTCACATACAACCCACAGATAACGATGCTTTTAGGATATTGTTTGCTTGTGCAATATTGTTTCATATTGTCGAATGAATTGAGTTTCTCTATTTATGCGACGATTTCTGATAGAAATAACGTCAGTGTTGATAGTATTACACTTTATTCTACTCCTTCATGTACAAAACCATTGGAGAAAATGAGTGATAAAGACAAATATCAAGGTCAGAAAAATAACTGCAAAACGTGAGATGAAAAGAAATGGTAGGACACAGCCAAATATCATGCATACAATGCACTTTAACGAAATTGTCACACTCCCGGATGGAATTCGGATGCTCTTCGCATAAATTGGCACGCTTATGCCTTGCCATGCCGGTTCTTGAGGCTCTGTAGAGCTTTCAGAGATGCATTTTTAGAAAATAATAGATGGCATATATATCTATATATATATATGCTTTTATCAAAGCGATCAGATTATGGAAAGAACTACTTTCGTATATGTTCGCCAGGCTTCCCACTGTACCCTACTCCAATTCCGCGCTATACCTGCTTTCTTAAGTAAAGTTACGTTTTCATGGTATTTATGATATTGGACTGCTTCAAACGATCCAACAGGACCTTTTTTATTAGTGCAGCTTGAGAACCATAACTGTCCATTCATAAAAGTTATCGAGTCGTAGCAAAAGTAGGTAGCCAAAGTTGTTAAGTTTAGTATGATCTAGAAATCACTATGCATCATTTGTTGATAAACAGCATGAAAATGTGCATGATGAGGACTAAGAATTCAATCATTCTTTGTCAAAATTAAATCAAAGTCCGTTTGCTGTTGTTTTCTCTTGAATGGCAATCAAACGCAATGGATCGCAAAAAGATGCAACATACTATATGCTGAATTGATGGGTATCCAACAGTGAAGCATGCAACATTCTTTGAAACAATGTCTCCTCTTTTAGAAAGAAAGAAACCAAACAAAGACTGATACTTCACATCTCCTTGTTCTCTTCTCACTATTATATTCTGTTACCTGTATCTCACATTTGCCTCTTCATCTCACACACGACAACAAACTGATATTCAGTTGATAGCCTTGCTCTTTTTGCCAAAAAATTGTTGTTGCTTTCGACACCCACGATGTCAAACGAGGCTGATCTTCTCGTACCGTCCGACAATGCATCGTCATATAGGCTATATCCTCAGCGATTCTATGTTCTTGCGGTTTTCTCTCTGCTTGCCTTTAATCAATGCCTTATATGGATAACTTTTTCTCCAATTGCAAGAAGTGTAGAGACTTACTACAAGATCAATGAAGCTACCGTTGACCTTCTACTCAACTGGGGTCCGATTATTTTCATCCCTTGTCTACCTCTCACCTATATCTTGTTGAACAAGCGCAATGGACTTCGACGCTGTATCATTCTACTAGCAGTCACCGATTTTATAGCAACAGCCCTTCGTGTCATTCCATCGATTGTCACCTCTCCGTCAAGTCCTCATTTTAGTGCTATTTCTATGCCATTCATGTATGCTGGTCAAATTCTCAATGCTGCATGTGGTCCCTTGGCCATGGCGCCTGTTTCACAACTGTCCTGTCTTTGGTTCGGTCCGAATCAGCGCACTCGTGCTACGACAGTGGGTATAGTGGCACATAAACTCGGTGCGGCTATTGCTTTCTTGATCAGTCCGGCCATTGTCACAGCACCCGAATACATTCCTCGGCTTCTCTATGTCCATCTGTGTCTTGCATTTGTGGCTTGTGTTCTAACTTTGGTTTATTTTCCGGCGCAACCACCGACACCTCCATCACATGCAGCTGAATTTCTCATGCTTCATCGGACTAGTGAAGAAAGTAACAGTTCATGGAGAACATCTATGAAGAATGTTTGGCGATGTATGACTACACCATCGTATGTTCTTCTTTCGACTGCTGGCGGTCTAGTTGGCGGTGCATTTGGTGCATGGACAAGTCTGTTCGATGTTATTCTCAAGCCAGAGAATTATACAGAGCAACAATCGGGTACGTAGAAAGTCACTGATAAATAAGAATACTAGATATTTTATTTCAGGGTGGTTTGGTTTTGGAGCATTGGTATCGTGTATTGTCGGCCTCCTTTGCATGGGTGCTCTGGCTGATACTCATTACTTTCTTCGACGACGCAAAATACTAGTTGTTCTTTCATTTATCGGCGGTTTTATCGCCATCTTCTGGTTTGAACTCTCCGTTCACACAGTCTTTTACGAGAAACCCATTCTACATTCAACAGCTGTGACAATTGGTCTATCTGTTGCTGTTGCGGGTCTTTTTCAAGGTGCAGTTTTACCATTAATCTACGAGGCAATAGCTGAAATCATGTTTCCTCTCCCTGAATCCCTGTCAGCTTCTATTCTTCTCCAATGGCTCAATGTCACCGTGCTCATTCTTCTATTTATTGCTCCAAATCGAGAGAAACTGATCAATCTATTGGTGTTGATTGCACTCGGTACCTGTATCATCATGAGTTGTATAGCTCGATTTTCATACACTAGACGTGACGAAGATGAGAAGAAACAATATCAGAAAGAAGATGAATCGTTGCTGAACTACGACAGTATGAATCCGTGCGGAAATGAGACTATCGATCAGCCTTAGAATAAATTCATCTTATACGAGCATATTTTTTTCTACAAAGACAGATTAAAAATGTATACGTGACTCGTGAGTGCGCGAGTGTGGGTAACTTTTCACTTAATCTACAAACAAAATCGCAGCAACTACCACTAATAGCGGCACACCCACACCCCTGTATAACATCGAATAATGGATATGTGATCATAGGCATTTCAGGCGCATTTTAGTATACCCCAGCTGACATATTGTAACATTCGACTGCTAACTCAAAACCGTTGTCCATTTTAAGCATTTCGTTATTTGATGTACAAACTCGACCTAACTTTTCATAACCAAGAGCAATCGCATAATAATTGACTGGTAAATCTTTTAAAGTGATATCAAGGAATGCTTTTGTATTATTTATTTCTTCATGTATATTGTGTATGGTACAGCGTCCTTGAGCAAGTTTCAACCAACAATTTTTAGTACCAGTATTAGCTACAATACCAAAAGTGTTAATTATATAAATATTTTCAGGCTCTTTTATACCAGACAGTTTAATTAATGTTTTTAATGTATCCCATGCTAATATAAAATTTCTATTACTTCTATGGATATGAGCAATATGCGGTAATTCAATGTTACGGTAGCGGTTTCAAGCTGCGTATTTATCCAATCTAACACATGGATGGTCGGTAATGCTGATAGCTCTGTTGCAATACTCGAGCGCTGGTTCGAACTCGCCTTTGCCTTTGAAAATGGCAGTAATATAATGATAGATGATTAATTTCAAATCTGCAGATATGTTTGTGTGTTCCAGAGCCTTTTGTTATAAAGCAAACGTTAACTGATATTGATTTTTCTTATAGGCGATCCAACCTAGACCACCATTGCAAGTAAGAAATAAGGTATTGGATGGTGATATCACATTTAACAGAGCATTGTAGCATTGTTCTGCCTTGGATTTATGTAATATATTATAATCTGAACTTTCATATTCATATAAAAAATTGTCCATTTGAAGAAGTTTGGTTTCAATAGATTTCGATGCAAGTAGAAATTTATATTCCTCAATAATTCCTGATGAACTATATTCAATTTCATTAATAACAGATATTTTGAAAATCCAAAAATACTGTGATGAATCATAACAAATGTCATTTACCTGAAAAAAATGAACCAATCATAAATAGGATTTCTTCTTCGGTACGAAATTGACTCAAATGTGTTACATCAGCAAATGGTTTTCGCTGGAATTTTGAATCATTTTCATTTTTAACTTCAATATCAAATAGAATTGATTGAATATCTGCATCCGCTGCATAATTTGACACACCAAAATAAACGATTACGTGTCGTAGACAAAAAAGTATTTACGGATACAATTGTTTTCTGTTGATTGCAATTATGAAAAGTTTTTTGTAGAAAAATTTTCTCGTTATGCTCTTCAATCTCGTGCTTAGACATACGTTGCCCACGGTAAACATGAAATGATTCTTCAGATCCATATAGATCTAATAATAGCTCGTGTTCATTGCACAATTGTTGATACATATATCTTGCATGAAAAGTTTTAATAATATAATTACTCCTATATTATATTGTCGTAGTGCTTTATTAATAATACGGAACAGAAAACAATCTTTTGTGTCACACCAAATACCTTTTTCTGAGGTGTATGTCATTGATTACTTGCGTGTTTCCAGAATAATACATTTGACACTTTTCTATAAATAAGTGCTTTTGTATTTCATGATCAACAGTCATGTCTAATAACATGTCAGTGAATAATAAAAACCAAAATGTCACCAAATGTTCATAATTTGGATAGTCAAAATCAAGTACTGTTGCTGTTCTATTCTTCTTCAAAAGAGTGTGGGTGTGGTTTGAATTAAGATAGAACACCCACACCCACACCCATCTACTTTTGCATCTGTTTCAATTCTAGATTAACATGTTGCCGGTATTAATTGGAGTTGGAATTATTGGAATTATTGGCATTGCAGTCGGCGGTGCTCTTCGTACCGCCGATAATATAAGAGGAGATGTGCATACTTACAGAGACAAAGTCCTTGCAAAGTTTGATCGTGTAAGAGAAGACGCAAAATATATAGCAAATCAAGGATTGAACACAGTAGATAATTTTCAAAGTTTTAGCAAAGATGTGGTGTCTACAGCAATAAGAAAAGTAGATGACTTGAGAAATGATTTAAGAATTACTTTATCACAATTATTTTCGAGAATTGATAGTACAATGAGTGATCTTCATTATCATAGAAAGGAGATAATTGATTGTATCGGTCGAAATGCAAACAATTTAAGAAGTGATCTTAACTCTTCAGTTTTAAATATTGTAAATTCAATTCAATTCTCTGTCATATTTATACTTTTATTTGTAACTTGTCTTACACTTTACGGACAGCAGAACCTTAATTGGAACTCATTGATTACTTTATGTTCATATGTTGCTGTGATTGGAATATTGATTGAATGTATTTATCAATTTTCAACGATAAATTCGCTAAACTTGCCTATCTTTCGATCATTCTTTTTATGTATTCTTTTCATTAAATTTCTTATGATTATCAATCCCTTTACAACATCTTATGCAATCGATCATCGCGGATTATCATTCGATGATTCGGTTGAAACTGCGTCAGATGACATTACGTTTGTTCAAATTGTACGCAACATCTTGCATCTATGCTTTTGCTTTTCGATAGCTGGACTTGCCTATTACTTAATTAAAAGCGATTTGATATCTCACGATGAATATACGCGCAAATATCGCCTGCGTCCAATCAATATCCCTCTTATTCGTTATGCATGTTGCGGTGGTATCTTCATGATATTGATTGTATATTTAACCCAATTTATCTGGTTTATTAAAAAACAAACGTTTATACAATATTTTGTTAATAGTAAATCATATGTAGAATCAAACACAAATGAATACTATGCAACATTAGTATACTATTTATTGGGAATCAATATGCGACCCACGGTTTACATTCAAATTTTATATTGTTCTTTGCATATATGCTTTTATTTTTGATTAATTAAAGAGCTAACTTCAGTGCAAAGAAGTTCGAGCGATCGTTGGCGTTCGAGGAAACAAGCAACCCTTTGCAAAATGTCATACTATATTGTTACTTATATGAAATTAGGTTTGTGTTTATGCGAGTTGTTATTATGTAATGTAAAGCCAAGACTCGTGGAGCATTCTACAGATAAAATATCATATGTGGAATCAAATACAAATCCATACTATGCAGTATTATTGCATTGTGTATTAGGAATAGATGCGTATGGCAGCAGTTATGTTCGAATTCTATATTCTTTGTGGGATGTATGGTTTCATCTTTGGTTACTTCTTCGAACTGAATACAGAATCTCTTTCCCCAGCGCTTACACACTTAGTGTTTTCTATGGCAAAAAATTCGAAGAGTTTGTGTGGTCGTTCGCAACAGAGTTAATTTTTTCAGCGAGATTAGGTATACAACTAAATCAATTTATTTTTTTTATTTTAAAACAACTCATAACAGGAGTAACTTATCAATGTTTTTTATTATCCGTTATCATAGCAGGATTGATGAAATTGCAAAAACAGAAGAATTATTCAAATTTAATTATAGATTCAATGGAGTTTACGTGGGCAGCTTTTTCAATTGTCACTACTCTTGGCCATGGATATTATTTTTATACAATCATATCGGTACTATATGGGTATGGGTTTTTTAAAATATGGGATAAAAAATTCAATATGTCTTGGAACGACTTTCGATTAGAAACACAAAAGTTTTGGAATAGAAAAATTTTCTTCTTATCAGGATTTTTTCTAATTTCCTGCGTTTTTACTTGAAACTAAGCATTATTAATAAATATTATTCACATATTTGAAAAAACAAAGAAGTATTATTGATGCGACTACATTATACGTAGAGAGTGTGAGTGTGGGTGCAGCTTTTTTTACTGCCATTCGCACCCTAGCTTTGAGTCCGTACGTGGCAGAAATAAACGTTGCCATGCAGTATGCACGGTTTCTCGCTAGTTTCAAAATACTTCTGTATTTCTTAGATGTTCGAAAAAGTTTCTAAAAGCTCTTTAGTTGAATCTCAAATCAGCTCAATTCGACTCTGATTAATTCAAATGAATGACTGTGGGCTGTATACTTTTTTGAGCTTTATTAAACGGTCAATTTTAATTGTTGGATGCTGATCAACACTAAAGCCTAAGGGCAATATTATTGCTTTGTAGTATCTGATTCATAAAAGAATTCCATATCCATAAACATGTAAGAGAAGGTGAGAGAAAAGTATCTCTTCATTAATATAGGAGCATAAATTCTAAATTTTTTCCAATGATGATATCATCATGTCTCTAGGCTTCCTATTTCTTACCCCTCTAATAGCATGAGGGTGAGGGAAGACTCCTCGAGTAACCAAACGCACACACCCACAGTCACAACCTCGACATATGTGGGTCATAGTGTTCAAATCAAGTATTGTAATAATTTCTTGAAAATAGTCTTCATTGAAAAGCGATGCCGAAGTGAGTAAGACGCGTTTCATATAGCAGTGAATCAAAGAAAAAATAATTAAGAAATGAAAAATATTCAGTATCATTTAATTAATGAGTTTGGCTTCTCAAAAATGAATTATTAAAGTTTGAAAATATCTTGGCTTATTCAAAGGAGATTGCCAACAAAATAGAATTAAAAAGAATTACAGTTTATATTTCATTTCCTATATTGAATAACGTTTCTGGAGTCTGCACACGATTTACGCAGATAATCCGAACTTGACAAAATGATGTTACATAGTAAAATACCATTAGTAAATCTTACTGTGACACTTCATTAAAAACAAGGGATAATATAATTATTTTGCATTTTGAGAGTCTTTATGGTACCAATCATCAATGCAATTTTGTCAAATAAAAGCTATTTCTATTGATTAAGATTTATTTCCTCAATTTGAGTTTCTTTTTCTTCTTTTTGGTGAAATATACTCTGATCATTATGCGACGATCCTAGATAAGCTTTTACTTTTTAGAATAATTAATTTATATATTTTAAAGCATACATAATGGATTATATGCGTAATATGAGAATAAATGACAAGTAGATTAAAACATTATTACGGATATAAAATCCACTCAATGTGGAATTTAAAAAATAATCGTCGATGTCTTAAAATGGTTGTATGTTTCAAGCTACTCTCGAGGGTATGGGTGTGGATGGATATTTTCATTTTATCCACATTCACATCTAAGACATCGGTTGGATGATTCAACCAATTTCCTTGGCAATGGTCAACAGCAACAACTTGTCCGTTCATCGTATCATCTTTCTTCCATTGGATGATACGATTATTGTCGAAATCAACAATGACCACTGTTTCATCGTCATCAACAAAAAGACCTTCAGGGTACCAGAGTTCATTGGTGGCCCTGTCGTGTGATTTGCCTCCAGCAACAGTCACATAGTCAAGTGAGAAAAAGCGGATTTCGTACTCTCAGGATGTTTTTGCGATCCGCTCCCCCCCCCTCTCTTGGCTATTATTCAAGGATTGCAAGTAGCGACTTAAAATGCGCCATTTTCTTTACTAGAAAGGCGACTTTTTGCTTGCAAAAGCGATTGATGAATGTTATATCATTTTCAAACTTGCTGTTGTTTTTTTCGAACATAATTCGAGTTAACAAAAGAAAAGTGACATTTTTCTTCTTTGTCATGCTCTTCTATCTCAGTCCGTTATGTACGAATGCATTTTGAAAAACAATATTTATGATTAACATCACTACTTTGTCTGTAACGAAGACAATAAATACGATTGCCAATACATATCATGAAACAAATATGATGATTTTTGTCGACGTGATAGTTTTCATTGAAATCTGATCGATTGAATTATAAATTCTTTTCAACAATCTTCAGTTCATTAACATCAATAAAGATGAGACATGTTATTTTCGAAGATCTATTCTTTATATAAAAAAAAACCTTGCTGGGAAAAAACTATATTATACTTAAGCACCGGTACGTGAGTACATTTCTACTTAATATAGATATTTAGCGATGTACATAAAATTCTCAACCAAAACAAAAGCAGTACAGAAGTATTATGTGTTGTTTTAAGTAGAAACTACAAATAAGTTCTTATAATTGCATCATTATTTTCACCTTCATATTCTCCATAATAGGCAGCATTTTCAATGCCAATATGAATGATTGGAGCTTCTGGTATACCGACAGTTGAATCACTAGTAGAACGCTACAATAGAAGAAAGAATTATTTGAGAAAAATATTCCAAAGATGTATCATACTGTTCTTAATGCATGTAAAACTGCATCATTAATAGCCACATGAATAGATTCACGACCAGCAACTTGCATATAATTCATACGTAATAATTGTCGATAAACTGTAGCTAAAAGAAAATAATCAAAGATGTTACAGAATACACTTGAAAATTCTAGAAATACATACGACGAACATGACAAAGAAGAACAGTAACACCAATTTCTTTGTAATCTTTAAAAGTCTAAAAATAAATGACCTATTTTTCTAAATTTAAAATTTAAATAATTATTTACTTGTATTAATGTTTTAATACCCATCATATCCATGTAATTAACTGGTGAACAATCGATAATAATATGATCAAAATTTGGTCGATATTTTTTTCTTGCTTCTTTAATCTTTCATGAAAACAAAAAAAAAATAATCATTTCATTGACTCAGTCAATGAATTTACTTTTTCATTTTTCTCTTCTATTATTTTATTTTCATCAATTTCAATATTATCTTGTTCTAATTTTGCATCTATATTTGTTGTATTATCGTTTTGAAAATGTTGTTTAAATTTCATGATATATTTATTTGGTTTATTTAAACGTGCGGTATATTCGCGTTCAATACTCATCACTTCATCGTTCATTGCTTTAATTTGATCGTCAACACGATACTCCATACGTTTAACGAATAATTTTTTAAATACATCAACATTAGCATAATAAATATTTTCTTCAAAACGAAAGATTTTTATATTAGGTACATCCGTTGCTGATGGATAAGCATTTTTATCTTCATAAACACTAGCCGATGATAGATAGCCAAGTGATGATGCGTGTGGTCTTTTCATACAATATAAAGCAATAGTTTTAATAACAAAATTTTTTATTTACCTTTGTGAACGAATAATCAATAGTAAAATGGTTGTTGCAACACCAACATATAGACCATAATCAACATCAAGTAACACAACACCAGCAAATGTTATTATCCATGCGAGAAATTCAAGTTTGTTTGTACGCCATAATAAAGGTAACTGTTTAGTTTGCAGAAGCATATTTTTCATAGCTGTTATTATGATAGCTGCTAAACAAGTATTTGGTAATGTACGAAATAATGGACCAACAACTAGAATAATAATTAATACAACGATCGATGCCAGAAATCCGCCAAGCTTTCAAAATATCGGAGGAGAAAAAGATAAATTATGTTTTAAATTAAAAATACATTTACTTGTGTTTTTCCTCCTGTTCCTTCTATGACTGCACATCGTGATAGGGCAACACAAGCTGGAAAGCCATTAAAAAATGACGTGACAACATTTCCAACACCATACGCAAAAAGTTCTTGATTTGGACTCACTGGATATTTATATTTTGTTGCAAATAATTTAGCCATACTTATATTCAGTACAAAACATACAATGGCTATTGCAATACCATCACCTATCACATCTGATATGGCTCCCATGGGTGGAACAGATGGGGATGGAATTCTATTATTTGAAAAGCGCAGAATAAAAATTTGTGTTTTTTTTGTTATCAAATATTTTTCGTTTACCCCAGTGGAAGCCTGCCAACAATATTAACATTCCAACGTTTATTAAAATCGAAGGCAGCAGAAATACTGGTACCAAGAATAACCTACGAAAATAGAATTCAACTCTAAGAATCTGATGTGATCGTATCTTACGATAATCAATTCGATTGGAATTGGAATTGGTATTCGTCCTTTAAAACGTTCATTAATCTGATCACGAACAGTAGCAAATAGGGCGATACTAATACCACCAATAATACATGTTGCAGCATTTGATTTGTTAATATTTTTAAAAATTTCGATCCAATTCTTGAAGAATAAAACGAAATATTATGTTCAATAGAAATCAATGCGTATTTTGAATCGCTTCTATACCTTAATTACTTTTGATTGTCCCGTCACAGTTTTTATTTTAATACCAAGTAATGGTGGTAATTGACTTGTTATTATATGTATAGCAGATGCTGTTGTAAAGCCTTGTATGATTGAATCCGATAAATAAACAGTGACGTAACCGAAATGTAATATAGCCATAGCTAAATGAACTAAGCCAGAAACAAGTGCCAATGCAGTACCAAGAATAATACGAGCTTGATCTGGGTCATTACTTAAATATCGATTATTCGTTAAAGATGTTGTTTCCAATGTATCAGATGTATATGCAGTAGTTATAGCGCCATTGGTAGTTGTTGTAGTATTTGCGATCGATGCAATACTATTAGGTGGAATAAGTGTTCCCACTCTACTATTGATAGCAGCAAGAATCATAAGTGAAGACACCGCAAAAGTACCTATTTTTAGAAAAATCTGTTTTTTTCTATGTAGGGATGTAACAATACCATTTGGAGACACTTAAAGATGGCCAATTTTCATAATGAAGATTTACCAATACCAACCAATACTTTGTGTCACTTATAACCAACAAACTTAGCTCTACCCGATAGAAGAATAAAAAATACCAATACCAACAGGATATATCCCCAGTATTGGTAAAAAAAAACGGTAANAACAAACTTAGCTCTACCCGATAGAAGAATAAAAAATACCAATACCAACAGGATATATCCCCAGTATTGGTGAAAATTACCGTTTTTTTTTACCAATACTGGGGATATATCCTGTTGGTATTGGTATTTTTTATTCTTCTATCGGGTAGAGCTAAGTTTGTTGGTTATAAGTGACACAAAGTATTGGTTGGTATTGGTAGATCTTCATTATGAAAATTGACCATCTTTAGGTGTCTCCAAATGGTATTGTTACATCCCTATTTCTATGCGTTTGATTCCATCAATAAATTGAACTTACCAATACTTAAATGTCGGGATGTACCAAGAAAAGCATAGATAATAACCGGAAAAAAAGAAACGTAAAGGCCTGTCACTGGTGGTAAACCAGCGAGAATAGCATAGCCAAGTCCTATATAGCAATATTTTTATTTATTATTGAAAATTGATTTAGAAATTATCTCTTACCTTGAGGAATATGCACAACACCAATAGTTAAACCAGATATGAGATCGGATAAGAGCCATTCTTTGATCTGATAATGTCGTATCCAATCGATACATGGAAATCGTTTAAATAGTTGCCTTTTGAAAAAAGCTGGCGTTGGTTTATAATATTTTTTAATATAATTCCATGTACTCGAAACTGGATTTTCTTGAAAATCTTCATTAAGCGTATACTTTTGATTTAATTTTTCAACTGTATATATGCTTAGTTTTCTTGGCGATATATGGCTTTCAAGTGCAGCATTCTTATTTTGTTCACTTAGTGTCTGTGGTGCAACGGTTGGTGTCATTTCTACAACATGATCCTTCTTTTTACGTCTACTGCTAAATCGAGTCATTGCATCTACAACGATAGAACAAAATAGCAGTCATCTATTAAATAGTAGTTTGATAAACAATAAATAATAATAAATCATTCTTCTTTTTGTTTTTCAACTTTTTTACGATCTTCCGCTATTCAGTTTTTAAAAGATAACATTCTGGTACTATCATCCTAAGTACACTAATTTATATCAGTATATCTATTATGTAAATATCATAGTTGGATAAAGGTCAGAACAGAAGGAATTTACGTACTTTTCAAAAGACGATATCTGTTTTATTCGAAAGTGTCTAAATTATGTTAAATGTCATTACTTGAATCGAAAGATCGATTATGTTTGACAATTATTGATTCAATACAATACGCAGATGTATACTTTTCTCATTGACAAAAACAGCAGACAATTTCGTCTTTGATAATAATCGGTAGCAAAATATACGCAGAAGTATTCATTTGTTTTCCGAAAGTAACATTCATCATGAACTTTAGAGGAAATGGTGCCCATTAATTTTCAAAAGCGTTGATTCGAAACAATGAATTCCTTTTACCGTCGTATATGGTAATAATCGTTTAAAAGATTGTTTTGATAGTCTAATAAGATTTTATTTTCGCTTATTATTATTATTACTTTGTATTTTATGTGAAAGTGTCATCGTATTCATACACATGTCTGCAAATCATATCATTGATCTTCTAATAAAGTTTGTATTTGATAAAAGATTATTTTATTTATTACCAAATGACAAATGCGCTTTTCAAGGCTAAAACCCAAGCACATGACATATTATAAATTATCCATTGACAACACATACAATTTTGGTTGATTTAATTTTTCGAAAGATTAATATATACTGATGAAACTAGTTCACCTTTGTTCGCTTTCATTGAAGAAGCCTTATGATCAATAACAAAGTGTAAGATAAATGCAATGTTTCATTGTGTAGCGTTCAGATGACTACAGATCGGATGATAGTTTGAATCTAGATATGTGAGAATCATCCAAAAACGTGCTCTTTAGCGAGTGGTTGATATAAAGGGAAGTATCAGTGATATTTGGTAGTTTTTATCGAGAAGTATTATATTTATGGGCTATCATACATTCTGTTTTTATCAGACAACTTCAAACTGCCCAAAAAACAAATACACTATATTGATTGATATATGTTTTGGCAGGTAATCAACCGAGATATCTCATAGGCAGTTTTCATTGTGACAAAAGAAATTCTACAGATCAAGATCTGCAAGTACATAGAGTCAGCTCACAGAAAACATCCGAATTAAAAACAAACGGCGATGCATAGATAATTTTCTTCACAATATAGGAAATGTACAGGATATTATTTTTACGCTATTTCTATATTTACAAATAACAAAGAAAATATGAATTATACCATAAGTGAATAGTGTCAGTCAACAATTTCATGTAGACATTTTTATTGTGTTTTCGAGTTTATTATGTACAAATCCTACATAAGTTAAGGCGATTAAGTTAATCCAAAACAAAATTTAACTAAGCCATCAATACCATGTAAAAACAAAATTCCTCATGCTTGAGAAACATGATTTACTCACGGATCCTATATCAACATGAAAGAACTTGATGAGAGTTATATAGCATGTAGAATTAAACAGGAAGTCACGGTTTCTACTTTTATAATCAGAATCAATTGAAAGAAAGATAAGTCACTGTAAAACCATAGAATTATCTATTGCGATCGGAAGTACCGCAAGCTAAACTTAATTTTGGCAAATCAACAAAAGCTACTTACATTTTTTACTTAATTCTCTAGATCGATCTTATACAAATATATTCCTATGAAACTAGATCGACATTTTATGGCAACCTGTCAGTTCCCTAGAGTAGCAGACTTATTTTTACATTTGATTTAGACATTGTAAAAGTCAGCATACAATCATTAATATTTAATGATCTTCTTTTTATTCTTCTTTATTAGTTTATGTTGGTGTTAATATTTTTTCTTTGCCTGTTCTTTTTTGCATTTTAACATGTGCAAAAACAAAAAAAAATGAAACGAAATGTTTATTTGAGTTTCTTTTTTGGACGTAAATTACTTGTATGACCACATTTACGTTTACGGCAATTGACTGCGCGTGGATGAAGTCGTGCATAGCATCTAAATAATTAAATTGAAATAAAAAATTCATTTTCTTCCGATTCAATTTTCTTCTTACTTTCGGCAGATGACTTTGTCGCAGTTGTATTTTTGTGCTAACATACGGAGTGTTGGTTCAATGGTACCACCGCGAAGACCTATATAAAAATATATTCAGTACAATACACAAAAATAATATCTTTATCTACTCACGTAAAACTAAGTGAAGTGTACTTTCCTTTTGAATATTATAATCGGATAAAGTACGGCCATCTAGAAATAATAGGAAAAGAAATATTTGTGAAATATTTTTAAAATAGAAAAAGAAAAATGTACCTTCAAGTTGTTTGCCAGCAAAAATTAAACGTTGTTGATCTGGCGGTATACCTTCTTTGTCTTGAATTTTAGCCTTTACATTTTCAATTGTATCCGATGGTTCAACCTGAACATATGTTTAGTATTATTTCTTTTTTTGTGCAATATAGAATGTACATACTTCGAGGGTAATAGTTTTACCCGTAAGAGTCTAACAAAAAGAAAACAATTAAAAAAACGAAATTCTTAATGTAATTAATGAATTACTTTGACGAAGATTTGCATGATGGAGCCAACTAAAATATCTACAAAAATGAAGAGTAATTTGTTGTATGTTTTTTCGTTTGTTGAAGAAAAAAATAAATAAATGATCCGTTTCGTCGCTACCATATTGAATGTTGACGAAGGAATGAAAACCACTATCGATTATAGAGAAAATTCATTATTCAAAAATTTAACTATTTTAATAAAAATATGTATAATTATTTTAAAATTTTATTATTTTGAAAATAAATTTTGACAATTAACGATTGTGGCGCTCAATGATCAATCGAATGCTTGATAATATTCTATGGATTTTTCAAGATGAGTTAACCTACGCTCCTGCATATATTATAGTAATGCCAAAAAAAGAAATACTGACTTTTCATGCTTAAAAATAGATCTATGCGTGATCAGAATGAATACGTTAAATTGTCTGATGAAAATAAAATGTTTTTCAGAGAAGAAAAAGGATATGTTTTTCATTGGATAAAAATGCAAGTAGAAAAGCATTAGTCTTCATTATCTCTCCAAGGAGATGATGTTGTCGTTTCCATACATCTTAGATATCAGTCAGTATTCTTTTCGGAAACATAAATAATGTTATCACTGTTTGATGAAGAGAAAATTAGTGCCTTGTTTTCTTTCCTGTTTTCCCTACGTTTTCTCGCATCCATCAGCTGAAAATTGTTTGCTTTTGCCGTCACAACGCACCAATGTTACATCAAGTGGAGAACTGCTTTTCCCTTTATTCATATGCACTTTGTACTTGACATGGTTTGTTTGTATCACATCTAAGACTGCTCTCAATACAGACACAATCAGATGCATCTGAGGAATTTGCTAATCATAAGATATAATTTTACCAACTGTAACGTTAGTCACGCCTATATTAGTATGATATCTTTTTTTTCTCAAAATTAACAAAAGTGCAGCATTTTCTTTTTTTTTTTCATTATTAATTTCGCAAAGTTGTTTGCATCAGTAAGAAGGTACAAAAAGAAAATAACAAATTCCTATATGCAGATCGAAAGAAATATTAAGTATGTAAAGTACATAAAAACCGTAAGTCAGCAACAGCAAGGATTGATTGGTCGTTCGGTGCAAGAAAAAGGATAACAAAAAGAGAAAAAACAAGAGAGAGGGAAAGGAAAAAAGAGTCTATAGTGAGCACAGTGATAGTCTACTTTATTATTATTATATACATTTATCTTTTTATTACTCGTATATGTCCTTGCTGTGCCCTTAATAATTACGAGAGTATCGAATACAAATAAAAGCAGAATGGTTAGTGAAGAAATTTGATAGGCTTTGATTAATTCTTAATAGAACAATTTATCTTAATCGTATTTCTATATTATTTTAGGCTAACGATCAACACGATTCATCGACAGACATGAAACAGGCTGAACAAATGCGCGAATCAGTTTCATCCGATTCAGAATTACGAGTAAATATTAATTAGGAATCTAATTTATTATTTTACTTAATTTTTTGTTTTTAAATAAATATTTAGAAACGATATACAAAGGTGAAACGTGAGCCAGGACATCGGTAAATGAATAGTTTAATAATAGAAAGAATTATTTTATGGGAAAATGTTTTTTTTTCTTTATTTTTAGTATATTTGTCAATCGAAGTTTACAATTAGATCGAATAAAATTTTATGGCTTCGATATGGATTATACATTAGCATTGTACAAATCACCTGAATTTGAAGAATTAACATTTCAACAAGTACTTGAATCATTAATTGAACTTGGTTATCCGGAACAAATTTGTGAATTCGTTTATGATCGAACATTTCCGTTGAGGTAAAATATTTTGATTTTTTTTTTCATCGATTATTTGTCTGTTTGGTACAACAGAGGTCTTTGGTATGATAAGTTGTATGGAAATTTGCTTAAAGTCGATGCCTATGGGAATATTCTAACGGTTGTACATGGTTTTAAATTTCTCTCTGGGTATGTTTCTGTGATATTGTAATTAGTCATTAATATTTCTTTTACGAAAAATACGCAATAAAAATCATAATAGTAATCGTGCCCTTGAAAAAATATTTTTTTTTTCTATTAGTCATGAAGTTCGTCAAACATATCCAAATAAATATGTGACTGTTGACGATCGTATTTATGTCTTCTATACTCTTTTTAATCTTCCAGGTGATGAAAAACTGAAAATGATATGAAAACATTTATATTATTTTTTTCTATTTTTAGAAATTTATCTTATTGCGTGTTTGATTGATTACTTTTCAACAGTTGCTACTTACACTGAGTACTTGCGTTTTTCTTCTCTATATTCATTATTCTCGAAAAATAATTTCGTATTATTCTAGAGATCGTACAGCTGTTATCTATGGAAAAAATATTCTTTCATTTCGTGCCATATTTAATGATGTTCGTAATTCAATAGATCGTGTTCATCATACAGTAAGAATTTTTCTTTTGATGATAATAATAATATTTATCAAATTTATTTTAAAAAACAAAGGGCAAACTCAAAGAAATCGTTTGTGAAAATATTGAACAATACATTCATCGAGATGAACAGTTACCTGTATTATTAGATCGGTAGTATAATTTTTGATATACTTCAAATATGTATATATTGATTTGCTATTTTTTGTTTAGCATTCGTTCTCATAATGCGAAAACATTCTTATTAACAAATAGTGAATATTGGTATACAGATAAGTTAATGACTTATTTACTAACAGATAAAATGGATGATTCAAAAGTAGTCAAACGTGATTGGAAATCATATTTTAATTTTATAATTGTCGATGCACAAAAACCATTGTTCTTTGCTGAAGGTACAACATTAAGAAATATAGATCCAAAAACTGGTAGTATGAAATTGGGTTCATATTCTGGAAAATTACAAGAAAATGAAGTTTACAGTGGAGGTAAACTAATCGGGAAATTTCATATATTTCTATTATATATAGTTTTCTTGTTTAGGTTCATGTGAAATGGTTTCGAAATTAATTGGTTCCATGGGCAAAGATGTTTTATATGTTGGTGATCATATATTTGGTGACATTATTAAATCGAAAAAACAAAAAGCATGGCGAACAATGCTTGTTGTACCAGAATTAAATCATGAATTGAAAGTTTTTCATGAGAGAAGAGAATTATTCAATACATTAGAATCACTGGATACGACAATTAGTGAATTACTTCGATCTTTTGATATGACATCTGATCGTAGACCTGATGCTGTTACTAAGATAAAACAAAAAATACAAGTAAATAATAAATCTTTTTTGCAAAGATTAGTTTATAATGGATACAAAAGGCACAAGAAAAAAAGTATAATTAATTCGAGGGAATAGTTCGATGGTGTGTGACCTTTTGCTTTTTTCTCCAGTGTTTTATGACATTTTCAGCTCATTTATTAATTCCCAAAGCATTCACAATTGGCCCAAAGCCGATCGCTTTTCGTATAAATCTTTCCTCCAATCTACGCTGTGAGACACTGATAGGTCATCATCCTACCTAGTTTTATTGAATGAAAAATTGATTATAAAATATAGTAGACATTTGTGTCAAATTTCGAAATTTATCATTAATTGATTTCTTAGTCAGACGACCTTTGTTTTTCTCTAGAAACATTTTGCATGATGAATAAGTATAGTTAGTCTTGTTTTCATAAAATTGGATTTTAAAGTACAAGAGAAAATGCTTTTCATGTTACTTTATTGACGCCATTAAGAAAAAGCGAGTGTGCTTTGTTTCTCAACTTAGAACTGAAAAAAACAGGATGCCTTACGGCGATAAACCTTTGTTTTTTCGAAAGAATTATGGGAGAAAGAAATAATAATGCAGTAATCAATTCTACGCCGCTGGACTATAAAAGCTACCTTGCATTTCCGATACTTTATGCTAGTTGATTAGATAGTGTTTGAGAACTTTTTATTGTAAGATAACAGGCTACAAGTTGATCAATATGACCACAACGCTTCTTTTATTTTGTTGATACATAATTATATTTTTTATTGCTAATTGCTATATTTTCGCAGTTGTGTAGTCGAGTTTGACTAATTTTTTTATGGCAAAAAAAAAAAGTTAAACGAGAACTGCGTTTTCTTTATTTTCTCATATATATATATATATATGAAGTATTTTTTGGTACTTAAATATTCTCAACATATCTCTTGTAAAACTCATAAAAATCTAATTGAAGATTTCCCACTGTGCCGTAGATTTTTTCAACTACAATAAATAGCGCATATGCGAAACACGCTGTTCTCTTCATTGGGGTCTATTGACAGTAATAAGAAATGTACTCAAATACCTAACGCATCACGTCACTACAATTAACTTGTCAAACACGTACACAATAAGATAATCATTCTATCGTAAACAAAATATTTCTCGTAAAAACAAATCGTAATATTTATTTCAGATTTCAATCAGTTGCTACCATAGTTTGTCAAGTATTTTTGAAAGTCTAGAAATGCTGCAGCTTAGTAGGAAAGTTCCGTATTAAAAATGAATTCTTCAAATGAAAGTGATATCATTTCTACTACGAACACTCAAGACTAACGTAAGAACAAGTTTTCACAAATAGAAGAAATAGATTTTATGCATCTATTTTCTCAATGAACGTAATAATTTGATTTTTTTTATCTTTATAGGAATGTACTCATGAACTTGACATGAATTTTGGTCTCTTAGGTTCTTTATTTCGAACAGGTAAGTTCGATTATTAACTTGATAGGTTACACTTTCTTCAATAAAGGTTCTCGGCAAACGCATTTTGCTTCACAAGTAACGAGATTTGCTGATATTTATGCTTCGACAGTTGTAAATCTTGTTTATTATCCATTTTTCTATTTCTTTCGTGCTGTTCCACAGCTGGTATGTCTATTGTCCTAGAACGAAAACGAAATTGTTTTCATTTCTTTTTCCTATTTAGATGCCTCACGAATCAACTGTTGATCCCGAAGAACCGCTGCACTTTAAATCATGGGGTGATGAAAAATCTCAAATGGATAGTTTAGATCGTCGTCGTTCAACATTCGGGCAAATTTCGACTATGACGCCACAGTTCAGTCATTCATTATCAATTCAAACACATCCGGATTTACCTCTGCGAGTTACTCATGATCATGATGATGATGGCGATCCAGATGATGATATATCATTAATTGAATCGAATGGAGTCCTGGATTATCGATCACGAATAACATATACGCCACCAAAACGTAAAATGGAGGAAACATTAAATGGAGATGAAGACGAACATTCACATGATTAATAGGAATAAGTTGATCTAAGTTTAATTTGCTTTTAGTTAATTCTAATATCTAAAATTTCCTATCATCTAAATTTCTTCATTCTTAGTCATGAGATTTAATTATGAGTATTTTATTTTCTGTCATTGGATAATGTATATTACTCTTCCTTTTAGTTGCAATAAATAATGTTGTTTATTATATTTAAAAATTATTCAAAAAAAAAATAAACATATTTGTTTGTTACGAAAAACAAACTGGTCCAACATTTATATGAAAGTCTTCATTGTATTTGAAATTATTTAGAAATTCAATATCAACAATTGGTAAACGGACAGATTTATTTGTTGATATCGATAGTATTGTTTGACCATGAGAATACTACATCAAAAACAAAAAAGAACATGAATACATACGAAATAAATAGCATAGTATTTAATAAAAGATTACTTTGCAGTCATCTTTAATTATAGTATATCGTAATGAATCATCGTTAAGTGAATGCATTCGGTAAATCATACCATTTTTAGTTCGTAATTTGACATCATGCTTTAATATATCAATATTTCCATCATGACAATTGAATATTACAGTTTGTGACCCTTGTTCGGAAAGTATTCGAAGAAAACGTAGTTGAATCGTTTCCATATCGTAAATAAGCTAAAATTCAATAAAAAAAATAACAGCAACAAGAGATGTTTATTAGATTATTTTATTTCACAATACTTCAGATTGTTGTAAATCTCCCAGTAATCGAATATTTTTTCCATAATGAAGTCTATTTTTTGAAAACATATGTGATTGAATTAATCCATTAGTAGCATTGACGCATGTCAATCGTTCAGTAAGTTTACAATATACAAGTACAGCATCGTTTTTTGAACCTTCATTTGGATCAATAAAATAAAGTCCTATAAAATTTAAATGAGAACGTAAGAATGAAAAAAATATTCAAATTAGTTAATCAAACCATTGGGCTTGTTTGGATAGTAATCAGTAATATCTCGACAACTTCGAACGGGATGCGATCGACTTCCATCGGGTTTCATTTTTAATGTAATATTGTTTGATAAGCGTTTGAGATCATCAAGAAATTTTGTTGCAGTTTCTTTTGAATTGTCATATTTATTCGATTGAGTTGAAAAATCAATATTTTTATAACGGTCCGATGAGAAATCGAATAATTTTGTAAATTGAGTACTTGTAGCAAAAACACTCATTAAAGCACCAACATTGAGTGATGTAGGTGGTGCACTTGAAAGACCTTGAGGGCCTGGTGGGCCAGGATTTCCCATGTCCCCTGAGAAAAACCAATAGAAATTGAATTAATAATCATTGCATTTGTTTTGAAAACTTAATGCTTATTTTTATACATACCACGAGCTCCACGTTGTCCAGGGTTACCTGGATTACCAGTTGCACCTATAAATGAGTTGTGTACAAATATTTTGAAAAATCTCTTTTTCACATTGTACTTACCTATTTCGCCAGGTATTCCAGTCTAAATTGAATTATACAGATAAAAGCAAGAGTTAGAAACTAAATTTTATGAAAAATTTATCTTACTTCTCCAGATGGACCTTCTTCACCAGGTAAACCAGGTTCACCTGCATGACCAATAGGACCTCTACAATTTCATATACGATAGTAGTAATATAATGAAGTTTTATCTTCGAAGAATTTTTACCTGCTTCCACGACTACCACGAAAACCTTTCTCACCAACAAGACCAGCAAGACCACGTGATCCTGAAAGACCCGGTAGGCCAATGGGTCCTTCAAACCCCTAGTTGACACATTTTCTCTTAGTTCATGTTTCAAGTTGACAAGAAAAGAAGTCTTACTTTTGGGCCTACGTTGCCTTGTAAACCAAGAATACCCTTGATACCCTCTGTAAAAAGAATATTTACATCTATTTTGCAATAATTAGCTGTATTGCTTACGCTCTCCATTGTTGCCTATTGGACCTTGAGCTCCAGTATCACCTTTTTTTCCTATAGCTCCCTAAAAAGAATTTCGAAAGAAAAATTCTACCAGTAAACGATTTTATCTAATTCATTCATGTGAAAATACCTTAATGCCTTTGATTCCGGTATCCTAGAAATTAGTGACATAGAATAACATTAAAGGAACATTGTATCTCTAATTAAAATACTTACTCCTTTAATACCCTGTATACCTTGTTGTCCAACTATGCCTTGCATTCCTTTTTCACCAATCGAGCCAATATCTCCTTCTAAACCTTTGTCACCTGTGGAACCTATGGGCCCATCAATACCTTTCTGACCTTTCTGACCTTTTCCACCAGTATTGCCCTTTTGGCCTAAAGCATAAACAAAAATGTGTCATTCGATCCCCTAACATCTATGAATGAGTCTACCTTCCATTCCGTCGTCACCTACATTGCCAATAATACCAATATCACCTACGGCTCCAGTAGTGCCAACATCACCTTTGGAACCTTTCTCTCCAATGTCGCCTTGTAATCCAATGATTCCTTGAGGACCTTGATCACCCGTATCGCCTAGAAAGATATACAATTAAGAAATGATATTTCTTCAAATATCGAAACAATCTACCTTGCGGTCCTGTTACACCAATATCACCGAGTAAACCAATCTGTGATAGAGATGTATTATTTATAATTTCTTGTCAAATTCGTCAACAAATACTTACTTCTCCCTGAAATATAAATTAGAAATGAGATAGAAAATACTGTTTTCTTGACTTACTTGAGGTCCAACGTCACCCGTTGTTCCTTTTGAACCTTTTTCACCTGTTGGCCCTAAATAATATTAAATATAATGCTTTTGCCAATTCTTTTTATTAACGGCAATTTACCTATTGGTCCGATATCGCCAGCAATGCCTTGATCACCTATATCTCCTTTTATTCCCTGAATTAAACACGTTGATATTTATAGAATTATATATGCATTACAATAAAAATCTTACTTTTGGACCAATTGTACCGTTAGGTCCTCTAAATAGATAACACAATAATTATACAATGATTTCAAAATAGATAAACAATCACGAACTAACCTTTCTCCTATATCTCCAACAATACCCTTGACACCTATAAATTGAAATCAGATATATATGTATATATAGATAGGTTAAATTTGTAGCAATCCTTATCTCAATATAAATACCTTTTGGGCCAATTATTCCCTATTGATGAAGTAATAATAAACAAACAACTAATTGCAGTAACAATCACAGTAAATATAACTCACTTGCAAACCTTGTATACCTTTATCACCAAGAATACCTTTGTCACCATGGTCTCCCTTATTTCCACGGATGCCTACATCACCTTGTTCACCTTTCATACCGGTTACTCCGATTAATCCGTCAATACCCTATTTGAAAGATGTCAAATAGATTGAAATTTAGCTACTATTTTAATAATTTTCAATTAAAATTACTTTTGTACCAGTTTCTCCTATAATTCCTAATTCACCTTTGATACCACGATGACCTTTTGGACCCTGAATTGTATGAGAAGAAAAATAAATTAGATTACAAAATAAATATTCTTAGCAACTATCATGCAGAAGCCGATCAATAAGTCAATAATATGAAATGATATTGATACTTTACTTGATTTCCCACAATGCCTTGTATACCTTTTTCACCAACGATTCCTTGTGGTCCAACAAAGCCTTTCTCACCTTTTTGGCCATCATCTCCTTTATTACCCTCATCACCTTTAAAAACCATCGAGATAGTTACCTGTATGCCTATATTAAATTTTGAAAAAAATAATTTCCTCACCTTTTTCTCCCACTCCACCGGTTGGACCTTGTTTTCCAATAATACCCCGGTCACCTATCGGACCTACGATTCCTTGGTCTCCTCTATGCAAGTAACCTTTTCATGTAGATTTTCATTCGATATTAATTTAAAAAATTCTTACTCAGTTCCTTTGTCACCTTTAACACCCTATTTTAAAATATACCAAACTATACTTCCATACTTTTATAGTGGAAATTTGATGTACTTACAAGATCACCTGTGGGTCCTATTTTACCTTGAGCACCTCTATCAAAAAATTGATTGTAAAAAATGTATAGTAACTATAAGTTATGATAATTACTGATCTCCAGTAACTCCCTTGAAACCAACTTTTCCAGTATCACCTTCGGTTCCTTTAGAACTCTTCACTCCCTAATTATAAAAAAATAAAAGTTTTAATCATCGGCATTATAATTAAAAATTGAATATTACTGGTTCTCCATCTGATCCAATATTACCACGATCACCTGGAAAACCATTTTCGCCCTTAAATCCAACAACGCCTTTATCTCCCTTGTATCCTTGTAGACCAATAATGCCAATCTAAATTTAATCAGAAAAAGATAGATACATATGTAAACATGTGTAAAACATTCGGTAGTAGATCGATTGCTTCAAAAGTTACTTACGTCTCCTTGAATTCCTTGAGTACCTTGAACACCTTTGTTTCCTTTGTTTCCATATTCACCATTGATACCAATAGGACCAACATTACCCTAAAAATTCATTGATCTATTCAATGATATATATGTATAGAAAAGAATCGACCAATTCGTACCACAATACCAATGGGACCTTGCATACCAGCATTTCCATGTACACCTGGATAACCTATTCGACCCTATTGAAACGATCAGTATGTAGAATTCAATAAATCTAAAATCTAATCTAGTATTGATGTCTACTTACTATTGGTCCTTGTGGCCCTTGTAAACCTTTCGAGCCTTGTTCGCCATATTCACCTATTTGACCTGTGCTCCCCTTTCTACCATCTACATGTAACAGAGAAAAATTAGAAAACAAAACTTTTGAATCTACACGAAAAAGAAGATACGAGAAAAATAAAAACACACCTGGACCAACTGAACCTTGTTCACCTAAGAACGTTACAATAAAATTAGAACTAGAATATTATATTTTTTTGAAAATAATTTCCCTGTACCTTTTGCTCCTTGGTCTCCTTTCGCACCTTGAAGACCTATTTCACCTTGAAGACCAATTTTGCCTTGTAGTCCTTGATCTCCTTTGTGTCCTTTAGGACCTTTCTCTCCGTGGTATCCCATTTTTCCTTTTCTTCCTGGATCTCCTGTGGAACCCTGAAATTAATATATATATATATACGTATCTTACTTATAATTATAAAAGATGCTAAATTCCTTACGATATTTCCTAGAAATAAAAATAAGACATACTATCATTTCTATTGTCAAGATTCACTAACCTTTGCTTCCAGCAACACCAGGAATACCGACGAAACCAATCTCTCCCTAGAAGTTTCCCAAATGAGACTTTGTTTTTCGATGGGTTTTTACTAACCCGAACACCTTGAATTCCTTGTTCACCTTTCATGCCAACTTCTCCAATCATTCCCTGAAAAACAAATGAGTTCAAAATCATATACTATAATTGATTATTAATATAAATTTACTTTTCGTCCTGTTCTTCCAGCTGGCCCAGGACAACCTGGACGACCAACATATCCCTAAGATCCAAAGAGCAAATAGAGTTGAAAATTATGAATGAATTATATCTTTACTGACAGGAAAACCTCGATCTCCAAGCATACCATATTCACCCATACCGCCTTGTGGGCCCTAAAATTGAAGATAAAACAAATGAAAAACTTTTTTTCGGATTCATGTACAAACCGGTAAACCTTGACAACCATCAATACCAGCTTGAAACAATAATAGGTCAAAAATTATTTAAAGATTTATACAATTCTTTCAACTATTCTCTTACGTGGTCCCGGTGCTCCTGGTGTCAATTGAGCATAGGGAATGTAAGGCGAAGAGGAAACTAATGACGATTGACTTCTTAAAAATTGTGATGGATTATAGACATGCATAAGTAAATGACGTTGAATCATATTACGAATATCATCTTCACGATGTCTTTCAAGGGCTTCGTCAGTCTAAATCAACATAGATAATTGTCAAAGTTTACATTGAACATTGAAATACAGTGTAAACATCTTACTCCTGTACCACTTGTATCTTGCAGTACGCCAACAGGGCCTGGTAGACCTGGAACACCTGACATACCATCAGCACCAGGTAAACCTATGAAAGAGCATTGAAAATAAACATGTCATTATCAACAATAAATATTATCTACCTTTCGATCCTGAAATCCAATAGATAGTTGGCGTATCAGTGATCACTGTCGACATTGTACTAGTCGTAGCTATAGTAGTAGTAGTAGTAGTAGTAGTACTGATTGTAGTAGTTGTGGTCTTTTTAGTTGTAGTAGTGGTGCTGGTCGTAGTCGCTGAAGTTGTTGTAGTAGTCGTCGTTTTTGGCATTGTAGTTGTAGTTGTAGTAGGCGTTTTTATCTTTCTTGTAATAGTACTAGTAGTTGTTTCTTTTCTTGTTGTTGTTGTGGTGGTGGTGGTGGTGGTTGTCGTGGTAGTTGTTGTAGAAGTTGTGGTGGTGGTGGTTGAAGTAGTAGTTGTGGTGGTGGTGGTGGTTGTCGTGGTGGGTGTTGTGGTAGTTGTTGTAGAAGTTGTTGTGGTTGTTGATGTAGTTGTAGTAGTTGTGGTGGTGGTTGTCGTAGTAGTCGTTGTAGAAGCTGTGGTGGTGGTGGTTGAAGTAGTAGTTGTTGTAGGAGTTGTGGTCGAAGTTGTTTTAGTTGTGATAGTTGAGGTGGTTGTTGTTGTTGTAGTAAGAGATGTGGTTGACTCTTCGGCAGTGAGATAATCAATACTATCATCATGAATTGGCGTCAATTTTGCCCACCTTTGATTCCAATAATCTAAAGTAACAACAGAAATGAGTGTAATATATGAAGTCTTCAGCAAATAATTTGTTTTTGTTTGTATTGAAAGACTTTATCTACACCCGTAAGTGAGAAAACTAAATGGATAATATAGCATTTTCAGGATTTTAAAATAGATGCGTATAGTACTGAAGTTATAATATATAATTAAATATGAAAACAATTGAATAAGGTTGTGAAGAGTAAATTTGAACATACCTATTTGATCTGGACATATAAGACATGGGCAAAGAGGATCATTATTTTCAATTCTTTCTGACTCTGGACAATCACTTGATTGGTTGATCACATCACAACGACTGTCGCATACAAAAGATTGATCACTTTCACACTGACATAAATCACAAACATTAGTCGGAGATATGTATTCTTTGTCGCCAACAGGAATAACTAAAGATTTAACAATGAATCTATTTTAATTTTTAATAAAATTTTAACTCGTTCACATACGTCGACCATCATCTGATACACATCCGACTTCAGCTGCTCGTAATTGAACTAATATGGAAAAAAAACATGAGCTATAAATTAACTATGCAAAATAGTTTTCGAACAAACATACAATCAAGTATGTCCCCTCGTATAATTGAAAAACATTGTAGTAACAAGATATGATATTGAGAAAAGCGAAACATTTCAACTTTTAAAACATATATACAATTAAATCCTCCAATAATATTTATCAAAAATCTAAAATAACAGAAAATTATGTTAGTATACAGTAAAATTAAAATCATATAATATTCGTTAGATAAATATATCATTTCAAGGCGTATTCAAATATAAATAATATTGTTTAGCTACTTTTGTAGAAGGAAACTATTGAATTTGTTTTCTCTTTCAAAAATTTACTTACATTAGCATTAAAGAATAGAAAATATCTTTTTCTCAGCGAAAATGTGACAAATCTTTATCTTTGTTTTCATTAGTGCTTTTATCTGGCTTATATAATCAGATATTCTGACTGGTGACCTTGAAACAATTTCCAAGCAAAATGCTAAAAACACATGTGTTTATTTTTTCTAAACAAACAAAGTATAGTATCGATGCATATATTCATTAATTCTATATACCTGAATTCACAAAAACTCCAATTGAATATATCGTACAGTAACAATAATTTTCGCTTGTATTAGCAGACAACTTACGTATCATATTCTTCCATAATATGTCTCTCAATGATATCTTTCATCGGAATATCTGCCAAAGAAATAGACAAAATTTATTTATCTTACAATGTGTCGACAATGACAATTGTTCTGCATCTTTCTTTTGCACATAGTACAGCTCTGCTATAGTTCTTGTACGTCTTTTTTTCCGTCTGTGCTGTAGTGTTCTATCAGGTCAGCCAACAGATTGATATATGGATTGATATTACGTGTGCAACTGTAATTAGATGTATTTATGATTAAGAAAAGAAATCCTTTGCAATAATTTTCTAAACAAAATTATTTTGTTCATAATTCTTTAGTTTATTTATATAAAATAATATATATGTTTTTTTCTCTTCAATTTATTTACAACATTAAGATTGATTTTAGATGTAGACTCCTGGAATAGCTAAGGATAAACATAACAATCAATAAAACTAATTCGCTTGCTTCTCGTGAGAATTATATGTAAAAATATCGGTCTGATTGAACTCAATGGGCAATCATTTTGTTGGACTTTAATCAAAAATATGTTCCCATGAACCTGTTTTCTTTATTTGTCAACACACAGTTATGATTTTGCATATAATTCGTCCCAGCAGTTATATTCAATATTGCATAAAGAACATTTGAATAGCACTAGAAAACAAAGAAAAACACTAGAGAGAGAGAGAGAGAGAGAGAGAGGGAACAAAAAAGAAAATAGCTTGAATGTGGTCTCATGTCTTCTTATTAAAATAAATATAAATGACAGTTATAGTTAGCATGTTACTATTACATTGAGGAAAACTAACAGCTAGTGCGCGATATTATTATTAAGGCTCAATAGTATATCGTTTTGGAATCGTCAACTGAGGGAATATACAATAATGGAATATTTTAAACGAAAATTTCGATCTGGTGGTTCTTATGATCAATTCGATGATAATACTCGAGATAATTATAAAAGTAAATTTGATCTTATGCGTTTAAGTGCTGTTGTTTGTGGCATAGAGTTTTGTTATGCAGCTGAAACTGCTTTTGTTTCACCTATACTTCTTCAGCTTGGTTTACCCGTCGTACTTATGACTTTGACATGGTGTTTACCGCCATTAATTGGATTCTTTCTTGTGCCAATACTTGGTTCACTAAGTGACAAATGTCAAACACGTATCGGACGACGACGTCCATTTATTTTACTTTATTCAACTGGAATTCTTATTGGTCTTTTACTAGTCGCTAATGGTAATAGAGAAATATTATTTCTTTAGATTTAATAACAATAATAACAAAAACTCTTTTGCTAATGATTAGGTCAGACTATGGGATATTGGTTTGGTGACTCGAAGAATATTATTTTCAATAGTACTGAATTGATTAATCAAACGAATCCTATCAATTACCGAATATCGATTCCATTTTCATCACGTAAATTTGGTACAACAATCACTGTTCTTGGCGTTTTTTTACTTGATCTCGATTGTGATGCATGCCAAAGTCCAAGTCGTGCATATTTGCTTGATGTTACACATCCAAATCAACATTCTGTAGGTCTTACAACATTTACATCAATGGCTGGTCTCGGTGGTTGTTTAGGCTATTTCTTTGGTAGTATTCCATGGGAAAATACATTCTTAAGTAAACTATTTGGTGATCATGTTCATGTTGTTTTCACTCTGGTTTGGATGATTTATATCATTTGTCTAATATTAACAGTAACAACAGCAAAAGAACCAAATCACATTGAAATCATGGTGCCCAGTCTTATTCGATCATCGTCATGTCAATATATTATGTCAAGCTATTCAAGACGTCCTACACGTGATTCAATTGAAGATATAAATCAGTATGGAACCATAAAACAAGAACCAGATGATTCAACATCAGTGGCATATTTTAAAATATCCTATTTCGATTATCTTCGATCAATTATCTATATGCCAGTTCCATTACGATGGCTGTGTTTAACAAATTTCTTTTGTTGGATGGCACTTGTTTCGTATTCATTATTTTTTACGGATTTCGTTGGGCAATCTGTTTTTGGTAATTATTTAAATAGAAAATTTTGCATGAAGAAAATTTTTCTTTAGGTGGAAATCCAAAATTCGAACTTGGACATCCATTAAGATCCCTATATAATGATGGAGTTCGATTTGGTTCATTGGGCATGTCGGTCTATTCAATATCATGTTCAATTTATTCGTTTAATATTCAATCGTTGAATAATTATTTCGGTACAAGTTTTATTTTATTTTTATTCTATTGTTTGGTTTTGTTTTGTTTTGTTTATAAAAGGCATTAAACGAGTTTATGTTGGATCTCAATTAATATACGCCGTTGGAATGTTATTAATGGGATATTTACGCCATCGTGTTGCTGTTATTATTTTGTCAGCTGTGGCCGGAATTCTCTATTCAACATTATTTACTATTCCATATTTACTTATTTCAAAATATTATACATCAAATATAGTATACTAAGTTTTTTCTTCTTCTTCGTTTGTATTACGAAATAAAATTTTTTTTTTTAAATAGTTCAATCAATCAGACACATACGGACAAATTCGTGGTATTGGTACGGATGTTGCTGTTCTGAGTAGTATGGTCTTTTTGGCACAATTATGTTTATCATCAACAATGGGTACATTCATTCATTTAGCTGGTTCTACAGTTATTATAACTATTGTAGCAAGTATTCTAAGTATTTGTGGAGCTATTTCCGCTACACATGTGTTGTATCTTGATTAGAGAAAAATAAATCAGCAAATGAATCAATAAAAAGCAAGTGTAAAATAATGAATACAATAGCGAATACATTAAAATGCACAAGACAAGAATAAAACAGATTAAGTTCAATTAATATTATTGTCCTATAAATAAATATTTATTCTTAACAGGCAATTATATAAATATATCATTAATTAATGTCATACTGAAACAATCTACTGTTGTTGTAAGTGTTTCGTGACCTATTAGAACGTATTATTATCATATTGGAATTGGAATTTACTGTAAAGATTACGAATAAAATTAAGCCGAGAGCTATTTCAGACAAACATTTTATGAAACAAAGTCATAGATGTCGCACCGATATTATTAAGAGATGTTGATGGCAGAGTTTGTTGTTTAAAATACTCAGAATTGTAAACTGCGTTACTTTAAATTTATGAAGGCAATGTATTGCAACAAATAGTTATCTTTGACATTTTTTTCAACGTTCAATATGAGTGAAAACGTATAAAATCTTCCATTTGCTAATGCTGCCAAAATAGAAAATTCAAACTAGGCACAACCAGAAAAGATCTAGAAAGACTTGATGTCATAATCTATGAACATCAATTAATAAACTTGAATCATCTCAAAATTAAATAAGATATAAATGTTTGCATGTCGGATATGAATATTTTCTAAAATTGAGTTCTCCGAATCATGCATCGTTCATATTGAATGACATAGAAATTGAATCTATATAAAGTTGAAAGAAATCATTACTCAGAGAATGGGCCATGCTGTTAGTCAATGATTTATGGTTAAACACATGTAAAAATGGTATCTTAAAGTCTTGTCGAAATTGTTATTCTTTATATTTCTTAGGTTATAGAATCATTAATTCAGATATTACCGATAAGAGATTGTGTAAAAAACGGTCTGATCCTTGAGTGTGACTTTATGTTTTTCTCTTCTCATCGATAGTCACCTTCGCAACTGATCTAGTAATCGATATATTCGCCAATAAAATAATTAGTTTTTTAGAATGTTAAATGTAGATGAGATTATATTTGACCTGGATTTCTCAGCAATATTAGACTATGAATAAATCTAAATTGACTTCGATTGATTGGTTTTTTGCGTCATGATTAAACATAATGAGCTTATTTTAGTAAAGTCATTCTTTTTTTTACTTTATCTTTTATTTTATGCTCATCAAAAGACAATAACAACAGCAGAAAAAAATAGTCAAGAACAAACAAGGAACAAACGAGACAAGTGGAAGATGACAGTGCTAGACACAAAAAGGCAAGGAAATATATACAAGCGAATCTTCACTTGTTCATAAACTTTTTTTCTCAATCAAAACAATTGGAAATACAATTGATTTTTATTTTTCGTTGCTACTCGGTGTTAATGTTGAAAAGAAAAATATAAATTGAGATCGATTAACATTTACAAGAATTGTCTTGATGAATATTTGTTTGTTCATTCATTGAACATCTATCTAGATTTAGTCGATTTTTTTTCGTCTTTCTTAGTGCGTACAGGTGTTGGCGATCGTGAACGACTTGATGAATTACTACGAGCTGATGATTGTGGTTCTATATGTAGCAGAAGAAAATTTTGTTAATTTTTTTTTCTCGCAATTAAAAATTAGCTAACAAAAGACTTACTTTTATTTGGCTTTGTATCAGTATCCGATTCGGATTCTGATGATGAACCTGATGACTCTGAACTTGACGAAGACGAATCTGAACTTGATCCTGACGAAGATTTATCAGATGGTGAACGTGTTGCTTTTTTGCTCTTTTGTATTTCTTGCTTTGGTGGTACAGCTAATTTAACTCGATCGTTATTTGATGCAGTTGAAGCTACTTTTTTCAATGGTTGTCGTGGTGGAGAAGGTGACTGCGATGATGGTGTTGCTGACTTCAGTTTTGGTTGTTGTGTTTCAACTAGACTTTTAGGTGCTCGATCATCACTTGATGATTCACCACTTTTACGACGTTTTTTTACTTTATAATCATCATCTGAATCGTTTGATTTTTTCCGCGGAAATTTATCGTTACGTTGAGATGCTGGACGTGGTGGCGATGGTGATCGACTTCCACTCGAACTTGATGATGCTAAACGAGGTTTCACATTTGAATTGGCGAGTTTTTTCATTGGTGGTGGTGGTGGTGATGTTTCCATGGATGATGATGATGAGGGCGAACGTGAACGATTTTTTATCGGTTCATTTTTGCGTTGTCTTATTGGACTTCGAGTACGTTTTGGAGATCTTGAGGGTGAACGGCGTCGATCACGTTGATTAAATGAAGCATTTCCTTTCGGTTTATCATAACGTTGTTGACGTTGACGATCATCTTCACTTCCACTACCCTTTGAAGCAGATCGTGTAGGTTTTTTGTATGCATCTTTTCTCGAAGCGGATGATGGCAATGGTGATGGTTTGGCATCTCGACGTCTAAAAGAATAAAATCTCGTTTCTTTAGAAAATGTAAATTAGTGTATTAGACTAACCGTGAGTTCGAATCTGGGCTTCGCGAAGGATACGATCGACGAGTTTTCGATGGTGATTGACGACCTCTGAATGGTGGTGACGACCGACGCTTATTAGATGGTGGTGATGGGGAGCGGTGACCTTTTGGTGGTGATCGACGACTTTTGGATGGTGGCACAGGGGATCGACGTTTTTTCGACGATGATGGAGAAGGCGAACGGTGGCCTTTAGGCGGAGATGGGAGTGTTTGACGTTTTCTTGGTGGTGGAGATGGTGATCGATGACCTTTGCTTGGTAGTGGCGAAGGTGTTCGACGTTTTCTTGTTGGTGGAGATGGTGATCGATGACCTTTCGATGGTAGTGGTGAAGGTGTTCGACGTTTTCGTGGTGGTGGAGATGGCGATCGGTGACCTTTGCTTGGTAGTGGTGAAGGTGTTCGACGTTTTCGTGGTGGTGGAGATGGTGATTGATGACCTTTGCTTGGTAGTGGTGAAGGTGTTCGACGTTTTCTTGTTGATGGAGATGGTGATCGATGACCTTTCGATGGTAGTGGTGAAGGTGTTTGACGTTTCTTTGCTGTCGGAGATGTTGATCTACGACCTTTGGAGGGCGGCGATGGTGTTCGACGTTTCTGCGATGGTGGTGACCGACGGTTTCGTGGTGATGGACGTCGTCGCTCATATCGATCATCAGGACGTCTTCGATCACGACGATCATCATCATAATTTGGTCGTGCTTTATATCCAGGATTATTTCCATTTTCATGACGTAATCTAATATTTGCCGATGAAACTTGGTTACGACCATTGGGTTTATCACTATCACCTTTAACATCATTACGATATGAATCTTCTTCACGTTTGCGTACTTCTCGTAAACGATCATCATCTTCCTAGAAAGAAATTGAAATAAAATCATTCAGTTTATAAGTGTTACATGCATAATCGCTCAATCTCTAACACTACCCATGCGCATACATACGAAAATAGATCCTAATCAATAGACAAAACCCAATTATTATCGGTTCACATGTATTGCAGTTATGAATTACACAATTGCTTTCACACATGAAAAACATGTTTAAACAATTTTTCCTTATAATTTCACTAATCCAAAGCTGATAGTGCAGTAACTTTAAAAGTTTCATAAAAGATGGGTCTTCTTAAGGCATTATTTATTGAATGATAATGCCTCAGTTATTTTTCAATGATCTCAAATAAAAATTATGTTCGACATATCTTATATGTTCAATTTTCAATCATTATTCATCATGTCGCCTCAAAAGGAAAAACTATACAAACACCAATGCTTACCTTTTGCTTCTGTAAATATTTCTTCTTCATTTCAACTAATTCTACTGGTATGCCATCAGGCGATGACTGTCCACTAGCTAATAAAACCCATAGTTCTCCAATAAATGCTCGAGCTTTACTTCCGCCAAGGAAACCTGTTAGATTAATTTGCATCATTTTAGGATCGGGACTCTAATAGAGAAAAAAGAAATATATATAAAATTCCTAAAGATTCTAAACGAACTGTATCCTCAAGTTGATTGAAAACATATTCAATCACAACATCATCTTCAAGACCCAATAATTCTTCTAAGCGTCTTGTTATCCATGGTTTCATAATATCCAAGTTAATTTTTGACATATCAACCTATATCGGAACAAATAAATATTTTCGAATGAAAAAAAAACAAAGGAATTCTTTTTACTTTAGTCTCTATATTGTCTGGAAATTTCATTTGTTTAAGTAATTTCTTTTGTTTATTTGCAAATCGACTATCTTGTTCAGCAGACGTACCTTTGAAAAAACCAGCATCGGCCATTTTTTTTTTGTATAAGGATTAATTATCTAAAATGAAAAATGATCCCAATAGAATCTTTTGCCTAATGTGATAAAAGATTCACAAGGATCTTTACCATGTTTTATCCTCTATTTAAATGGAATAAAACAGAGAAACAAAAAAATCTAACGACAGCAATCACAGGTTACTTCCAGCAAAGACAAGACGAAAAACTTCCAATTGCCATGTTTATTTGCTGGTCTCAAAGAAAAAAGAAAGACTAAAAAAGAGGCTTCGTCACTTAAAATTTATATACAGATATTGCTTGAAAGAATTACTGTGTCATCTATTCATAGACATACGTCACAAGCCCAAGCTGAAGACTATGGCACTACCATTTGTATCATCCATACCTAGAAATGAATCATTTATAATTAGAAATATGCAAAAATCAATTAGTATTGCTCGCTTAACTGCGATTACTAGTAACACTAAATATTTATTGGCATAAAACTTTGATTTCATTAATCAGGGCATATTTTACTATCATCTTTTTATAAAACTTATCAACAGGACTCATGAAAAAAAATTTCATTAGTATCGAAATTCTTTGTTTTCAAAATTTCGATATACTGCAATAAGGTCGTATCGATCAGACAAGGTTGCTTTTGTTTCATTCAATGCAAATAAATATTTAAGATCTCTCCCCTAAGCGAATTTAAGTTCTTTATTGATTATTCCATGCAAATTTTTTTTCCAGAAATTTTAATTTTCTACTGTCATTTCCCAATCTCCTACTAGTAATAGATACTTAAAAGATCAATGAAAAGTGTTTCAAGTAAAATTTTAAAAAATTTACTTCAACCGTTGAATAAAATAATGTAACAACGCAATTTGCATCGAATAAAAATAATTTAATGAATCAAACTCAATCAGATACAAATGAATAACTATTGATCATCGGCGTAGTACTAAAAAGTTGAATGCTTGATTTATTTTTGCAAATAAATTATCAAATATTCCTTAATTATGTAAAAAGAGTCATACTTCATTTATCCATCTTCTAATGAGCATCGATGGTACTTATAATTGAAATAAATCATTGTTCTTGTTTGATTAAACGAACAATCCGAAAATGTATAATTTCCTGAGGTATGAGCCATAGTTTGAATTTTTTCAATAAGCTAAAAAATTAAAATGAATTCTTGCTTCAGAGTCAGAATGCAAACAGAAAAAACAATTATGTATTGCTTTCTTCTTTTTGTAGAGTTTCATAGCCAATAAGATCAGTTTTCAAACGGTATATAATGAAAATAATGTTTGGATTTTATAGAAAATATTTGAAAGATTGTTTATGATAATTTTCATTAGAAAAAAAATGAAATGATGATTTTGCCATCTGACGATAGATATCGCTAATACTGATGCACAGGTTATTTTCTGCATGTGATGAGTCATTGCTAGCTTTTTCTTATTGTTTATTATTGATCAAAATTTTCTTCATATGAAAGTGCTGGAGATTATGACAAATATGAATTCCTATCAACGATTTGTCGTATAGAATGATTGATCAAATTTTCAATTGCAACTATACTATGATAAACATACAGAAAATAATAGTCATTTTCATATGTGATAGAAATTAGTTTCCTGTTAATGAAAAGATATTTTTTCTTCTAGATTCATATTCGTGATAAACACTATATCACAGTTGAAAATAAACAATGTCAGTACAAAAGTTTGTTAGTAAAGGTTAGCTATTGCGTTGCACACATTTTTCGCATTGTCATCGGTTCGTTTCTTTTGCTATAGCAACATTTGAATTTGGCCGTCGTTTATTTGGCGAACAAGTTCGTCGTGAACCAGCCACACTTAAAGATCAATATCGTAAATTTCAATATTATCAAACAACTCATTATAAGTTAGGGCTTATGGAACATGATCGACTCTACGGTGATAATCCAGTAATCAAAGAAGCTATGCGCCGTTTACGTATCACCGAACCTGAAGTATGGGACGAACGTTCGTTTCGCATATCACGCGCAATTAATTTCGACATTAAAAAGATGCTTCTACCAAAAGATGAATGGGTTGAATACGAACAAGATGTACCGTATTTACAACCATTTCTTGCAGAAATCGAACGTGAACAAGATGAAGAACGACACTGGAAAAAAGTTTTAGGTTAAAATACAAATCCCCAAATAAAAGACATGTCCTTTCCTCTATAGTCCTTAACACGCCTATTTTCCTGTTTCTATCTCGTACACATTCGTTTTTCTGTAGAGTTTTTAGCGTGTGAAAATAAGCGTATAGAACCATCTGATATAAAAATTTGTTGTAATTGATTTTTTTTCTCTGATCTTCATCTTGGAGTTTATAGATTATTTCAGATACAAAATAAAAAAACAATGTCAAATCAAATTGATGATAAAGATGATGATTTATCAATAAATGTCGTTGAACCTGATGAAAATGAATGGAAAAAATTTATTGATGAGTATGTTTATTTTTATCAACGGATTATTTTTGATATTTCATTATCTCATTTTAGGATGAAATATGCTCGTGCTTTAGAATATGTTCTTCAAAATGCACCAGTTCGTGCCAAAGATCCAGAGAAAAAAGTAAAGTTCTTTACTTATTTTTTTTTACCCTAGACAAAATCGTCTCTGTTGATAATTCTCAAAGAAATCAATTTATTTTCTAGAAAAAAGCAGCTCAAATGGCATTATCAACAATGATGAAAATTAAAACTAGTGAAATTCCTCAAGCTGTCAATTCAATACCTGTACCATTGCGTGACACATTGATGAAATATATTTATAAAGGTTTTGAAAATCCAAAAGATTATTCAAGTAGTGCTTTATTAACATGGCATGAAAAGGTAATATTGACATTATTGTGTTTTAGAAAAACGAAATATTTGTGAGTTATTTCATTTCAGGTTCTTGCAATTACTGGCCTTGGTTCGATTGTGCGTGTCCTTACAGATCGACGAACTGTGTAGACTGTTTTTTATGAATTAAGAATGACATTCCAACAGTGATAATAAAGTTTTGTTTTCTTCTTGCGACTTATGTGCAATAATGCATAGCGATTCATTTTTTTTGTTCCTATGTGCTTCTTAAATTCTACTCTGTGTGCCTGTTATGAAACCTTTTCTTTTTTGTGCTTTCTTTTACAAACAAATTATACTTGACCATTATGATGATCATCTTGGTGTGTGTGTGTGTGTGTGTGTGTGTGTGTGAAGAAGACTTTTTCTAACGAAATTCTATAAGCTTATCTTTGATTTGTAGATGGCATTGTTTCAAAGAGCCATAACATTATCACCAAGGAAGTTCGGTTTTCATATAGTAACCAATGCAATTCTACAACAAATGCCAGAAATAAATCAAATCTAAATTGGTCTAATGAATGTATTTATTCAACATACTAGTGCATCATTATCGAATAATGAAAATGCTGCAGCCAATGTACGTGTTGATATGGAAACAATATTCAATAAACTTATACCTGAAGATAATTCCTATGAGCATTTAGATGAAGGAAAAGATGATATGCCAGCACATGCAAAGTGTCCATTACTTGGCGCATCTATAAACATTCCTATTTCATCGGGACGTCTTGGCACTTGGCAAGGAATATATCTATGTGAACATAGAAATCGTGCGAGACATCGAAATATTGTTGTAACAATTAATGGACAACCGGAAAAATAAATTTCCTTTTAATAATTTATCTACTAGTAGATAAGAATTTATTTTTATAAATTCTTTCAGATGACTTCTGTAGAAAATAATATTGATCATTTAGTCAATAATATAACACCTCAAATAAATGGTACAAATGGAGGCAAGTATGATGATGATGATGATGATGATGATCAATTCCCAGAAAATGTACATATTATGAAAACAAATAATCAGCTGAGAGAACTTCATACACTTTTACGTGATCGTACAACATGTCGAAGTGATTTTAAATTCTATGCCGATCGTCTGATACGCTTAACTGTTGAGGCTGCATTGGATCAATTACCATACGTACCATGTGATGTTACAACACCAACGGGCCATTGTTTTCCAGGTTTAAGACATGAAAAAGGTACTTTATGTGTATCGTTAATGAGAAGTGGCGAAGCTATGGAAAAGGGCATTCGTGAATGTTGCAGGTAAAAGATCGATTCAATCAAAATGTAATTGTCTTGTTGTCAAGTCATCGAAGATCTATGAAGAGGTGAAAATGAAGATTAGGAAAATATTTTCGATTGCGCCGTTTAATAAACATATCTTCACTTTACTTAGTGTCCTTCTTCAGTGTTCAATGATTCCTTTTGGTTTTATACAGCTTATCTAGAGAGTCTTATGCAAACGTAAAATTTTAGATTAGCAAAATAAAATTCAGAGAAAACAGATTTTTCTTATATGATGACTTTATAGCTTTTTATAGATTCGTATAAAATGGCAAATTACAAGAAATGCTTTTAGATAAAAGTGTAGAATGTAAATTTATAAGCAACTTAAATTTGAGTATCGATACATTCAATTTACACGCCTAAACTATTTTTTTCGAAAATAACTTTTCTTGCATAATTCTAAATTTACAGAAAAAAAAGAACTACAATGTGTAGGTGTAGAAATTGATATAGATGGAGTTCGCATTTTGAGTTTATCGAAATTGCACTAAAATTACTGAGTAAATAGACTTCTGATGAATATTGCACAATCTATTTCTGTTTTGTTGTTTCTGATTAATTAAAATTCGTTACTCCATCTATCATTTATGGTTATTGCATAAAATCTCGTTTTAATTTCTAAATCACTTATCTATTTTGTTTTGCAACATTTCATATTTTTCAGTTTCACAACATTATTTGAATGTGTGTTGGATGTGCTATGTTTTGTTTTCTTCGTAGGTCAATACGAATTGGTAAAATTTTAATTAATGAAGGTCATGTTATATATGCTAAATTACCATCCGATGTTCATAAGCGTCGCCTACTTGTTGCTTATCCAGTCATAACTACGGGTTCAACAGTTCTTACTGGTCTTGAAGTGTTACTCAAAGAATATCAATGTAAACAATCGAATATGATTTTAATATCATTGTTTTCTACACCGGATGGAATTAATCATATCTGTGATCTTTATCCCGGTTTAACAATTGTTGTTTCAGAAATTAATACTGTGGCACCGAATCATTTTGGTCAAAAATATTTTGGTAAGAAGCAAATATTAAAATAGTTTAATTTTCTAAATGGCTTTTTTTTCAGGTACTGATTAAATAAAAACATCTCAACACGTGTTTTTTTCTGCTTTGTTTTTCTCTGTTTTCTTCTCTTAGGGAAAAAAGTCAAGAAGATATGTTTTTGTTTGATTCATTTCTAGATGGATTCTTACTTTACAAATTGGACGAATCGAAATGATAATCATTCATGGATTGAACAAGCATTTTCACCATACGATCTTATCGACCAAAATCCTGGAAAAGAACTTTCAAATAAACCATTAGACACGGCTTTGTACGGTCAAGATCATGAATTAAATGATGATGAAGCCGATTACATGTTTAGAGAATTGAAAACATTTTCCATTGTTCAACTTGTTAACAAAATACGCGATATACATAATATGACATATGAATTAGGAGTGAATGAAGGACTCGAAATGACACGAGGAAAAATACTTAATATTTTTGATATTTCTTAATGTTGGATATAAATATAATTCTCTCTTCTTGTTATTCTTTCAGATAGATATAATGGTCGAAGGTGGATCACCATCGCGAGATTTAAAAAAACGACATAGAAGTACAAGTAGAGAAAGGTAAATTGTTTCAAGTTGTTTCTATAAAATGATAATTTGTTAGCTTTTAATTTTTATAGAGAACATCGTCACCATCGATCACATCGTGATGTCAGTGAAAAGAAACATCGGCATGTATCACCTAGACGATCAAAATCGCCTGAGTACGTTGATGAATTGATTCAATTTTCTTACTTTTGTTTTGTTTTAGTTCAAAACGACGCAAAAATGATGAAGTTAGTAAAGTAAAAAAGTCACATGATGATGATATTGAAGAAGGTGAATCAACGGCTAATGACACCAGATCAACAACAGCAAATAACAATGAAACTAACAATGGAGCCACTACATCAAAACGTGTGCCACTATCATTAGAAGAAATGCTGGAAAAAAATAAAAAAGAAAAAGAAGCAATATCAAAGGTAATTGAAACAAAAAGTTTACTATTGAGTTCTTTTACGTTTCGTTCTAATATATTTTCAACTTTATTGGAAAAAACAAGCAAACAATAAAGTACCGTACTGAAATTTTCATCTCGTAACAGTGGATTCCAGGTTTGAAATCGAGTAAAACTACTATAACTCGGTTATAGAAGTCCGATTCGTTTGAATAACTCTTGTAAATTGTTAGATATAATGTCTAAATATGAATAGAAATTATTTGTATGCATAAATCAAGTATTTTATTTTTTTTTCAGCCGAAATTTATAACCAAAGAAGAACGTGAAGCTGCAGCAATAAAACGACGACAAGAAGAAGCTGATGCTATTCGTCAACGTAATGATGAATTACGTAAAAAGCATACTACATTCAATAAGGAAGCTGAACAACTAGCTGCAAGAGAAGATCGAGAACGTGAACGTGAACGACGCGAACGAGAACGGGATCGTCATCGCCGTGAAAAAGATGATCAAACAGAAAAACCAGTAATTGCAGGTAATTCATTCATACCTAATGATTTTTTCCTAAGTAAATTATTATTTTTTTAGTTCCCGATGCAGAACGTGAAGAAGCTGCTGTTAAAGAAAGATACCTTGGCATTGTTAAAGTAAATTAGTTTCTTCGATTTTAAATCGATTGTATTTTTCGAATGCCTATTTTGTTTCTTCTAGAAAAAACGTAAAGTTCGCAGTTTGAATGATCGAAAGTTTGTTTTCGATTGGGATGTTGCTGAAGATACAGCTGTTGATTATAATCCGATCTATAAAGAAAAACATCAAATACAACTTTTTGGTCGTGGTCATATTGCTGGAATTGATATTAATAAACAGAAAAAAGATCAGTCGAAATTCTATGGTATGCTACTTGAAGAACGACGTACCCAAGGAGAAAAAGATCGAGAAGTGTAAGTTAGACATTTAAAAAACAAAAATTTCTTTTTATGAAATATTTTTAGAGCTCGTCTTAAATCTGATCAAGTCAAAGATGAAAAACGTCGTTATGATGAACGCCATTGGACTGATAAAACTTTAGAAGAAATGGTTGATCGAGATTGGCGTATCTTCAAAGAAGATTATAATATTACAACAAGAGGTGGAAATATTCCACATCCATTACGATTTTGGGCTGAAGCTGGACTTGAAAAAGGCGTTATTGATGTTATTGAAGCTGCTGGTTATAAGGTAATTTTTGGATTCGCTGGAATCTATACGTACAATCTGTTCAAAAAAAATATAAATGACCAGAAAGTTAATAATGCTAAATTAAGAAATCTTGTTTTTAGATGGCCAATAATCAGATAGAAATTTCTCATTGATTGAGTATTCTGTATAATTGAAATAAAGCGAAACTTGAAGAATTCGCAACAATAATTTTTTATTTATTAAATTTTGCTTTCTCTCATAGGAACCAACACCAATTCAACGGCAAGCTATTCCAATTGGCTTACAAAATCGAGATGTTATAGGTATTGCAGAAACTGGCTCTGGTAAAACAGCAGGTAAATCGATTTATATTCTCTTGTTAATTGAGTTTGTAATTTGCATCATTCATTTTTTGTCTTTAGCCTTTCTTATTCCACTACTTGCTTGGATTCGATCATTGCCAGCAGTTGATAGGTGATATGATTTTTTGATGAATGTAATAGCTGAAAGTATATTTTTTCTTTTTTTTGTAGGACTTTGGATGCTGATAATGGACCGTATGCACTTATTTTGGCACCAACTCGTGAGTTAGCACAACAAATTGAAGAAGAAGCAGTCAAATTCGGAAAAGTATGATTGCTTAAATTTATTCAAATGTATCGACTAAATTATATTCTTAATTTTAGCCATTAAATATAGTAGTCGTGTCAGTTATTGGTGGTCTATCTCGTGAAGAACAAGGTTTTAAACTTCGGCTTGGTTGTCAAATCGTTATTGGTACACCAGGTCGTCTTATTGATGTACTTGAAAATCGTTATTTAACATTACAACAATGTACTTATGTTGTTATGGATGAAGCCGATCGAATGATTGGTAAGAAAAGTATTTTTTCTCATCCATATATATTTTTATTTATTTTTATTATCATAGACATGGGTTTTGAAACTGATGTTAAACGTATTCTCGAATATCTACCGGTTACAAATCAAAAGCCTGATAATGAACTTGCCGAAAATACAAAGTAGGAAAATATGCATTTAAAAAGAATGAAAAGAAAATAACAAATTTCACATTTCTTTTTAAGGGATTTTGGTTCGAAAGATAAATATCGTCAAACAGTGATGTTTACAGCAACAATGACACCTATTATTGAACGGTTAGCACGTACCTATCTTCGCCGACCAGCATCCGTGTATATTGGTGCCATTGGTAAACCAACAGAACGTGTCGAACAAGTTATTATTATGTGTTCAGAAAATGAGAAACGTAATAAATTACTTGAAATTCTTGAGCGTGGTATTGAACCACCTATTATTATATTCGTCAATCAAAAGAAAGCCGTCGATGTTTTGGCTAAGGGTTTGTCTAAGAAAGGATATAATCCATGTACATTACATGTATGTAGTAAATATTTATTGATTATAAACAAACTGAATTTGTTGTCTATTTTTATTAGGGTGGTAAAGGCCAAGAAAGTCGAGATTTAGCTTTAGCTCAACTGAAGAAAGGTGAAAAAGATATTCTTGTTGCAACAGATGTTGCTGGTCGTGGTATTGATATTAAAGATGTTTCAATGGTACTAAATTATGATATGGCTAAGACGATTCAAGGTAGAAAAAGAAACAATCTCATGAATGAAAAAATATCAAATATCATTTGTATTATTTTTAGATTATACACATCGTATTGGTCGTACAGGTCGTGCTGGTAAAGCAGGCAAAGCAGTAACATTCTTAACAAAGGAAGATTCAGCTGTATTTTATGAATTGAAAGAAGTCATACTTGAATCACCTGTATCAGTATGTCCACCTGAACTAGTTAATCATCCTGATGCACAACATAAACCTGGTTCGTTGTTTTTATTTATTAAATTAAACTTTTCATTAATAATCATGTCTTATTTTTATTTTTAGGCACTGTGGTTACAAAACGAAATAAAACTGCCATTCTTTGTGCTTAAATAAGAAGACTGTATTTCTTCTTGTCTATGTATTTTTGTTTGTTTGTTCTATTGTTCTGCATTATTAATAAAGAAATGTATGATGCAAAATAAAATAATGACGAGTTACGTATTTGTCTATTTCGCAAAGAAAAATCGAAAAGATTCTCCTCCGTTCTAGCTGGTGACGTTTGTTATTGCAACAGTCATGTAATTGCACAATCATTCGTCAAGGCAAATTTCATATTGAGTTTCGTATTATTTGTTTTGTTTTTGGGTTAGAAAAGAATGATTCAAGTCTTTTTTATATAAAAGCATTGAATATTTCTGTTTTGTTCTAACAGATGGAATCATCTTTATACAATAGTATATATCAACGTGTTAGTTCGGAAGTCAATAATGACGAACAATTTTGTACATATTTGGCCGAAATTTGTACTGATTCTGATAGCCACTGTGATGATTTGCGCGCTATTATTGATACGATGTTTAAAACAAGTTATCCGAATATGTCCGACGCACGTCGTCAACATGTTATTTATTCTCTTCTCGATATAATTGAAGAAAATCGAAAAAAAATCAATGAAGAAACTGATGATAATGTAAATGATGAAGACGATATTGATCTTTCTGAACGAGTTGAACGTGATGGTGAATGCAAATTATGTGGATCTAATCAAAGAATTACAAGTAAGGAATATGCAAAAAAAACATTTTTCTTAATTTTTACACTTCATTTTCTTTTCAATTATAGTTCATCATCTAATTCCAAAATTAATACTCAAACGAATGAGAAATTCTGGTAAAGAATCTGTTGATGTATCAAAATACTTAATTGAAGTGTGTCGACCATGTCATAATGAAATTCATCGAATATGGCCTCATAGTGAATTAGCAAAAGAATATCAAACAGTCGATATGATACTTGACGCGCCTGCTATTCAACCATATCTTAATTGGAAACGAAAACGAGAACGAACAGCATAATTAGATCGATCTGTACACATATATTTTATTAATTTATTCAGTGGCTTCTTATTACAGAATCGATATTTTGCAAATTTTTTTAACTTTTAAAATTTATTATTTAGTCACGTCAATTTTCAATAATGATAAATTAAACGGATTAACAAGAACAAAAAAAATGACAACATAAAATGTTATAACTGATCAGCTTGGTCTTTGTTACCTATTAGCAGTTTTATTCATCTCATATAGAATAAAACTCAATGAGAATAGTGGTAATTTTCCATCGATTTTCCAACTTCACTGTCCGTAACAGAAATCTGTGTATCACTCATGATCATGTATGGTCGCAGTCTAACACAAAATCAATATAATCGAATTTTTCACACATAAATATACACTTTACTTCGATAGTTCTATAATATTTATGAAAGTCTTAATGCTATGAGCTTGGCATTTGCAAACGTAAAATGTCTATTCATCCATTCGTCATAAACTATTATTTGTAGTCGTGCTTTAATTAGTGTGGACTGTTTTTTCGAGCGTTTGCTTTGCATATACACATATTCATACCCACATTGAAAAAGATTATTTTCCTTTTATGATTTTTCTGTTTGATTCTAAATCAGCTCATTCTGTTCAAATGTCGAAAACACTAAAATTTTAAAGTTTTTAAGAATTTTTTTTACAAAACTCGAGGAAGAACAATTTTAATTCATTTTTTCTTCTTTAAAATCACACGGCTACGAGCCCAACAGTGGACAATGGGACCAATCAATAGCGAGATTATTCCTATCTCAACAGAAATGAGTCATTCCAACAAAGTTAAACGTCTGAAGGATAAATGGAAAAGAACGAATATACATATATATCAGTGGCGGAACCAGGGGGGGGGGGTGTTCAGCCCCCCTAGCGAGATTTTAGAAAATGCATTTTTTATATAAATATGTAGTAATTTCTCCAAAAATCTAAAAAAGCTTTCAAAATCCGAAAAAAATCCAGAAAAATTGTCAAAATTCCCAAAAATCCCCAAAAAAATCCCAAATGACTTTCAAATTCTTCATCATGCAACACGTATGCGTGAGCAACAGAAACTCCGTGAACAACCTCCCACAAGTTCCAATGATCAAGATGTTTATAGTTTTTGGATAGATTATTTTAGTGATGCTATTAATTCAAATTCAACACAAACCGAAGAATAAAAATTACCAGCCCAAGTACCAGTAAGTATCGTAATGGAAAAAACGCTACAACACATAGAATGTTTCTTTATTGAAGATTCTTGTTCTTGTTTACGTTGAATCACATTTGCAATTAAATTTTCATACCGTACACTTGAAAAAAAACTACAAACATATGTAACTGAGAACTATTGAATTCAATTCAATTAGACCAATTATGTATGAATTTATTAGGATTATTTGTAATAGATAAATATTGTTTTATTTTCCTATAGAAATGTTAAACAAGATAATCGATTTGTTTTTCTTTGTGCTTATGAAAATGCTGAAGCATTTTTATCTGTTGAACTTCAAATATTTTTCTC